GCCGCGGGCCAAATTCAGCAGCATGTCAATTTAATAACGCTTAATGGCAAGAATCATTTTGGGCAATAAATTTGTAAGTGCATGTGGCACTCGCTGGGGGCGTGCCACTTGATATCGCCAGCCCAGGAGTTCCACCCCTTCCCCTTCCTCTTCCTCTTCCCGTTCCCATCCTGGTTTTGGCTCCCCGGGGCAAACGGATGGCATGCCATTCTCGGGGCAGCTTCTTGTGGCAAATATTTACCTTTTGGGGCCTCCGGCATCCCGCATGTGTCGGTCGGCTGTCTGGATGTCTGGATGTGAGCTCTCTATGAGAAAATAACATTTGCAATGTGTGTCAATCTCCGGCATCTCCGGCTAATGGCAAATTCCCATTTACTGCGCTCCCGTACTTTTTCGTCATTCGTTATTACTCTGGTGGCTGGCTTGCGATTATTTATTAATTAAATTTGTTATGACAACGCAAGATGCAAAGTCATTTGTTTCCCCGCTGCGTGTGGGTTTCTGTGGCTTTCGGCCAAAAGCCACGTGGAACTCGAGCGGACAGGCTGCCCGGCTATTATTTCAAGACTAAGCCGGGTGTTTGTCCTGCTTCTAAGCTATTTTATTGGGTTTTCCACCCCGTCCACTTCGTTGTCAAACCCTTTTGGCCCACACACACTGCATAATAAAGGCTTAAATTTTTAATGTCGGGCAGACGGTTAAGCATAATTATGTTTGTCGATGGGGCGGAGTCGAGATTTTCGACCCCGAGCAGGTGTGCTGAAGTTTAAGCAGATGCCCTCGAACTCGGTGCTGGCTTTAATGCCCGGAAAAGTTCCTCCACTCAGCTTAAAGGACCCCGAATCGGAAGCCAGGGTAAGCCAACTGGAGGTCGACACTTATGAGACACGCTGCTGCCACTTTGCACTTCTGTGAAGAAATGGCTCCTGGCCCGCAGCAATTGCGTCCAGCTGAGATCTTGGATCCCATCAAGAGTTATGTAATTGACTCGAAATACTCGCCCTACATTAGAAAATTTAAGGAGGAGCAAAGTTTTCGCGCGACGACAAGGAAAAATTGCGCAAGAGGAAGATTTCTTATTTTCCAAGCGTTTTAATTTGTGCGAAATTAAGCAAAAAATAAACTCATTCTGCCCGCTGCAGCCGGAGCAGCACAAACATGGCGAAACTTTTTCGATAGCTGTCTGACAACAAAGCGAAAATCTAAAAAACGCTGCGAAAACTTTCGGCGGAAGTTGATGGCAGGAAAACTCGAGTAAAATGTGCACGAAATTGTCTATGCGCGGAAGAAAAATCTATGCGATTGAGAAGAAATTGCAAAATTCAATGCCCGCAGCCGCTGTCTGAGCCTCCGGCCTTTTCCATTACGGCGTCTTTATTCCGGCCACGCCCCCCTCCGCCACCTGGCCGCCCCCGCGTTTCGGCACTGACTTTGGGCCGACTTCATGCAAAGCTTCCAACTGCCGACTGCCAACTGGCGAATGGCAACTGCCGATGGTGATTTAGTTGTTAGCCTGCGGACAAACATTTCATGGCTCGATGTGCTCGATTCAATCAATTGCCGTCGACAGACGGGGACTCCCTTGTCCTTGTCCTGCTGTCCCCACATCCTGTCGTGTCCTGTATGTCCCGGTGCAATTTTAATCAAAATTCGCATGTGTGTGCCGGCTGATATATTGCGACTGGCGCTGCCTTCAGATGTCACCGGTTGGCGTAATGGCGACGTTGCCGGGACGAACAAGGATGTCGGGCCAAGGATTTGCTCGCGGTGAAGATATCAACTGCTCACGAACGGGTTCAGGCCCTCCTCAATTGATATTTGGCCGGTCGGGTCTGTCAAATAATTTTAAAGCTCTACGAGTTTCCCCGCTTTGAATGGCAGTGCGGGAAATATGATTATTTATTTTTATTTGGCCAATAAAGAGTTGATTTAAATTTTAAGTGGATAAAATACATATCTTTGATAGTGAAAACTTGTTAATGAGTACTGTCTTGAAACACTTTTACTGCCACACTCCATCTTCATCACAGTGGAATCGATGCTTGAGATGCTTGAGTGCAGATCCCTCTGAATAGGTGGTAGTGCCCCTTATGGAATTCGTGTAGTTGGAGAAAAGCTCCAACGCATCAGCTCTACTGGGATCCCTTTCCATCTTTGTTTTCATTTCATCCTTCCAATTTTGCTTAAAATCATCCGTAGAGGTTATAATTTTAAATAGGAGATCCGGGACAACTATTGATTTATTCCGAGCAGCCATCGCAAACTCTTTGAAATACTTAGTCTTTTCTTCGTAGGGACTAGCAGAAGTGATGGAATCCCCACGATCTGAGTGTTCTTTGAGGAAAGCCACATAGTCTGCCTTCTCCGGGTCACCCAGCGCATCTCTGATCGCCTCAGTTAAAGATGATTTCAATAAATTAACATAATTCTGGGCCAAGTCCGACCTGTATGCCTCCATGTCCTTGAAAAATTCGCAAAAGCTTTCCCTGTCCGTTTCCAAAGTAGCACTCCTGACTAGAGCCTGGAATTCAGAGTAATGTTAATCTACTTTCATATTCTACTTGTAAGATTTCACCAGAGAAGCCAGGAAAAATGCGAGGAGAGAGAAGTGCATTTTCTGTTAGGTTGCGTTGAACTGCGACTTTCTTGATTTCTTCCTCTGTTTTATAGGAGTCCATGGTCAGAGATTGTTTCAATATCACCATACTCTATTAATACCTAAGGGCAATGGAATATCAAAATGGAATTTCAAAAGACGTCACGCTTTATAAAGTTGTGATAGGAGCATTTTGAGATAGCTTGGCAACCTACCTTCTTGTGGCTTTATAACATAACTTTTGCATAAGGAAATTTATAGTAAAAAACCTGGTTTTGGGACATTCACATTTCCGTACTCTTTACACATAAAGGATTCTGGGAGAACTCGTCTGGTGGTAGCCAGAAATGTAGTACGAAATGCAGTTGGCCGGCACAAAGGCTCGCACACAACGCAGCCAAATGATTTCCTTTTGTTATGCACAGACCATAGAGAGGAGCTCCATCCATTTGGCTAATTGTTCAGTTTGTTTTACGTGTAAGGCTACAAATTGGCCGAAGCACACGTTTTGCCAGCCAGCCATCCAGCCAGGCAGGTAGAGCACTCTCCGCCCGGAAAAGCCGGGGAAAGCGTCCTCCGCCTGTCGGAGTCGTAATAATTTAAATGCTGGGCACACAGAGTGACATGGCAAAGACAAACAGAGGTCAAGCTGCACCGCTGGGGCCGCTGCAGCTGCAAATGGCTACGTGACCGGATGCACTGCAGCGGTTTGCATTCAAATCCAAGGGCGGCGGCAGCAGAATTAGCACGACAAAGGGTCGCCAGTTACCAGTTGCCAGTTGCCAGTCGCCAGTCGCTTTGGGTTTGTGTTTGGGAGTCCTAACAGCCGGGAACTAGACAGCGGGGGGAGCTGGAAACTGGGAACTGGGAGCTGGGAGCTGGGAGCTGGGAGGGCGGCTTGAGTTAATTTGCCCTGGCAAGCAAGCAACAAGCTCTGCGCAAATAGCAAAGGACAAACGGACTGGGTCCGCAGCCACTCCAAATCCGAGTGGAGAAGGCTTTCGGATCAACTGCCGGGCAAACAAATGGCGTTGCAATTGAGCACGTTTTTGTCGAGCGATGGAAATGAACTGCGACACGGTGATTCGGCCTGGGCCAGGACCCGGACCCGGAGTCAGAGATCGGGCTTAAGTTCTGCCTGTCCGAGTTGCCCGTCCGTGTGGCAGGTCAAGTGGCATGCGGCAGTTGACAGTACGTGCGCCCAAAGACGTTTTCGCAGGATGTGTGTGCCACTAAGTGAGCCGGATGAGCGGAGGCTGAACTGCGATAAGTCCTCGGACTGCCTTCAAATGGGAAGCTAAACTAACAAGTCTCTGGCAAAAATAAATGTGCCATAACCGAATACCTAAGAGTTACCTTTGTCTATCGGCTGACACTTTTTAGAGTTTCCTGATCCCTCGGCAAGACCATCTGCCTTTTTCCTGGCTCAAAAAATGTAATTGGAATCGAAGCAGTTTGCTCGAAACGAGGCCGTCCCTTTTAAGCGATTTTAAGCGATTACTCCGCCTGCAAGTGGCCACTTGCCCCAATGCATACTGAAGAGCTCCACGCACGCGGACACGTGGAGAGTCCTGGCCAGAAGACGATTCCCGAAGTCAACCTGCGGGGAGAGAAAAAACTGGCTGGCAAATTGGGAGGAGAAAGCATAAGGCAAGCCAGGAGTGAGCAAACCGCAAAAAAGGATCAACTTTCGGTCCTGTATTTTTTCCACGCTAGTTCAGAGGCGGACGGGCGGGTCCGGCATAAAAGAAACATAACTAATTTGCATAAAATGCGGAAACACGGCGGCAGCACACAGATATCTCTGTTTGCCGGAAGGGGAAGCTGGGAAGCCGAGAAGCTGGGAAGGGGAGCCGCAAACTTTGTTGACGGAAATCGGGCAAAAGTCGCCAGTGGGGAGAGCGCTGTGCCCAAAAGCCAAACCCGCTGCGGTTTCCCTTCGGGTTCGCAGGTACTGTGTGTGTTTGCCAAACTTTGCGCAGCATTTGCAAAATACTAAACTAAGTGAAAACCACCAAAGTCCGGCCCGCCCACGTCTTTAAGTGAGCGAAACTTTTGGCATGACAAAGTGAAAGTGGAGAGTGGAGTGGGTGGCGGGCGAAAGTTGGCACTGGCCACCATATTAGCGGCTACGAAATACTCCAAGATAAGCCAGAGACACAAGGAAAAACAGGTCACCGTGATATCTTATATGGTTGGGATGGGTTCTGTATCATCGCGTTGCAGCATTCTGCAACCAGAGTCTTATATCTCTTTATCGCTTTACTAAAGTACAAACTAACCTTTCTTTTCTCCCTGTGTGGGTTAACTTTCTTTGGCGTTTCGGATTATGCAAAGGAGGGAACCCTTGCAGAGCGGAATATCTTAGCATGCTGATATCGTCTTTCTGTCTGTCTCCTTGCAGCCTGGTCAACCAGACGATGCCCGATGCCCCGAAGGTCCGGATGATGGTGAGCCGAGCCCTGAGCGTGTGGGAGAGCAACTCGAAGCTGACGTTCCGCGAGGTCTACAGCGACCAGGCCGACATCCAGATAGTCTTCGCGAGGTGCGTACTCGAGGCTCCGCGGGAGCAATGGGAGCGGGCACGAAGGGCGAAGGGGAGATCGTAAAAGCGGGTCTTTAGTGCCATAAACAAGCGCACATAAAACTGCACTTAAAACCGGCGAACGATAAATAAGCCAAGTATTAAATCCACCGAACGACAGCGATGATGGAATGCCGCCGATGACAAAGTCGATGGATCCCGAACCAAACCGAACCGAATCGAATCAAAGAGTTTATGGTGCAGCTGCTTGTTCCTAGATAAGCTCTGAATATGATTTCCCCGTGGCCGTGCTCGTAATTCGTTGAAACACCGGACTAATCCCGGGGAAACCCACTCCTCTCTACCTTTTCCTTGTTCCTTTCCAGGCTCCAGCACGGCGACGGCTATAAATTCGATGGACCTGGTCAGGTGCTGGCCCACGCCTTCTATCCCGGCGAGGGGCGTGGCGGAGACGCCCACTTTGACGCGGACGAGAACTGGAACTTCGACGCCGATTCGGACGACAGTCGCGGTGGGTGCAGTTCATCAATCCCTTGGCCAAGTCCCATAACTTCGTTAGCCCTTTGAAGAGAATTAATTGCATTGCATAGCAGAGTTTGAATGGCATTTTTGGGTAGACTCTAGAGTTGAAAATAACTTTTACTTTTTTTTTAAATTCTTCAAATATGGTTCACAAGAAATATTAGCATGAAAAGGTTGTTAGGCTCCCTAAAACAAATTCTTTATTTGCATTCAGGTTAGATACTTCCGTACAGTATAATTACCTTTTGTTTAATAGCTCCCTTATGGTGAACAATGGCCCCATAATCACAAATTAGTTGGTTTAATTTACCTCATTGTTTGAAGAAGGGGTCGGCGTGAAAAACCGAAACCACACGCGAGCAAAATCAATAAACGCTGCATACGCTGCGGTGGGAAATGGGAAATGGGTCGGGAAGAACAAGAAGAAGGCCGAATCCGGGGCCCTGGGGAAAGTGGTAAAGTGGGAGGAGGGACGAGGACTGGCGACGGGTTGCCTGCAGCCAGTAGCTAGCAGTCAGCTGGTTGCGTTTTGTAATTTAGCACAATAAATCGCAGGGCCAGACCCGTAAACCCCGAACCCCAAACCCCGAACCCCGAACCCCAAAAACCCCGCAGATCCAGGGAACTGCGCTTCGGCATTTTTAATGGTTTTTAATGCCAATAAAAAGTTGTCAGCATGACGCGTGACGTTGGCAGCCATTTTAAAATGTTGCAAGCGTCGCCATTTTTATGCCACTTACAATGTCGTCAAGGCTGCGAACCCCAACCCGTCTTAACCCCCCTCCTCCGCCTCCGTTTTGGGCCAACCATTAACCCGTCAGCGTATTTATGTTGCATTCCGTGCCGCGTCGTTGCAGGAACCAGCTTTCTGAACGTGGCCCTGCACGAACTGGGCCACTCGCTGGGCCTGGGCCACTCCTCGGACGAGAACGCGGTCATGTTCCCGTGGTACCAGAGCATGGAGGTGGACGGCAAGCTGCCCGACGACGATCGCAACGGCATCCAGGAGCTGTACGGCGCCAGGGAGAAGACCTGGGGACCCTACTGGCCGCGCAACACGCCCCCGACGACCTCCACCACGACGACGACCATGCGGACGATGAGCTACTATCCCGAGAAGCCGGTGAACAGGCCGCAGTACAACCCCAACAGGGATCGCGAGCGGGCCAGGGAGCGCCAGGAGCAGGAGCGCCGGCGCCTGGAGCAGGAGCGGCAGGAGCAGGAGGACCGCCGCCGGGAGCGGGAGCGGGAGCGCCAGTGGGACCGGGAACGTCAGGAGCGGGAACGCCAGCAGCGGGAGCGGGAGCGGCTGGAGTGGGAGCGGGCGAACCGGGAGCGGTGGAGGGATCGGGAGCAGGTGACACAACCACGACCCACAAGCACCACCCCGAGAGCCACCACCAGGCCGCACGCCACCGGGGGCCACCGGCAGAGCCACCACCACAACAAGCCGCGCAAGCCCAAGCCGGACACCTGCAACACCTACTACGACGCCATCTCGATGATCCGCGGCGAGCTGTTCATCTTCCGGGGACCGGTAAGCCCTTAGCCCCTGGCTATTCCCACATAAAATATATAACCCGTATTGGGTCTCCTCTGTAGTACCTCTGGCGCATCGGAGCCTCGGGCCTGTACCCCGGCTACCCCACGGAGACCCGGCGGCACTGGGCCGCCCTGCCCGTGAACCTCACCAAGGTGGATGCGGTGTACGAGAACAAGCAGCGCCAGATTGTGTTCTTCATAGGTGGGTAGAGATTGTAGAAGAAATTACTTCATATAAACTGGATTACTGGATTACTCCTAACCCTCTCCTTTTGGGTCCACAGGAAGCCAGTACTTTGTGTTCAACTCGGTGACCCTGGCACCCGGGTTCCCCCAAGCCGCTGGCCAGTCTGGGCCTGCCGCCCACGCTGACCCACATCGACGCCTCCTTCGTGTGGGGCCACAACAACCGGACCTACCTGACCAGCGGGACGCTCTACTGGCGCATCGACGACTACACCGGCCAGGTGGAGCTGGACTATCCGCGGGACATGAGCATCTGGTCGGGCGTGGGCTACAACATCGACGCGGCCTTCCAGTACGTGGACGGCAAGACGTACTTCTTCAAAAACCTGGGCTACTGGGAGTTCAACGACGACCGCATGAAGGTGGCGCACGCCAGGGTCAAGTTGTCCTCGCGCAAGTGGATGCAGTGCGCCCGCAACGCCAACGAGGTGGACGACGAGCAGCGGTGGACGGCCTCCCTGGTTTCCGGTGAGACCGAGGGCTCCGAAGGCGAGGGAACGGGGCGGAGCGGCGCCAGGACGAACGGGATCAGCCTCCTCCTCCTCCTCCTGCTCGCAATCGTCCAATTGGCCTCGACGGTCCGGCGGAGCTAAGATCGGACGGAGGGCTTAGACTAAGGATCTCTAGCACTAGGAGCCACGTTTCGCCTCGTATTTTTTATAAAGTAACGATTTTTGTAAGCGATAAGCGAAGAAAGGTGAAGATCTGTTCTGGCTCCAATTTTCCGGGACTTAGTTTGATTCGAAAACTTTTTAAAATAGTACTGAAGGAATACCATAATTTGATTTGAAATAAAATCGAATCAGTTGTGGCCAGAACAGATCCGATAGGATCTAAATATATAGCAGAGCGCAACTGTGTGACAGTCTGGCGCTTAAATGCCCAAAGACGACACCGAGCGGCCTTTCCGTGAAGTTATCCTTGATTTCTTCACGGACACTTGCCAATGTGCACAATGGCGCCCAATTTTAAATACCTTATACATAAGATTAACCCCCAAGATTAATTGAAATACATAGAGTTACAAGTACATAAGTACAGCAGCGCCGAAATTCCAAAGTTGAAATTCGAAACCACAACTGCCTTATAAATAAGATTAGTATTGCTTCTATTGACGACAGAAGACCCCTGCTCCGCCTTTCTTGTTCTGACTAACCTTTCTAACTATTTATATATGAATGTGATATTATCATAAATTCAGAGCGATTGCGAACGAATGATCAACTGAGCAAAAACAAAAATCGTACTTTTGGTTAGTTTTTAGTTTAAGTACACTAGACACTTAAGGTGCGGAATACCTTTTTATATACACTTCTACAGGAACGAAATTCAATAAATAAATTTAAAAGCGAGTATCGTCACAAAAAATAATGAGTTTTTACTAGTCTCCGATATGGTTTGGATATGCCTTTTGACACAGCCACGATGACGGAGCCGAAAATGAAACGAAAAGTGGGAGCCCACCCGATATCGTCTACGTATTATCGTAAAACAGGAATAAACAAATGTATCATTAGTGATAACTTCGTTATCTCCGCATATAGACAAGGCTGAGGGAAATCAGAAAAGTCAGTGCTCCGATAAAAACGCCGGGTGTCAGGCAATACTCGGACATACTGAATGAGATGGTGCATGTCCACTGAATGGGCACTTCCTGTTCGGCGGCTCATCTTTGGAAAAATGTTATTTGGGGCAGTGACTCTATATTCCCCACCGATTTCAATGGCATTGTAACGGTTACATCAACGTTAATTGCCCCGATGTGTTTATCTTATCGCCGGCATTAGCTGCCGTTTGACACAAGGTGTGAATTCAGTGTCGCAGTCACCAGCTGCTCGAGTGGGGCGATCTCCGCCTGGGTTGCGTTCCCAGAGCTCGATTGCCATTACTTTATGCGTCAGCTCGTCTCACAGCCGTGACGTCCACACAGTTCCACAGTTCCACCGGCCCCACAACCAGAACCATACCCAAAATCGGCGATTCCACGGCGACTCGGTGACAGTCGCGCGCCCACAGTCAAAGCCAACGGTTCAACACTCGATTTCGCGAGCAGGCGGCATATATCGCGCACATTATAAATATATACATTCATATGCATATATGTATATAGAACAGCCGATATTAAATTGAAGACAATTGTGAGTAGAGGTCGCGACAACGCAGCGCTAGACTCGCACGGTTGCTTGTGATCCCGGGCAAGACACTCCGATATCTGGGTTTTCGAGCACTTGAAACTGATTCGCGATCCCTGCCGATAAGCGCTATCTTTCGGGCGGCGAGTTCTTGGTCTCCCATTGTGCCTGAGCCCCCGTGCTAAGTGCTTTCTAATATACTCGCCGTGACTAATCGGGATAGTTTAGTGCCGTTTGAGTGCAAGGTAATCCACCTCAGCGAATCCCCCCGATAGGCCGTATCTGTTGCGTCGAGTTTCTGTTTCCTTATCCCTGTTTGTTGTTTGTTGGGACCAGGTGCTCCATTAATATTTTGATCCCCGCTAAGGCAGTTAATCTAATCAATGACATGGCAAGCTAAATGCCTTTTACGACTGTGTTTAAATTGGCTAGATAATTATTCACAGAGGTTTTCGGCTATGACCAGCCGGGAATCCGGCAGAGATTCAGATCTCCACTTCGGTGGCAGCACTGTTTATCTAATCGAAAACAAGACTATGTCGAACTTTAGTGACGAAGCATCGGTGGCCATATGGCGAGGGCATTATCTAATCGTTACTGTCATAACTAGGCGGAAATTCGGGGCCAAAAGTAACCGGTTGACTAATCGCACCTGGAAAAATTTCAATAAATCAAACCTCTGCTTTGGATCGAACAGGTGTTGATAAGGAGAGCCCAGCCATGTCGGACGCCCCCTCGAATTCCATCCGGATCCTGAGTCCGGAGCTGGCCAAAAAGGCGCACGACGAGCTGGGGGAGGTGCCCGAGCGGATCGACGAGGACATCGAAACGCTGCGCACGTGGATCTCCAAGCAGCCGCACCTGAAGGCGCGCCAGGATGCCCAGTTCGTGGTGGCCTTCCTGCGGGGCTGCAAGTACAGCCTGGAGAAGACCAAGCTCAAGCTGGACAACTTCTACGCGATGCGGGGAGCGGTGCCCGAGCTCTACAAGAACCGCGTGGTGGGCGACAAGCAGCTGAGCATCCTGGAAACAGGGTGAGTTGGGCCAACCTCTGCCCCGGATATCCAGTAGTAATCCCCGTCTCGTAACAGCTGTCTCCTCCGGCTGCCGCGGCCCTTGCAGCCAGACGGTCCTCGCATCCACATCTCCCGCTACGGGCAGTACGACTCCAAGAAGTACTCCATCGCCGAGGTCATCCAGGTGAACACAATGATCGGCGAGATACAGATCCGCGAGGACGACAACGCCATGATATCCGGCTTCGTGGAGATCATCGACATGAAGGGCGTGGGGGCAGGTCACATCTTCCAGTTCGACGCGGTGCTGGTGAAGAAGCTGGCTGTCCTGGGCGACAAGGCCTACCCCTACAGGCCCAAGGGCTTCCACTTCGTCAATGCCCCGGCGAGTGCTGAGAAATTCATGTCGATCGCGAAGAGTCTGATGAGCGAGAAGATTCGGAAAAGGGTGAGTTCTTAATAGAGTCTCTCATCAAACACGAGAAGCCTACATGGCACTTCTTTCCCACAGTTCCACATTCACTCCAAGCTGGAGAGCCTCTACAACTACGTGCCCAAGGAGTGCCTGCCCGTTGAGTACGGAGGCAGCAACGGAACCATCCAGGACGTGGTCAGCACATGGAGGACAAAGCTCTTGGCCTACAAGCCCTTCTTCGAGGAGGAGGCGTCCTACGGCACAAACGAAAAGCTGAGACGGGGAAAGCCCGTCAACGCCGAATCCCTGTTTGGGATCGAGGGCTCTTTCAGGAAACTGGATATCGACTAACATAGACACCGTTATAGCAAATAGTAGAGTTTTATCGTTAACTTTGTACAAACACAGACAAATCGGAACTAAAAAACTAGAAACAAAGTCAGCTTTAATAACTACGCTTAGAACACCTCGAGTGGAGAGCCCCTTTCAATTCTTTTGTGGCAGTATTCCAGTCCCTACAACTTTGCAACAGTGGCCTGTTTTGCCTTGTGGTTAATGAAGGTGAGTCCCTCGTCATGATATGGATTAGTGGCTTCTCTGACCCGCTCCAACCACTTGGCCACTTTCGGGAACTTCTTCTCATCCACTTTGTAATGACAGATCTCTGGAAAGGTATAGCCAAGACTAGTTACATAAACTACTCTGGGTGGTGGTAAAACCCACTCAGTTGATTGATTTCCGAAGCGCCCATAAGATCGGCCACGGTGAGGTTCGTTCCCGCCAGAAAGTCCTTCTCTAGCCAGAGGAGCTCCAGGAGGCTCAGGTTGGATTCCACGCCCTCAATCAAGTTCTGAATCTGTTCCGGCTTGGGTTTGGGGGCCAGTCCGTTGATGGGGAACAGCCAGACGTCGCGGAAGAACAGGGAGCAGGCCAGTCGGATGTTGAGGTGCTGCCACTCGAGGAACTCGTCCACCCGGGCTCTGGCCTCCACTGACTTCGGGTAGAGCCTTTCGTCGAACTGACCTTTGTCAGCGAGATAACTAAGGGAGCAATGTACGTGGTAAGTGAGTATGTGGATAGGGAGTGCGCGGATTTCTTACCGAATGATGGCTATGGTCTCGGCCAAGTGGAAGTCTCCGTGCACGATGGCAGGCACCTTTTGGAATCGATTGATCTTCTTGTACTCATCGGTCAATTGCTCAACTAAAAACTCACAAATTAGCCGGCGAAGTAGAAAGGCTTGGCTCTACTCACATTTGCGGAGGGCAATGGGGCAATACTCAATGGGCTTGTTGCCCAATTTTAAAGCCAACCAGAGTGCGCGGCTGGGCGGGGACAACAAATCGTAATAGAATCTAATTGACTTTGACATGGCGGTCCACTGCCTCGATCCTCAGTCAAAACTGCCGAACAGCCGGCGACTATGGGAATATACCATCTGGGAAAAGAGAAAATAAACAAAGCTCCAGTCCAAAGATCAATAGCGCCACCTTGCAGCACTGGTTGGAAGCTATTAAATAGTATAGTTGTCCCGCTCTGGAGGGTAAATTCAAAGAGGTTTTAAAATTATCGGGCCCAGCGAGCCAGTTACTCATGTAAAAGACTTAATTCGAGTTTGAACAAAAGAAACATATAATAAGGCACAGTCACGTGAATACAGTGATGTCTTAAAATTTTTATAAATGCAAACAATCAACGCGAGCTATGTTTAATCAAATCTTGGCACTGGCCGCCTGCTTGGAAGCCTTGTACAGGAAAGCGTGGGCCTCATCATGGTATGGGTTAGTGGTCTCCCTCACGCGTTCCAGCCACTTTGACACTTTCGGGAACTGCTTCTCATTTACGTTGTACTGGCAGAGCTCTGAGATAGGGAAAGTTAGATATTAAACTATGATAATTGTTTTGGCCTCAGACTTACTCATTTGATTGACTTCCGAAGCTCCAAAAATATCTGCCACAGTGAGTTTATCGCCAATCAAAAAGTCCTTTTCCAGCCAGATGCGTTCCAAGAGGCCCAGGCTGCCCTCCACGTCCTTAATTAGCTTTTTCACAGTCTCTGGTTTTGGGGCGGGTGCAAGTCCTTTAGCAGGCAGCAGCCAGACTTGGCGGAAAAACAGGGAGCACACCATGCGGACATTAAAGTGCTGCCACTCCAGGAACTCATCCACGCGGGCACGGTCCTCCAGGGTCTTCGGGTACAGCTGCTCGCTGAAAACCCCTTTGTCCGAGAGATAGCTGCAATGTGAATGATATAGTTGATGTTTCTAAACACATTGAGGTGGAAGCCTACCGCACTATGGAGACACTCTCGCCCAGCTGAAGTTTGCCATCAACGATGGCCGGCACCTTTTGGAAGCGGTTGATACTCCGGTACTCGTCGGTCAGTTGCTCCTCTAGAATAGGAATACCCAAATATTGTATCAACCGGCTTCGTGGTTACTTGACACTTACGTTTTCGCAAGGCTACCGGGCAGTCTTCGAAGGGCGTTTTGCTCAACTTCATCGCAATCCACACCGCCCGGGAAGGCTGTGATAGAAAATCATAATAGTACCTAATTGCCTTCGACATATTGACAAGCTATTGACCAGCTGGAACGAAACAACAGGGTAAACACAAAACACAAAAATACAGCCCCAGGTGGATTGTCAAAAAGCTTTGAGCGAAAGCTATATATCAGTCCAAGGTTCAACCTCGTCATCTTTCAACACTATATGTTCACAAAAACGTATAGCCATCCCGCTCTAGCAAGAGATCCGAAAGGGCGGGTAAAAATACAAATTCAAATCGAAAGGTTTGCTGGAAATATTCTCAATCAATCAAACCCACTGTTTAGCCTTGTATTTGGCACTCCCCTTTTGCTACTTATATCACTTATCAGTTACAAGTCTTAGTAAAATCAAACACACAGATACGTCAGACAGACATCGGACGCGTTTATCTAGCCCAGATAAAGTATATTACCCCTAGCATTTAGAAATGAACCCCGAAGTAATACATCTGGGTGTGTAAGTTATAATTGTACCGACATTTAAACAAATTCGCTTTATTTATTAACGCACTCAACATGGGGTCTACAATACATTGTCACTTTTAACTGTAGTCATATAACTATGTATGTATTATCCATAAATATAGATGCATGTATATGTGTAAACTAGTATCAAAAATTAGTAGAAACGACACTTAACCAACGGAAAAAAATTATCGAAAATATATATATATTCATGTACCGTATGTATAAAATAAAAGCCAACAACAACTTAGCACGCAAGTAGAAGACGTTTAGGATTTCATCATAAAAATGCATTTTGGGATCATGGTAGGATGAATCGTGCGGGTATATATGTATGTACATAAATATACATATGGACATACATAGTTTCCCTCGCGACCGGACGTTAGAATGTGTTTAAGTATGTGCGTTTGCGTTGATAAGGACAACAATAAATTAAAATCGAAAATAATGTGAGGTTTTTATGCCATTTGATGGCGTTCCATTTTCTTCTTATTGGTTTTAGTGTGCACTTGTTTATCATATTGTTCAATTTGCTTTTAGTTTCGATGTTTTTTGTGGTTGCATTTATAAAATATCAGGTTCTGCTATGACCAAGGATCGCGATAGCGCTGTAGTGTCTATACATTCCAGAGTGTATATATGTTTGTGGACCGGGCTGTGTGCTCAGAGGGCGTTCATATAGGAAGTGCTTCAGAATATACAACTAGCTGCCGGCCAGCGCCTCAATCGAAGTTCAGCTTCCGGAAGGTTCCGTCGCTCGGAACGCTGGGCACCAGCGGAGCGGCCTGCTCCTTCTCGCTGGCCGCCCGCAGCTTCTCGTCGACGCCGTACCGCTCGTCTTCCTTGAAGTACTCGGCGAAGCTGTTGAGCTGCGTCTCGTAGCGCGCCATCGCATCCGCCAGGGCACCGTTCTCGCCGCCCATCTCCACGGGCAGGTACTCCTTGCCGATCGCCTTCTGCAGGGACTCGATGTTGGAGTGGATGTGCAGCTGCAGGAGGGAAGGAGTTACTGCTGGAACATAAGAGGCCAACCCCTTCGGACTCACCAGCTCCTTCTGCTTCATGACATTCCGGACCAGCCCCAGCACGAACTGGGTCTCCCTGGAGGCGTTCACGATGTGGGTGGCCACCAGGTTCGTCGGGATGCCGTGCTCTAGGAACGCGTTCATCCGCTTGAACATGCCCGGGTCGAACTGCAGCAGCAGGGAGTAGGGGATCTTGGTGAAGTCGATGATCTCCACCACGCCGGCCACGTTCCAGTTGTCGTCCGTGTTGAGCTCGATCTCGGCGCGGAAGGCGTGGAACCTGAATATGTCGCTGACGCTGTGCTTGGAAGGCTCGATGTGACCCATGCGTGTGAAGTGGATGCGCGGCCCTCCGGGGCCGATGGGGTTGGGCAATGTGGCGAAGATACTGCGGTGGAAAGTCGATTAGAGTGCGCGCTCTCAGATGTCAGATATGGGGGAACCCCCGAACTCACCCGGAGCGAGCCAGTTCGAGCAGCTTGTCGTCCACCAGGCGGCTCTTGAGCAGCTCGCGCTCCTTTGTCTTGTAGGTGTAGTAGAAGAGCACCCGCTTCTTGGCCACGTCCACGTCCCAGTGGCAGAAGCGCAGGAAGGCCACCAGGAACTGGTCGTCGGTCCGCGCCTCCAGGTAGTTCTGCTCGTTGATCCAGGTGCGCAGGGCCTCGATCTTGGCGACCACCTCGGAGGAGTCCTCGCCGAGCGTCGTCCTTGCCACCTCGGCCAGCTCCGGCACCAGGGGTCGTATCTTGGCCATGGTCACGGGGATCTGCAGGAGGATGGAGTCACGCCTTAATTTTGAGCTTCGAAGCCAAAGGTTGAAGGGTTCTGCGGTGTGTGTGCTGTGGCCAGGTGCGAACACGACTAATCGAAGCGACGCTGCCCGCCTGCCTGGACTGGCCCGGAATGGGTTGGGGTGCCGATTGGCATTGGTATCGGAGCGGAGCGGAGCGGGACGGCGGGCACACTGGGGCAAAGGCACCCGAAAAACAAGCTCACAGTGACAAGCGAATTGCGGCGCCTGATTACGCGATATCAGTGACCGATAGGGCAAACACAAACAGCCATGTTTGGGAGATATGATAACTTCTCTACAGCGACTAGCTCTGCCTCAAATTGTCATATTGTTTGTAAATTAAATCATTATTCAATTACAGTTAATTAACTAAGGAGGAACTTGTGTAACCAGCTTATAAAATATATTTAACTTTTGGTTTCAGCTTCGAATTATTTTCATTTTTCACCTATAGCCCATGTGGCTACGATCTGAATGGTTTTCGATGTTCAAAAGAGTATTAGCTATTGGTTCTTGAGGTCATCTGAACGGGACCGCTCCACCACTCGTAAGTCCCTAAGCACTGGCTACAAGTGTACGCATAAAAATCTTTTCTCTCAAAATAGCACCAGACCACTTGAAAAGGCATCAGCTCTTAATAGCCATAATTTGGTAATTCCAGCCAACTGTGCGATAAGATATCGCCTGCGTGGTTCGATCTCCGGACTCTGGATACAGTTTCCCCGGCAGCTGCACAAAATTCGCCGCGATACCGATGCAGGTGCTATCTAATCTGTACCGCAGCCCGATTCGGGTTGGATCGAACGGGAAGTTTGGCCAAGGGAGCGGCGCGAATGGCGGAGTGGCTATCAGCCGAGTGAGTAGCCATAAAGGCAGTAGATTAGCTCTTGACGGCTACGTTTCGGCCGGAGATTTCGACTGGCGTGCGATTAGGCGGCGTTTAGTAGCCATCCAGCTGCCACGAAGCAAGCGACTTCCCAGAAATGGCCGATCTGCGTCCCCTGAGCGCCGAACTCCGCCAGATAGCGGAGAAGGAGCTGAACGAGGTGGAGGACCGCCTGCCCGCCGACCTGGCGGCTCTGCGGGACTGGCTGGCCAAGCAGCCGCATCTGAGGGCCCGGCAGGACGACCAGTTCCTCGTCGGCTTCCTGCGCGGCTGCAAGTTCAGCCTGGAGAAGACCAAGTCCAAGCTGGACCACTTCTACACCATCAAAACGCTCATGCCGGAGCTCTTCGGCAGCCGATTGGTGGACGAAAGGAGCCTGGCCCTCTGCCGCACGGGGTGAGTGGAGCTCGGATGCGCGAATTGGGGATATAACCCGAGCCGAAATTCCCTTCCAGAACTTATGTCCGACTGCCAAAGCCCTGGGGACCCGGTGGCCCCCGGCTGCAGCTCACAAACTACGAGAAGTTCGACCCGAAGCAGTTCAAGCTGTTGGACCTCTTCCGCTACCAGACGATGGTCTCGGAGCAGGCCATCCGCGAGGACGACAACAGCAACGTCAGCGGCTACGTCGAGATCATCGACATGGGCAAGATGAGCCTCAGCTTCCTGGCCCAGCTGGACTTCACGCTCATCAAGAAGATGGGCATTTTCGCCGAAAAGGCGCAGCCCACCCGCCTGAAGGGCGTCCACCTGATCAACTGCCCCAAGGAGGGAGTGGCGCTGCTCAACCTGGCCAAGAGCCTCATGCCCAGCAAGCTCCAGCAGCGGGTGAGTAACCACCCGGCGAGCAGCCGACTAGTTGAAGCCACTTGTGCTAATTTAGTTTCGCCGCTTATCGGACACTTCACGGGGATTATCAGGCAGTCTGGCAGGCGCTGATAAGCGTTGGAGCGCTCACCCTTGAACTGTTAATTAATATTTCACAAATCACAGCAATTAACTTTCGAGCGACGCTTGGGCATTGCCTAAGGTCAGTTGACCACGCACATGTTCCCTTATCTTCGAGGCGCTAGCCCGAGGCCCAGAGAAACATATATCAGCACATTTTGCAGGCAGGGCGAAGCGCGGGAAGATATATCACCAGATAGCAACACAATCCCCAACTCATGATCTTCTCCCTCCGCAGTTTCACGTGTACAAGAACCTGGACCAGCTGAACGAGGTGATACCCCGCGAATACCTGCCGGAGGAGTATGGCGGCAGCAACGGACGCATAGCCGACATCCAGGCGGAGGCGGAGCAGCAGCTGCTGGCCTACAAGAGCTACTTCGCGGAGGACTCCCGGTTCGGAGTGGACGAGCAGCTGCGACCGGGGAAGCGGGTCAGTGCCGACTCCATTTTCGGCGTGGAGGGGTCCTTCCGCAAGCTGGACATCGATTGAAGTCAGAACTCTCTGACTGCAAACAAGAGTTTTTCGAAATTAAAGGCAGCATCTGCAATCCTGAACGAAGCGTTACTTGACTTTTGGAGCGACATATGGCTGGATCGCAGAGCCATTAGCTCTTAGCGGGCACTATCTGTGACACTTGCTAATGGCTTTGTCAATCAGCCAGCGGACTTATGTGGGATCAGTTTTGGGCCATGTTAATGGGCTGCACGCGAGCCAGTTCCTCAGCGGAAGGCGGCCAAGCAGGAAGTCCACGGGATGTCCTCGTTCTCGAGCAGCGACGAAGTGCGTAGCAGCCAAGCCTCCAGCAGCGGAGAAGTAAAGTCTGTCTGCTTAGTTCGATTTCAGCAAGTGGGACTTCCCCGCGGAGCGCATCTGGCTGCACAAGTCCGACGGGGAGATCACCTGGAAGATCTGCACCTTCCTGCCGCTGATTGCCTTCGGGCTGTACGGGAACTTCACCATGGTCTACCTGATAGCCGCCAACCGCTCCCTGCGCTCGCCCACCAACCTGATCATCGCCAACATGGCCGTGGCGGACCTGCTGACGCTGGCCATCTGCCCGGCCATGTTCATGGTGAACGACTTCTACCAGAACTACCAGCTGGGCTGCGTGGGCTGCAAGCTGGAGGGCTTCCTGGTGGTGGTGTTCCTCATCGCCGCCGTGCTCAACCTCTCGGTGGTCAGCTACGACCGCCTCACGGCCATCGTGCTGCCGCGGGAGACGCGGCTGACGGTGCGCGGAGCCCAGGTGGTGGTGGTCTGCACCTGGGTGCTGGGCATCCTGCTGGCCTCTCCCCTGGCCCTCTACCGGGTCTATAGGGTGCGCGTGTGGAAGAACTTCACGGAGCGGTACTGCAAGGAGAACACCGTGGTGCTGCCCAAGTACTGGTATGTGCTGATCACCATTCTGGTGTGGCTGCCGCTGGGCATCATGCTCATCTGCTACGCTGGCATTTTTTACAAGGTGAGCAGAGTTCGTGAGTTCGTGGGGTTCCTTCGTAATAAAGCAGTTCATATGCAGCTCGATCGGTACGAGAAACGGGTCCTGAGTCGCGAGAATCCCCTGTCAGTCAGCTACAAGCGCTGCGTGGCCAAGACCCTGTTCATCGTGGTCGTGGTTTTCGCCGTTCTCCGGCTGCCCTTCACCATCCTGGTGGTCCTGCGGGAGAAGTACTTCGACGAGGACGTCTCCGTCAGCAGCGGAATGCAACTCTTCTGGTACATCTCGCAGTACCTCATGTTCCTCAACGCCGCCGTCAACCCGCTCATCTACGGATTCAACAACGAGAACTTCCGAAGGGCCTACTACCAAATCTCCTGGGTTCAACGGTGCAGAAACGCAGCCAAGATGACGAAGGAATCCAAGACACCGAGTCACTGCTGCTACTGTGCCTTTATGAAGAAGGGACAGCCGAAGGCAGAAGAGCCGGAGCGGCCAGGAAACGTTGGGGAGGACGTTGGCAAGACTTTATCCACAGGGGAGCCAACGGCCAAGTCAACCGAGAGAGCTCGAGATGATCGGGCAGAGCAACTTGTTTCGGAAATCGAGGCAGAAGGGTTTATATGAAGGAAATCGTATATGAACAAACATAACTATATAACCCACTTAAGTACCTATGTATATGTTCTAATATACCCACTATCGTATGGGAAATCAAAACAGCTGAGCATGATTATTAATCAGAGCTTTAGGAACCGTTCAAAAATCTTCGCTCGATAGTAAAAACCAATTAGTGCACGTGGCACGGCTTGTGTTTCGTTTAGCAGCATTTAAAAATAGCTAATTATATGTGTCAAATGTGTCGCGTTCTGTTTGTATTGACCCTCTTGGGTTTGTTTGCCCCGGGTCGGAGTTTGGAAGTGACCTTCCAGGAATCCTACCCCACACACTTGTTCAATTCGGATCAGGAATCTATTCCGCACAAGCGGGCGGCGGATGTTCCTCAGTTTTTCGACCAAGGTTCTAAGTTAACTCGCATAACAAACTTTATTTACAATTAGAATTTCGACGGCCAAACCGCTCAGGCTAAACCAAACAATTCAGACTTCATGTAGCCAAAGCCGTGGCTCTCGAGGAACCGGATGAACTGGCCCATGTTCATCACTCCCTCCTCGGCGTTGAAGAGCTGCTCGCTGAAGTCCTCGAATCCGCGCTTGCGCTGCCGCGGTTCCGTTCTCACCACGCTGATCTTCTGCCACCGAAGCGCCTTGATGGTGCGCCAGAACTCCTGGACATTCTCGGACTCCCCTTCGACACATATGATGCCTGGTTTGCCGGGTCTGCTGAAGCCAGTGAGCTGCAGCTGGCGGGCCTGGCGCACGAGCTCCTGCCGCTTGGCGGTGGACTTGATGTGGTGGGAGTAAATCCACATCCGCTCCAGGTGGGAGGGCGTCTTGTGGTTCTGCGGGGGATCTTGTGGTTCTGCGGGCTGCACCACAAACTCGGAGGCGGGGCGCTGCAAGAGGTCCTCGATGTGCTCCTGCAGCCAGCTCAGCAGCTGGAAGATGTACGGCTCGGCGTCCTCCTGCCGCCTTTCGCTCTGGAACTGCTCCAAGTCGCTCTTCAGGCGCTGCTCCCTGGATTTTCCCAGCAGAGGAGTATGCACGCTGACCCGTGCCCACTCCAAAAGCGGATAGAGGTGCGGCAGCTCCACTCGGACCTCCACGCTCTGCTGGGCGGGCAGGCTCAACTTGACCACGTACTCCAGGTGCGAGAGCAGATCGGCAGCGGGCCGACCCTCGTCCGCCGCGAGGAACTCACTGAAGTCGGCCACGACCCCGGCATCGAGCATCTGCAGCTCTCCGGGTGCGCAGTAAATGGAGCTCAGCAGCTCGAGCTCCTCCAGCTGCTGGCCGATGCAGCGGCGGTAGGTGATCAGCTCCTCCGCGGCCATGGCTGACGGAGAGGTAGAGAGAATTGTTTGGTTTAGTCAGCGGCGGCGCTTTGCTTACGATCCTATCCTATAGATGAAGGTCAAAATGCAAATGGCTGGCGGGTTATCTTAGCGAATTGAATAATAATTGGAGAATGTTAATCTCTGTGCCACTCCCAGCTAGCTTTAGCTTCGACGGACTGACGCGGGTGGCCTCCGTGCCAGTGCCCTTCCCCCTGGACATCTGCATCCTCCAGTTGCCGACGGTCAAGTACGCCACCGCCTTGCACAAGAACGCGGACGGCCTGCGTCACCTTGCAGTGTATGCCTGGCGTGCAGCGGAGCAGGATTACCAGCTGCTCGTGCATCTGGCCGCACCCAAGGCGGTGGCTCTGGACTGCCTGGCCTTCGCTGGAAGAGGCTATGTGGCGGTGAGTTACAACCTGTCCGAGCCCGTAGGCCAGGCTCGAGAAGGATCGCCCATCTACGAGCTCTCCCCGGAGACGGGGATTCGCACGGTGCAGTACTTCTCGGGAACACGGCTGCGGGGAATGTACCTGCGGATCAGCAGCCAGGAGCTGACCCTTCTGCAGGCCTTCGACGCGGAAGCCAAGTGCCCCTACTTCAAGTGGACGGGCTCCAGTTTCCGGCGGCTGGGAGCGATTCCCTGCAGCAACGCTCGGCGATTGGAGGCCTTCGGCATCGACTATACCGACTACGTGGCCGTGGCCAACTACGCGGACGCCCAGGGCCGCACTTCCACCCGCTCGGAGATCTTTAGGTGGGATGCCGCGGCCCAAAGGTTCCGCCTTTTCCAGCAACTGCGCAGCAACGGAGCCGTGGACGTCAAGTACTTCAGTCTGCCGGTGAACGAGGTCAGCCGGCGGCACTTCCTCGTCCTGGGAAACACAGTTGGCGGATCAAGCTCCGAAGCGGGCGAGGCCGACACCGTGATCTACGTTTTCGAAAAGGGCCAGTTCGTGCCCTACCAGCAGTTAAGTTTCTACGCCCTGGAACGACTCTTGCCGGTTGAGGTGACTTGCGCATTAAATACTGAAGACATTCCCATAATTCCCAGTCCTTTAGCACTCCATCTCCGAGAAGTTCCTGTTGCTGGTGGCCTGCAACAAGCAGGACGTCCAGATCTACAACCTCAACGACTGGAGGTTCGAGGAGTCCAAGGTGCAGTTCACCGAAGGGGCATTCAGCCGTGGAGTGGCCAGGATGAGGAGCTATGAGGAGGGGGGTCACAGCTATTTGGGTAGGCAATCATTCGGAGTTGAGACGTAACACAACCGAGTTTCGCCTTTTCAGTAATTGCCAACGAGAACATGGCTGCCAACGAGACGAACATCTTTCAGCCGCTCTACAAACAGGATGAGCATGCCAACATCCTCCGCCAGCAAATCATTGACTGGGCTCGAGAGCAAATAAAGCGTCTGGAGCAGGTGAATGTGGATCAGCTGTTTAGAAGACTGCAGGTAAGTCAACTGAACTTCAAGATTCCGTAACACGTACATCGCATTTTAAAATAGGAAAAACTGAGGAAACGCGAGGAGAAACTGCAGTGGTCAGTCATAAACGAAGTAAACACCGAATCGGTAAGGCTGCTCACTGAAATAAGATAGATTGATACCAGCGAGGTAATTATCCCTATAAAGTTTGTAGACCGCCAGATGAATCTGACTCCGAACTACTGGAAGGCTCTTGAGCTAATTACGCAGGCCTTAGATGTGCTCGAACGCAAAGCAATCGAAGCAAGCACCAGTCATCCCGCCAAGAGATCCGCTGACAAGCCAACTGAGGAACTAGACTTCGAGGTGGTCACGGTGGACACCCTGGTGGTGCACGAGACCGTCCGAGCAGATCGTATCAACGGAGTTAATACGAAGACCCCTGTTTTTGAGTCCATTAGTGCCAGCAAAGTTTTAGTGAGCGAGGAGTACAGTGAGCCCGCAAGGAAGCAAAAAAGACCGCGCCTGGAGAAGCTGATAGTAAAGAACCTGACGCTGGAGGGCAAGATCAACGGCATCAAGTGGACAGATCTCATGGAGCAGACCTTGAAGCGCAGCGGAGAGGAAGTGCAGTTCATAAAGGCACCCGCAGACCTCGAACGCCTGCAGGCCGAGGCTGTGCAGGTCAACAGCAACGAGGTCAACGACCGGCCGCTGAGTCAGCTTATCCCGGTGGATGGCGGCGACTTTATTGTCCAGCAGGACGTCCAGTTCGCGCAGCCTGTCCAGGTGAACCGTCTGCTCATCAACCAGCGGCTGAACCACATCCACGTCGATCGCCAGCGCTTCGATGCGCTGCTCAAGGAGGCGAATTACACTCAGGTCATCGAGGGTCCCAAGCGATTTGAGAATGTCCGCGTCCTGGAACCGATTACCATTGCGGTGGGTATCTCAGATAGTGCTTGGCCAACTTTCGTATCGACTACGGTCTTTTCAGGGACAAATGATGGGCGCCGAATTGAGGGCAATGTCGCCGGCAAAGGTGACCCACAAATCCGTACAACTGAGTGGGGATTTTGTTATAGACGGCGATGTAACCATAGGACGGCTGCTGCAAATGAGCGATTTAGTGGATCAGGCCACTCAGAGATCAGCAGCAGATGTATTCAGTCGAGGCCTGCGGGTTGACCAACCGCTGGATAATGTGAATCTGAACTTTTTGCAACCCCTGTCGGCTAACAACACAGAACTGAGCTTCCTGAATACCCAAGACCTGCAAAACCTGGTTAAACTGAACGTGGATGAGGTGCAGTTGGTGCAGGCAAAGAAGATCTTTCCCCAGGGTCTGGAAATCGTGGATGGCTTCGGTGAGGTGAAGTGGCTAAACGGTATCGATACGGAGAGACTCCCGGAAATGCTGTTAACCAAGAGCGGCAACCAAACCATTTCGACTTCAATTGAACTGCAGGGTTTGGAAGTGGAGTCAGTGAACTCATCCCTGGTGCTGTTGAACGGCTACGGGGTGGAGGACTACCTACAAGTTGACCAGGATCAGAAATCAAATGGAACGCTCTATGTTAAGCACTTGGATGCTGGGGAGGTGAGCGTGGAAGACCTGCACTTGAATGGCCTCCTTTTTGGCCAGCCCCTGTCCTCCATCTACGCATATGGTAGCCAATCCCTAGACAGCTGGCACCTGCCACCCGACTTTAAGGGAACACTATATGCCCAGAATCTGTGGGTCAGCGGAAACATTAACCAAGTGAACGTGGCCCAAGTGGAACATCAATTGCAGCAACTGGCGGGCAACATCAAATATGTGGGCGATTTTAGCTTCGACCATGAGGTGAACATAAGTTCGCTTAGCTTTGAAAACTCCCTAAACGGAATTTCAGCCCACCAATTCGGTCGCTGTTGGCTAGAATCCGAAGGAGACCAGACATTCACTGCTCCGCAAAAGCTTTCTTCGCTGGTCAGTGATCAGGGCATGTGGCTGGATGGAAAGCTGAACAACCACTCCCTGGAGGATCTTGTTAGCCGTAGCTACAGACTCAATACACCGGAGCACCTGCAAGCAGTGCGATTTGGTGAGTATCAGGAGATCCTTTTGTATTAGAAGGAGGCTATCGCTTACTTTGCTTCTCAGAGAATCCCATTGTGTTGCAATCGGAGCTCCAGTTGGGTAAAATAAATGGCCTCCGAGTGCCGGAGGATATGATTTACCACGACGGTGGAGGCTATCTCTCTGCCCCAGTTAGCATAGACGGTAACTTGGAGGCAGCTGACTTCTGCAACATTACCAACCTTAATGGTTACCCTCTGGATGCGTTGGACGAGTATTTAAATGGAAAACCTCAGCACACATTTATGGCGGAAAATGTAAAGTTTGACGGGGCGCCTTCGTATCACCAGCTAAATGGTTATAATTTGAGCAAGCTGCTAGATGAGGTTTGGCTAGACAACGAGCAGATTGAGCTACGGGGATTGAAACTTGATTCCGGGGACGTTGAAGGCCTGTTGGAGTTCCAGGTGGGCGAAAAAAAAACACAACAGAAGCCCATTGCGTCTTTACTGAACCATTTTATCACAGGGAACTCTTAATGGGCTTCACGTAGAACACATCAGGCAAAACTATTTCAGCAAGACGCGCAGCAACCGAATGAAAACTCCCCTGCGTTTCCTGCATGACGTCACGTTCGCCCAGCCTCCAGCAGCCAACAACGTGGAACTACGACGTGGCAGCTATGACGCACTTGTGGAGTGGAGCGCCAGGTGAGCGAAATTGGCCAAGTGATCGCGGGGCAAAGGGTAATCGAAAGGGGTTTATTGGGTATCACGTTTCACTTTCGCAATTGTTTACGCGCTAACAGTTTTAGAGTCACTGCACCTGCACAAGTCAGCTGTGCATTCCGTTTTGCCAGGTGAAATTTCTGTACACGTTTACAGTTTGCGCGCGAGGCTTGGGTAGCACTTGTTAAAAACACCTGCAGGTGTGCTTAATTACCTCGTCAATTGGTCGCTGATTGGGTTTGGTTAAATGCACTTTTTACGGTCGGGCAGTTTCGGCAGAGAGACGATTGTGTTTTGAAACAACAAAAACGCTTTCGATGGAATCCCAAACGCCTCTTCGTTAGCGATGGTAGAAGCTTCTATCCGTAAATCGTTCGCTATCGTCTATCGACAAATAACCGTTAAGCCAAATTTTAAAATTGTACTTGAGATACTTTTTTATTTCAAATTATAAAAAATATATTTTAGCAACGTCTCGCTGGATTTTGATAAATTTGTAGCCAACACCTTAAAAACTTCCGGAGTTCACTACATTAGTGGAAAATGGGAGCTGACAGAGGCCACAGTTTCCGGAGATTTGAATAAAGTCCTTATAAACCAGTTGAATTTAGTTGATGATATTGTAAGAACGCCCCAAGGCAACGACAGTAATGCTCCCGTGATTGTTGATGGCCTGAAAATTGTTAGCAACGCCACGATAAATCGCTTGCATGTTTCACCTGAAAGCCGAGTGGCCGAGGTTCCCGTGGCCAAGTGGATCAACGAAGCCGCCTATCTCTATGGAAATCACAGCATTTCTGGAACCACCCGCCTGGAAAATGTAAACCTCTACAACGATCTTTCCGTAAGTGGCACTGTCAATGGAGTTCTTTGGCATCCGGATAATCTCCTCTTGCGGGACAAGGAACAGGAGGTGCGGGGATCCCTGGTTATGGACAATAGTCTGCCCAATCGCAGGCAAATCTTTAGCAACAATGTAAAGAATCTCTGGGTGGACACAGTCAATGGTCTGCCAGTGAACGAGTTATTGGCCAACAAGGCCCAAAACAGGCCTAATCTTCACGTCAAGAGCCAGCTTATTTTCACCCAGCCATTAACCGTGGGTCACTATGAGGTGGAGAACGTAAATGAACCTGTGGATAAATTCTACAGAAGAAAACGGGGCATTAACACGAACACCATTGAAGCTTGGAAACAGTTTCAGGAAAATTTGGATGCTTTAAAAAGAGATTAACCCGTAAGTAAAATCAAACATTAAAAATAGGCATTCTTCTTAATTCTTTGATCTCACCCACTAGAGCCACCAAAGGTGCTGAAATACTTTGCCTTGCTGCAGGAGCTGCCTCATAAGGATTCAAAACTAGAGATCATCTCCTCGGGAGGCGGTGATGTACTAACCATATGGGAGCAGGGATCCAAGGAAATAATTCCCTATACTTGGTCTAGGGACAAACAGCGGTTCAGTCGTAATTCAAGTAAGTTATGTAGATTTATTTGCATATGAACATACATTCGACAAATTTGAACTTAAGCTAGGGACACACGAATCCGGCATGATCGCGGTTAAATCTCAACCCTAAAATTCATTTAAAACCCCACGTTTTGGCGTGCACAGTGCCAGTTTAAAAAAGTCCAGAAAAGTTACGACGATCCATGTCGAGGGGAACAGTGGGCAAAAACGAAGTGCAGCGACGCAACGCAGAGGGTTAGACAATAATACAATTAATACAAGAAGGGACTTAGGCAGGCTCCAAATCTACTTTCGAGTTCGTCTACTATTTTAGCTGAGTAATCATTCAAATTGCGAGTATCAGTCGGGCTACTTCTCCAGTTCGTCGCACTGCACATCGAGGATGGCGCGTAAGATGGCCAGCTCCAGCTTGGCGGAGGCGCGCGAAGAGAGTCGGTTCATCACATTGGCCACGTACAGGCCGAGTGACTCGTGTCGCGACGAGTTGCAAAGATTCTTGAAGAAGGTCGGCGGCAGCGAGTTGTCGAAGTTGCCCAAGTTTATAATCTCGGGCGTGTTCGAGGATGCGGCGTTAATTTTCGAGTCGAAGATGATGTCGTTCTTAAAGTCCAGCTCCTCGATGTGCGGCGAGAAGCCATTCGTGGAAGCCACTGACGTGGAAGCAATGGTGGCGGCCGTCGACGAAGTGGGCCCTCCCCCGATGCCACCGTTGATCTGCTGGGTCGGCGGAATGGTGATGATATTGATGCCCGGCGGCGGTGTCTGGTTGTCCTCCCTCTCCTTCTTCACCTGCATCAGCTGAGCAGTGGTTGTGTGCACCACTCCGGCGGATGGCTGGACCTCTGGTATGTTAGAGCTTGCTGGAGTGGTGGCCGCAGCTGCAGCGGTCTGTTTTGGGCTCGTGGTCTTCAACAGCTTTTTGTGCCCCGGAGAGGCAGTGTACTCTTCGGAGAGTTTGCGCTTCAGGGACTCTGGCAGCTGGATAGTGGTGCGCGACGAAGCGGATCTCAGGCCACTGGCTGGTGGCTGCTGACCAGATGTGGACTTCGGCGCAGTCCCTGCTGACGAACCGGGCGCCTTCTTCACGGTGATGCCCTTCTTCTGGAGTACAGCTGCGGCGGCGGACAACGAGTTGCTCGTCGTGGAGCGCGGTGTGTTGTTGGCCAGTGTGTTGAGCAGCTTCTTCTCCTCAAAGGCAGGACGGGGTGTGTCCACGTTGGGCCTGGAGTACACCCGCTCGTCCTTTTCTGGCGACCCCGTGCTGTGCGACTTTGTCGGACTCTCACCGTCGGAGGACGCCGAACCGGTGGAGTTGGCCGGCTGCCCGTCATGGTGAACGTCGTCGTCTTCCTCCGGCTCCTGCACCTCTAGCATCTCGTATTCCTCCACCTCGTCCAGGGGCCCTTGATCGCTGCGGGGAATTGGAAAGCCGGTTATTCTATGGTCCTGCACACTAGAGCAACTACTTACTCTTCCTCTTTGATAGAGGGCCTGGACTCCTGATGAATCTGGTGCATCAAACCGAAGAGTTTCCACGCAGAGTTTCCCTTGAGCTTTTCCTGCTCGTACTTCTTCTGCAGAACGATGAAAATGGAGCGTGACTCGTGTACTGAGAGCTTGTTAAGGCGCCCAATCCTGGCCCACGCTTCCTCTTGCTCTTGCTTGCTTGCGCCGCCATTGTTTGGATGCAAAGCCTTCTCCTTGGCGATGTCCTGCAGAATCTTGTCCAGTTGGATCGTCATTTTGGTCAGCGACTTGCGGCCCGCTGGTTGCGCGTTCTTGTTAATTTTGGAGGCTGTTTTGTTTACAACGCAAGTCACAAAAAACAATATTAGCTAGTTTGCTGCAGAGCCCTTTTCGCTTGGTTTTTGCACTCCGCTTTTTCGCGTTTCTCTGCTTCCCTCTCCTCTTCTTCTTCTTCTGTATTTGGCGTCGGTAATTTGGCGGAAAATGTGACCGTGTCTAGCGAATATACCGAGATGCAATCGAACTGTAACGTAAGGGTCATTTGAAATGGGAGAATATTGACAATCAAATATACATACAGTACTCTCTCAGAAGGCTAACCTGAATAGTTGAAGAGTACTTTATTGAAAAACGAATTTGATTATATTTATTAAGTTGTTATGATAAAACTCGTGTTTTGAGTAATTTCAATATTTCAAGAGCCAGAACATCAGGGTGGCCATATCAGTTTTTATTTCTGTCGCTACCCAACACTAATTTACTAGGGACAAATTCAAACTAAAATTTTATTGAAACCCTTCTTAATAATGCATCTGTTTACAACGACACTACGTTTACTTTTTCTGGACCCGGGATGCACTTGACCGTTTCTAGTCGCGTGGGCTCATCCGGCCTTGCAGGACTGCTGACCATGAAAGGGAACTCCTCCAACCCGTAGCAGGCGGCCGCATAGTTTCCCAGCCGATCCACTGCGATAACGGCGCCCATAAATTCCTTGTGGTGCTTCAGAATCCGGCGGAGGCCGGTGGCTTTCCCGCCCGCATGGCCTCCACTGCAAGGAGCGAGGGCAGAAAGCGCATCATTACGTCCCCGTCTCCCGTGGCCACTGCTGCTCCCACCTCGTTATCCGCATAGCCGCCAGCTCCCGGGATCGGGGAGTCCCCCACTCGGCCGGGGATTTTGTGACGCGCCCCGTTGGTAGAGGTGCCCGCGTGGATGTTACTCTCCACATCGATGGCAATCATGCCAATGGTGTCGTGGTTCTTGCGCCCAATCTCGTACTCGTTTCGGGCCCGATCCTCCTTCCAACGAGTCAGCGGCGTGGGCCGCGGCTTGTAGGGGCCGCAGGAGACCTTCGGGTCCGGATGCACATTCCTCCAGAAGTTCGGCTGACAGTTCTCCGCTGTCCACTGCTGCCACATGTCCTTTGACTCCGGCGTAACCAGTGACTCGGACTCGAAGCCCATGGCATTAGCGAAGGCAGAGGCTGCGTCGCCCACCAGCATGGTATGCTGAGTGTGTTCCAGGACATGACGGGCCACCTTGATAGCGTCCTTAATGCGCCGCAGCCCGGCCACCGCGCCCACGTCCAATGTGCCACCGTCCATGACCATGGCGTCTAGTGTGGTTTCGCCCGACTCGTCTGGCGATCCGCCATAGCCCACAGTTCGGTCGCACTGCAGCTTCTCGCACTTGGAGCACCCCTCGACGACAGCGTTCCGCGTCTGGCGGAGGCCGCCCTTGCTCTGCTTGAGGATCCGCCAGGCCAGTACGTTGGCGGCCGTAAAGTTCCAGGTGTTGATAACCATTGGTAGGAGCTGACCCGTCGTCCGAAGACCAGAACCTGCCTGGGCATTAGCACTAGCAGAACTTGTGGACTTGGAGCTGCAGAAAGTTGAATTTAAACGACAAAGGCTTGCAAACCCATTGCTGCTCACCCGAACGCCGATGCCAACGTTGGTTTCGGTGAAGTTGCCACCGCCAGGCTGCCAGTCGCCATGGAAGTAAAAAAAGCAGCCAGAGGCATCCTTTGAAGCGCCTCTCCATTGTTAATTATGATTGCACTAGGAGTAGACGTCGTTTTTATTGCAACCAATGCTGGTACACTGCCGTGAAGCGCATAAAATCTGCTTTTAAATGCTTTGTGGCCTAACCTCACTCCGTTGTTTTCTTATCTGTTGTTTTCAAATACCCTTTTTAAACAGTCTTACAAATGTTACATTGACTTTGAAAAATGAATTCCTTCATAGAAAATACTGATTTCTAAATTCACTGAAAAAATGTATGCATTTTTCGAATTTAGTTCAGGAAGTTAGTTTTTCAAGAAATTATATTAATAATGCGTACATTTAAAGAACCGCTTTTTTATTCGTTGCCCTAACTATGATTTAAAGGAAGTGTATACACAAGCTCACAAAACTAAATTTATGTAAAATTTGTTGTTTTAGGCTTGACAGCACTGCCACAGCTTAAGCAACTCATGGATAAATATACTCAGGACGCAGAGTCCACTACAAAAATGGAGTTCGGAGAGCTCAGGTTGCAGTGCGGAGGAATCAAAGAAGAAAACCAGATAGTAATCCAATGCCAGGATAAACAAAACCACAGCAGGGTAGCAGTCGTTGATGGACGGAATGCAAAACAGCTGCTGTTAGTCGCCAACACAGATGACATGCCCATTTTGGTGACGACTTCCAAAGCTGTGGAGCTTTGGAGGTTCAGATATGGCAACTATTCGCTTGTGAGTAGCTTGCAGGGAGGGCAGGTGGAACACATAGCCAACATAGAACGGAAAGCCGGCATGGCAAGCGGTTTTACGGCGTTCCTGGCTTCATCGCCAGCAGCAGAGATCCGAATTTACAGGTAGATCCTTTGGAACTGATTTAGCGTTGGATTCACAATGTTCTATCCATTCCACAGCCACGACACCAGGGAATTTTATCTGGAACAAGTGCTAGGACTCCCAGATTCAAAGCTGCCGCGCGAAATGAAATTCATGTATCTGCCCGAGTCGGAAGACCTGCTCCTGTGTGTTTCGAATGTGCTGCAAAACCAACCGCTCACCATCTACCAGCACCTCGGGGCAGCCGGATTCCAGCAAATTCTCGGAGACAGTGTCCTGCCGGAGGCTCGTGCCTTGCAGGTGCTCCAGCTGCCCGACCAAAAGCTCAGCCTGCTTTCCGTGGCTACGGGGAAAGCAGTCTACTTGGTGCAGCCACTATTTAACACTCTTTAGATCACTTTTGTTTCGTTTTTCCTAATAAAAATTACTTTTTATTAACCGTTTTTGCGTGGGCCTTCAATTACACTGCTTAGTCGTCGCTGGACTCGACGTTCTCGGTCTGCAGTTTCTTGAACGTGGACACCGGCACATAGGTCACGTAGGTGTACAGCTTGTTGGGAGAGTCCTCATCGTCGTTGCGACGACGCGCAAGGCGCACGCGGATGCGGAATGGAGTGGACCTGCAAGGGATTAGCGGGACCGTTAGAGAGGATGCTCTTCAAAAGGTTTAAGCTGGTTAACGCACCTGATACCCTTGGACCAGATGTGCTTGTTCAGACGGGTGTCGATCCTCACATCGGTGGTGCCCATCTCCCGCTCGGCAAACTTGCGGATCTCCTTGATGGCGCGAGGCGCACGCTTCTTGAAGCCAATGTTGTGGACACGCTTGGCCAAGTGAATGGTGCACTCGCGGGTCACGACCTCGTTGATCGCCGATTTGTTGATCTTCTCGCCCTTGGTCTTGGTCATTGTGCTGTTAGGCCGCAACGGTGCAATTCAATATCCTGCAAGGTTACAAAGCGTTAATACTAGACTTGCAAAACAATAACAATATATATGCGGAAAACATCCATCCTCCGAAAAATTGCACAGGAACTAATGCACAGGGAATTATTTACACGTGGTTTCGGGTTTACACATTGTGCACTTTATAACTCGGAGTCTATTCTGTGAAAATCTTCAATGTTTCTTAAATAAAAAGCCAATTTGGCAAATCATGATGTTTATTGCATTTATTCCGTCCAAATCCTCGAGTTTTGTCGATTAAAAACTTAAATTCCGAATTTACGAACCTCTCCGGAAATGAAAGCCTCGAAAAAGAAAGAAGAAGAGGCGTTAGAGGTGGATGCAGCTAGGTGGAGCGGGTAAACCGGCTCTATCGGTATATCGATAACTGCTTATGATATCGATGTTTTGTGCAACGGTCATACTGCTTCTTTTTAAAATCCTGCTTAGGCAGCCATATGAATTCCTTGAAAAAATGTATCAAAATTATCCAGATAATCAAGCGCTTATAAAATGTATAGCAATCTATTTTTATGATTATTATCATAGACATTATTAACGGAGTTCCCCTTCTTTATTTACCAATTATTATGATACTACGAAACAGCTGTTCAGATATAAACAAAACCAATGCTGGGGATTGCTGGTAAATAAATTAAAATATTTGCTTGTGCCGAGAATATAAATGAACTATATACTTTCTAGTACAACTTCTTGCCGTGGGCATGCTGTGGGGCATCACCAATCCGTTCATCCGCCTTGGTAGTCAGGGAATCGAGACGCTTCAGGACACGGGCTCCAAGTGGAGGAACTTCATCCAGGAAGCCCGAACAATCGGCAACCGCTGGCGCTACTGGCTACCCTTTGGACTCAACCAGTGCGGCAGTGCTTTGTATGTGTGGACTCTTCAGAGTGCCAGCATTACGGTGGCGGTTCCGGTGGCCAATTCCCTAAGTTTCGCATTCACAGCCATAACCGGTTTTGCCCTGGGCGAAAAACTTCCTGGAAAGAGTAAGTCCAGCGAAACCCCACAAATATATAAACTTTACATACTCTCCTTCTCTTTCAGAGGTTATTTTAGGCACACTTCTCATCTGTTGCGGCAGCATACTGATGATCTATGACAAGATCCTGCAAGAGCAGTCGCAAGACCGACTAAATATAACATTCCGATGATCTTACCCTAAACCCAAGGCCAATTGTCTTTATTACATTCGATAAAAGCATAGTAAACGATAAGTTGAAAGGAGCTGGCGCTTACAAAGCCTTGTGCACCGCCTCCACGAGCACCTCCATGCTTGTAATCGGCGTCTGGGGCGTGATGCCGTGCCCCAGATTGGCGATGTAGCGCGACTTGCCGAACTTGTGAACCATCTCGGTGGTCAAGGTGCGCAGCTCGTCTGGGTCGCGATACATGTCCATGGGATCTAAGTTGCCCTGCAGCGTAATGTTCGGGCCCACCACACTGCGCGCCTCTACGGGATCCACAGTCCAGTCCAATCCGATGACGTCGTAGCCCAGTTCGCTCTGCTCCTTCAGCGAGTGTCCAGCGCCTTTAGCGAACAGCGTCTAAAAAAGTACTCGAATTCAATAGAAACTACCGCAAGCTTTAGCCCGACTTACGAGGGGGACCACCGGAATCGCTCTCTTGGTGAGACGGTCGACCAACTCATCGCGTATCCTTTTCAGGTAGGGCACTCCCCACTGCAGGAACTCCTCCTTTGAGAGGTGCTCCGCAGAGGACTCGAAGATCTGCAGCATTTGGGCGCCAGCCTTCACCTGCATTTCCAAATAGTCCACTATGGCGTCGGTCAGCAGGTTGAGGAAAAGCTTCGTGTCCTCCGGATAGTCCTTAAGCCAGGCCTTGGCCTTTGACATGGTCTTGCTGCCGCCGCCCTCGATCATGTAGCCCATGAGCGTCCAAGGTGCGCCAGTGAAGCCGATGAGGGGCACTCGTCCCTCCAGCTTGTGCCGCATCATGGTGATGGCGTCGCCCACGTAGGCGAGCCGGGACAGGGCTCCGTCCGGAGTAAGGCGCTTCAGGTCCTCAGGCACCACTATCGGCTGCGGCAAAACTGGACCCACGCCCGCGTGCATCTCCACAGTAAGCCCAAGAGCCTGAGGAATGACTAGGATGTCCGAGAAGATAATAGAGGCGTCCAGGTCAAAACGACGCAGCGGTTGCATGGTCACCTCGCAGGCCAGCTCCGGGGTACGGCAGACGGTGAAAAAGTCGTGCTGCTTGCGCAGTTCCTGAAACTCCGGCAAATAGCGGCCCGCCTGGCGCATCACCCACACAGGCACGCGATCCACCACCTCGCCTCGGGCGGCCCTCAGCAGGTTGTCGTTCTTAAGCACGGGAAAGGGCTGCAAATACGGGTTTCGAGTATTGGTGGTCTGTTCCGCTCCCACGTGCAGCAAGAGCCAGCTGCAGAACATCAGCCGAAGTCCAACGACAGACATGATGTAACTGTGGGCGCCCTTGCACTTTGCCGGGTAACTCACCTTGGCGTCCTTCATTCTGACTTTTGGTTGCCGGGTAACTTGATTAAAGATCGCTAATTATTAGCAGTGACTTTTCCGTCCTAATTTGACGAAATTTATTATGGAATTCTGCAATCCTGCATGAGTGTGCGTTATGCCGCACTTTGTTTACGTTTTCCCCTGGTGATGGGGGATCGCAATAATCGCAGTTTATCGATAGCCCAAGTGAAGCAAATTTTTCTGTTTATTCAACTCAGAAATTTTTTATCATGCTTATTCTTAATTGCCTCATTTAATAATTAATTTTTACCAAAAATTGTGAACTAAGGAGCGTACAGGAACAGTTTTGCCGATACCGACTGGGTGTTTGTCCACTTCTACAATAGAACAAAAAATCCTGAAAAGCGAAACTGCACCTTTTTGTACATATGTAATTAAGAGCCGGCAAAAATGGAACGTTTGGCCAAAGTTTTTTCGAAGCAAGACGAACTGATCGATCTTGACGGAGGATTCAAGGATGAATTTGAAACAATTAAGTCCCTGGACTCCCTACCTGCGGAAAAGCTGGAGAGGTTTCGCCAGCTGACCCTTAAATTGCTTAAGGATTTGGAGCAACCACACGACCGAGAAAAGTGTGCGGAGAGGTCAAGGATTCTGCGCGAGGAAGGAAACATCGTATTTAGGGGACCCGCCACCGAAAATGGATCTTCCCAGGACGCAGAGAGAGTGTTGAAAGCTTGCAGGCTTTACACGAAAGCCGTTTTTGAGGCAGAGGACGCGGTGGATGAGTTGGCTTTAGCCTACGCCAACCGAGGAATGGCCCTGCAGGAGTACGGATTCTATAGTGAAGCCTACGACGACTGCGCCAATGCGCTGGAGTGCGGCTATCCGGAGCGGCTGAGGCATAAGGTGATCATGAGGCAAGCACACTGCGCATGGAAGCTGCAAAAGATTGGGCCTCTCGAGGCGCATATAACAAGTCTGGAGCAGCTACAACTGAACGAGAACTTTTTGCAACAGCTCAATAACCTGAAGGAGAAACTGCAGCTTCTTAAGAGCGAGCCCGAGAAACCAAGCACGAAAGAAGAAGGCGAAAAAAAAACCCTTGAGGAAATGTAAGTTCAGATCTCTAAGTACATGTCATTTTCTGACTTCCTGTGTCACAGCTCTACAGATCCTGGCCCGCGTGGTCGCTATATGGTGGCCCAGGCGAGCATAAAGCAGGGCCAAATCATCTTCTCCGAGCGAGCCTCTTGTTTTGTTCCCCTGGAGCAGCGCTTGATTTGTCAGCAGTGCGCTGCAAGCTTGATGAGTGCACCAATTCCTTGCTGCAAGTGCCATCAGAGGGTCGTTTACTGCTCAAGAAAGTGCCGAGAGGCCCACTTAGGCATCCATAAGTATGAGTGTGCGGCCTACGGAAGGGATCTTCTCAAGCTGCTAGGTGTTTCTCACTTGGCCTTGCGTATGCTCTTGGCTTACATACCCCTAATGCTGCCGCAACTGCAGGTGGGCACAGACGCTCAGCAGATTTGGGAAGGAATCATTAAGCTGGTTAAGACACCGAACGGTAGAGAAACCGCGCCAGAATATTTGCTAAGCCTTCGCATGGTCAGCCATCTGGACCAGGCATCTAAGGCGGAGCTAGTCTACCACGCCCTTTGCGCCAATCTGCTGCAGGTTTACTTGAAGGAGCACACCGATTTCTTTGATCAGTTTCACTCCTCGTTGGCCAGCACAAAAGAATGGCAACAGATTACATCGGCACTGATTCTTCGATTTGCCGGTCAGCTCTTGGCCAATGGCCATGTTGGCGATGCCCTCCTTCCAGTTGGCTTGGAGCCGAACGAGTTCGCTCTGCTGCAACCGGACATGTGGGAGAAGCCACGACACCTAAAGGTTGGTCAGTTGCACAATATGGCCCATTCGGAACTGATCACGGCCATTAATCTGCCGTACTTGAGCCTGTGCAACCATTCCTGCGTCCCTTCGATTCGCACCAAGTTTGACGGTTGTTCTGTTGTTAACTACGCTGCGAATAACATCTTGGCGGGCGAGGAGATATTCAACTGCTATACGAGGGACTTCAGGAACAGCCTGAAGCTGCAGCGATCCGAGCCCTTAATGGAAGTCTACAAATTCAAGTGCAACTGCGACAAGTGCTCCCGAACTGATCCCGATCAGGATTATGTGAGTTAATAATGGATTTTGATATATTCCTGTGTCGAAAATTTTATGAAAAGCAAACGCTAAAGACAGACTTAACCGTTAAATATTTTACTTTCAGCTTACTTTCCATCAGTATCGCTGCGAACAACCCAACTGCAGGAAAGTTTTCCTGCCGCAAATTGAACCTCAAAAGAGTAATCTTCGCTGGTGGCTCTCACCTAACGAAAACCACTCGATAATTTGCACAGTATGCAAGGAACGGCAACTTTTCAGCTGGTACAACGGGTTCCTTGACCTCATCGAGAGCTGTGCGGACCCGTCAAGAAGGCAGGCGCTGTTCCAAGCATTCGATGATCTGGACAAATGGTTGGTCGACCATCACAGTCTTAAAAGAAATCTGGCCGAAGAACTAATTACGGCCTGTTTTGTGGAAATAGACGGTAGGCATTACTCGCTCGCTATACAATTTTTGAAAACTGAAGCATTACATTTGTAAGCAGAAGGGACTTTGTTGGATGAGTTGGAGTACAAAAAGCTGGCAAACATTATTCGGCGGCAGCTAGAAGGCATTGCTGCCCAGTGCGGCGACACGTCTATGGAGTACATCGTGCAGATGACCTTTCTCATGGATCTCATTGCCCTGAAAAAATGCCAAAGCAAAAAAGAGGAACTTTTGGAGTTGAAGGAAAAGCTGGAATACCTGGCCAACGAACATCGCGCAGTTTTTTTGAACTATTACAACGATTTTATTGAGCAACAATGTAAATAACAATATACACGAGGTAAATTCACTAGTTTCGAGCTACAAGCAATCAACACTGGCACTTTTTGACCTACAACTAAGGTGAGCTTCTTAAGAAACGTTATTCTTAACATTCTCTAGATGAAGTGGGAGGCATATTCGTGAGGCATCACGCCCCGTCGAGGATAGAAGGTGTGGGTGGTGGAGAACTTTAGCAGATTGGTTATGTCGCTGGTGTAGATGTCGGCAAAACGGAAGAGGCGTCTTGAGAAGTACGTGGGGTTGTGGTATGTGCGGAACACGCTGCCAAACTGCTCGTTGAATACGTTCTTCGTTTTGTTACTGTTGACAGTTCGATAATTTGTTAGGTAATTTAATTTATACTGGCTTGACTAATATATACCGCAACTGATCTCGCTCTTCCATCCACTCTTTTAGGCAAATCTGGGCGGCCTCACTCTCGTCGTCCTGGGTCTCTTCAATTAGCTGCGTGAGCATCTGTAGCCAGTTAGCACTCATCTTAAAATCCTTCCGATTGAGGGTTTTTATTTCGTGCTGTAAAATAAGGAGACCTTTGTTGCAATTATTTGATGGCAAGGCGTAAGAAACCCACCGCCAGTTCACTGATGATGGCACCTGTCCTCCAGCTGTGCTTGAGAGTAACATCAGCCAGATCGCTGTAAGGATGATCTCCAAAGTAAAGTACCGAGTGACCGCGCCAACCCTTGAGCTCTTGCAGCTGTTTTACAGAACCCTGAAGAGCAATTCAAGATTCCAGTCCATATTACATTACAGTTAAGCGAAGGAAAGACTCACCTCGTAGTAAATCTTGCCCTTTTCGAGCTTGAAAACACGATCCCACAGATGCGACTTAGTCCGCTCATCGAACAGCCTTATTGGTCGCGACTCGTCAGTGAAAAATTTGGGCTTGCGAGCCTGCACGATAACAACATCGAAGAAGTCGCGCCAGTTGGAGCCCACCAACCAGGACATTCCGCAGTTTCTAAACATTTGCGCAAAACAATTTGATATAATAAGATCGATTAATAAGTGAAGATCAGTTCCTTACACAAACGAGTATGGACTGTTGGTGACCAGAAAGAGATTCTTGCCCGCCTGCTGCAGTTTCTCGAAGAACTTGACCAGCTTCGGGTTGCGTTCTATGTACTTCTCGGTGTCAAGCATAACCTTGCCGTGCATTATGGGATGGCAGGAACCCATGGCGGTTCGTGTGTCATGGAAAACAATCTCCGGATTATAGTCGATGCGATTGCGCTCAAAATATTCGATGACGTTGCACAGCAGGCACATTTCAGGTACAGAAAACAGGTCGGCTAGTTGAACCATTTTGGAGTTGGTGTTGTGCTGGGAAATGGAGAGGATAACGAGATTGTAAATCACAGATTGATAGAGCAACGATAAGATACAAACTCGGTAGCTGTTGTTGGGTCCCTCCACGTAGGCGATGGGCAGCAAGCGGTTGTGGTACAGCTTCAGCACCTCCTCCGCCTCCACCTTAGTACGCCCCCGATAAACAGAGCCGAGTTGCAGCTGCAGAAAGCTGTCCAGCTTCACCAGCAGTCCCTTCTCAACGTCGTAATGCAGGCCGCGCACCGCGAAGTTAGGCTCATACTCAAGTTCAAGGATGTCCTCCGGGTAGTGGAACCTTTTTACCAGCATCTCGCGGGCGAGGTTGTACAGCAGGTCCTCCAGGATGGGCTTGTAGCAAGCTAGAGTGTAGTCATAGTCAAATCCATACACCTGCACCTCGCTGAGGTCCAGCTCGTTGCAGGCGAACACTGCATCCGGATGCACGTCCGCCGGCAGCTTTTTGGCTGAAAAGGTCAAGCGGTCGGGAAGCGTGGGCATTACTAATGGGACCACTAGGAGGACGGGTATTTATAGATCGTGCACATACTACGCATATGCATACGCCTGCGACTGGTTGAGGCTTACATTGGAACTTCTTTTTGGTGGCTTCGTGAAGCTTTTGGAAATCACTCACTGTTTTTGGGTGCGAGATCTGGCCGGGAGCAGCTGGAGCGCCAGCCAAAGCCCCAGCGTTCGACGAGAAAGCCCGGGACTCGCGTCTATAGTTCGGTTTGCATGGCGACAGCATGGAGTCCCGGCTCCGGAGAACACCACTGCTCCGGAGGAGCACATTCTGCCGGAGAAGCACACTGACGATGGGACTGCCTGCCGCGCACATTTAACCCGCTACTAATTTGCCAATTAAGCCCGTTGGTTTGTTATGTACACCAAGTGGGGGCGGAGTGGGGTGGATGTGACCGGATGGGGAGCCCCACAAAATACCGTTTGGCGGATTCCTACATCTACGACTGCTTTTAATTTAAGAACAAGTAATTTGTTGGCGAAAAACACAAAATCAATTTGGATTTTTATAGTTAAAAATCTATAGTGCTACAAATGAATATTTTGTGTACATATTTACATCTTTTGCTTTGGTAAGTGAAGTTTAAATATTGGATACAACCGTTAAATATCAAAAAAGTTTTGGAGACCTTGCTATACATTTTCTGGTATTTATTGTTTTATTCAAAATACCGAACTGTGTGTGGATGGCGTTAGGGATTTCTTTATTTCGAACACCGAATCTGGGTGTTAAAAACAGTTTCGGCTTAAAATAATAATCTAAAAATTTGCAGTGATTTCCACAGCAAGCGAAGTGTGTGTTAAGAACCAAATTACAAACCAAAAACCCGCACAGAAGTGGTCCAAAGATAACGAGGAGCAACAATATTTCTCCCACTGCCTGTGTGTGCGTGCGTGTATGTGGTAGTAGTAGTATTTTTCATTTCTGTTTTCGCTGTACGTGCGGATTGATTCATATTATTTTATTACGTGAGCTATTGCAATATATATTCGATTCGGCCGAGGACAAAGCCAAACCGATTTCACCTGGCCCTTGAACCCGACCTTATTGTTTCTTTGATTTATGTGAAAACAGATGCCGCCTGCGATGTAGAGCTGCTGATGGCCCCTTTTTCACGGGGGCCGCGGCTAATGATTCCACAGACCCTAAAAAGAACAAAAAGTAAAGCAGAGACAAAAACAAATTACGCCGTAGATGAAAGGAAAAGCGCCAAGAAGAAGCAACAGTGAATACGTCAAATATTTCTAATCTCCAATACCAGTGCACTCTAAACGTGTGTGCTCAAAAATTCTGGTGGCCCCAAATACAACAAAAACAAGAAACATCCGCTCAGGAATTGACAACTGATACGTAGAATTATGAACGTTGAGAGCCAACTGAAGACACCGCTAACGCACATACGAAATCTGGTCAAGCACGTGAACAAGCGAAATTTTAATGAGAGCAGCGAGCAAATAAAGCAGGTGAGTTGTTACAGTTTTCCCAGCAATTTCATGATCAATCCATTTTTGTCAACAATAACAACAACAAGGTGATGAGGTAGTGCTGCCAATTCGTAATAATATCGCACCTGGTCGGCCAGAGTTGCCAATTGTTTGCACTCACGACTGCCCGAGTAACTATTGCCATTTCACTCGCTCGTGCATTTTGCCGACGCCATTACAGTTTTTAGGTAAAGGCAGCTGAAAAAATTTCTCTGCACGGCGTTGCGCGTTTTGTACCCAATTTGATTAAGCTAAAAGTGGTTTAGAATGTGTAAAACGAGGCTTATTGGGTGCGCTTAGCCACGCACTTGACTCTAGCGTGGTCGGCGGTGTGAAATTGGCAGTGTAAAAGTGTGGAATAGAGTATAAAAACCCGAGTGGGAAAGCCCAAGCCAAGCGAAGGGCTTTTCAGCCCCCAAAAGTCTTTCTTTCTAGTGGAAGCCAAAAAAACAAATTTAAATAGTAAGTTAAATTGGTATTTTTCACGGAAACACCAATTGCGGCCGCTTTCTTTTTGCTGAATTTGCAATATGTCGCACTTTTTCCTGTGACCCCCTTCCTTTCTCGCACCGTCATGCTCTCCCCTCTTTTCTCTCCTCTTCCATGTAACGTTTTGCCAGTGAGTGCGAGCGAGAAGGTGGGAGTGTAATTTGTTGTGGAGCAGCTGCGACGGTGGGGTCACAGCTGTTGTCTCGCTCCCGCGAGTAGAGAGAGGCCTTGAGTCCGGACTCCGAACTCCGGATCCCGTATTTTGAGCAGTGATGGATCAAAAGGGGGTTACTACTTGACACCCCCTCCTCCTTCCCCATAAATTTTTTCCCACAGTAGTACCACATTAAATACTATGTTTAGTTTAAATAAGATTGTGCTGTTTTGCCAATAGGTTTTAAACGCAACTTCCTTTGTGTGTTACTAATTACCAAATCAGAAAACGTAATTGGCAACTTAGCCTGGCAAAGGGCCTCAAACTGAATGAGTTCAATCTTCGAAAAGTTTCGCATTAAACCTCCCCTGTACCTCAGAAAATACACTTCCCATTAGGGCAGTCAAGGATTGACACTCGCACAGAGCAGAACCTATCAAAATTTTCAAGTTTGCGATGAAAACCACATAAAAAGTCGGTCACTGCACAATCCCAGAAATTGTTTGAACTGCCGATTGTCCACCATTTACTGATATGTGTCCCAGGTCGCGGACAGCAGCTGCCAGGGCGCTTTTACTGGCCAATAGGACCAGGCCAATGCCTCTCGCCAAACCCGATACTGATCGCCTCTTTGATTTCTTGCAGTACGTTAAGGAACACGGCCTGGAAGCAGATCGCAGCAGTCTGCGCCACCTGTTCTCCGTAAATAACTTTAACGATCCCGCGCCATCGGTTACCGCCCAGCTGCAGGCGAAGCTCCTGGGCGCCCAGTTGCAGCGCCAGCTGCAGAGCTCGTCGTTTGTGTCCAACATCTGCTACGCTTTCGACCAGTATTTCGTCAGCAACCAAAAGGTGAGATTACCAGCAGAATCCTCTATAGCATAATGTTATCACTTACGAGAACTCTTTTCTATCAGTCCCTTAAGCCCTCTGCGGTAGCGGACCTTGTTAGCCAGGTCGCCCGACTCACTGGTATCAACAAGCTCTGCGAGTGCATCTTTGCCTTGGCCGTGACCCATTCCTCGCACTCGGAACTAAGACAGTCGGCCAGGAACAACCTAAAAGGCAGCCTCAGTGAGCTGATTGACTCGTACCTAGGCAAGAACAACAGCAGCCCGGCAAGCACCGGACTGCAGGAGATCTCCTTTCATCTGTTACAGTACCTTCTCTGCTGCTTAAGCGAGTACGTCAATCCACAGCTGGAGGCGCAGTTTTTGGTCAAGCTTCGAGAGGAGTTTCCTCGCCACGCAGTGCCGCTGGTTTTAGCGCCGTTTCTGTACGGCTCGACGACGGCGACGATTGCGGAAGCAGGTGCCAGCGAAGCGGATGCTGAGGCCGAAGCTACGGTCAGCGGCAACAGCGCCAGTTCCGAGGCAGATGCTCTGAACGAGGTGGGAATCGAGGATATCTATGACGATTTAAGCGAGATAATTTTCACCAACCAGGTGCGCACATAAATCTATGTAATGTCGATATTTTGCTAATATTTACTTTCTGCTGCAGGGCAAAAATAATATTATGGACACATCCTGGATAAATCTAATCCTTGAAATCGGTTATGAATTTACATCGAGCGTTGAAGAGTGCAAAAACCATTTGTGTTCCCGCGAGCGAGATCGCGCTGAGCTCCAGCCCAAAGATGTCGCCAAGATCGTGGGACTCATGTGCCGTCGGCACTCATCTCTGCTCGATTGTAATGTAAATTTACCGACACCGGCGAACTTTTGGCCAGGCCAGGGGCAAGGTCAGGGACAGGGCGCTGGCAGCAATACCAGTGGCTCCTCACAGGCACAAAACACACCGCAGCAGCAGACTTCGGGCAGCACCAACAACAACGATGGCAGCGACAGCAACTCGTCTAGTGATAAGAAGGACAAGAAGGAGACAACGGACGCGACGCAAACATGGAAGCCGGATGTCTTTGTGCAGGCTCTCAAGGAGGTCGTGCCGCAACTTAACTGGAAGGACGTGTGCATGGGTAATGTCCTGCCAACTTTAAAAGTTATTTTCAACCAATGCAACTCTGTCCTCTTTTTCTTTCAGAACTCGATCATCCTGAGTTTGTGCTGAAGGATCGCATCGGCTTGGACCTTCTGTTGACCATCCTGCGGCTGGCCACTGGCTCAAACATATTCCCACATCCAGAATGCATTTACCGACACTGGGCAAACACAGAGGGTCAGCTGTCGCTCATCGCGACGATGCTAAAGAACCCGGATCTCTTTTCCTTCGCCGACTTTGTATTCAGCCAGCCAGCGTTGGATGTGCTCAAGACGGCCCCCGATGCGGACAACAAAGAGATCTCGGCCTGGAAGTCACTGCACCTGGTAGAGGTGCTGCTTTCCATTGCGGACAAGGGCTACTATACACAGGTGCACGAGCTCTTGAAGTTTCCCGCACAGAATTGTCCCGATGTGCTATTTTTGGCTTTGCTGCACATAAGTCCACCTATGACCCCGTTGCGCCAGGATCTGTTCAACCAGCTAATACCAACGTTTCTGGGCAACCATCCGAATTCGAACGTAATCTTGGCCAGTGCCTGGAGCTCGACAAACTTTCAGCTGCGCCCCAACATCATGAACGCCATGTCCGAATGGTATTTGCGCGGCGGGGACTTTGACCAGGTGAAGCTGTCGCGCATCCTTGACCTTGCCCAGGATCTCAAAGCGCTGTCCGCCCTCCTCAACGCGCGCTCGTTTTTGTTCATTATCGACCTTGCTTGCCTTGCCTCTCGGCGCGAGTACCTGAAGCTGGAGAAGTGGCTAACCGATAAGATCCGCGACCATGGGGAGCCCTTCATGCAGGCCATGATCAAGGTGCTGCTGCGACGCTGCCCGCAGGTGGTCAACTCCAAAGTGCCCGAAGACTTGTTGCCTCCCAAACAGGCCCAGCTCTTGCCCGAGACGGTCACCACCATGGTCAACTGTCTGCAGGCTTGCATTAACAACTGCATTGTGCCGGAGATGGTTGAGATGATCATGCAGATGACCGCAAACGTGGCGATCATGGCGAACAAGGCACGTGCGCAACAGCAGCAGCCAGGGCTGGTTCCGCCTCCGCCTCCCAACATTCTGCGCGGTCATCGTGGCATGGATTTGCCTGGCGGCATCGTTCCTCCGCCTCCGCAGCCAACGTTTTCTGGCAACCTCAACGCGCAGATGTTTGGGCTTGGAATGGATCCGCTTACCAATATGTCTAACAATCTGGCCGGCCTTAATCTTAGCGGCCCGAACGGAGCTTTTAACTTCGGCAACATGCTAAGTAAGTCGATGACTTTTGTTTTTCCACAATATAAAACATCGATTTCATTCTAGCCTCTCCTTCCCGTCTAATGACTCCGGGAGCCAGTCCCTATCCGTTGAATCCCATGCAGATGCCGCAGGCTCCGCCGCCACCCAATGTCGGAAATCTCGGCCGTATGCTGCCGGGTGGTCCACAACAGCAGACACCCACGCCGACTCCAACAGCCCCTAATCTGAACAACCCCGTTATGGCCGACCTGCAGATACCTGTATCCAAGGAGGTGGAGGATGAGGTGAACTCGTACTTCCAGCGCATCTATAACCACCAACCGAATCCTACACTGTCCATCGACGAGGTGTTGGACATCTTGCAGCGCTTTAAGGAGTCCAGCAACCGACGAGAGCAGGAGGTCTTCCTGTGCATGCTGCGAAATCTTTTCGAGGAGTACCGCTTTTTCTGTCAATACCCGGAGAAGGAGCTGCAGATTACAGCGCAGCTCTTTGGAGGCATCATCGACCGCAATCTGGTTCCCACTTTTGTGGCTCTGGGTCTATCGCTGCGGTGTGTCCTGGATGCGCTTCGCAAGCCGGATGGCTCCAAACTCTACTATTTTGGTGTGACGGCACTGGACAGATTCAGAACACGATTGCACACCTACAACAAATACTGCGAGCATATCCGCTCCATCCCCCACTTTTCGGACTTCCCTCCACACCTTATCCAATACGTTGAATACGGAATGCACGGTCAGGAGCCACCGCCGCAAACGCTAATTGGTCTCAGCAATACGATCCCGTCTGCGATTTCCACTGGACCACAAACCGAGGCGCTCTACAGGAGTAACTCAATACTAGGTAATCATAAGTTAACCAAACTTTGAGCGAAGTCTTTCAGTAATAACAGCCAGAGAATAACGTATTTTCTCCCCCATTTTGCATAGGTAACATGCCCATAGCCACACCCGGATCGGGACCAAAATCAAGCGCTGCGGTGTCGCATGCCACGAGGATGAAGTCCATCGCCAACGCGACTAATATCGACACCCTATTGGTGGCCAACCAGGAGGAGAAGGTGACGGTACCGCCGGAACCTGTTCAGGACAAAACTGCCTTCATATTTAATAACTTGAGCCAACTGAACATACCCCAGAAGTGCGACGAGATCAAGGAGATCATGACCAAGGAGTACTGGCCCTGGCTAGCGCAGTATTTGGTTCTTAAGCGAGCCTCAATGGAGTTCAACTTCCACACGCTCTATTACAACTTTCTGGATGCCCTCAAGAACGGCGAGATCAATCGATTCGTGACCAAAGAGACGCTACGCAATATCAAGGTGCTTCTGCGATCCGATAAGGGAGTTATTAACTTCTCTGATCGAAGTCTCCTGAAAAACCTCGGTCACTGGCTTGGCATGATGACCTTGGGGCGCAATCGGCCCATCCTTCAGTTGGATCTGGATCTGAAATCTTTGTTGGCCGAGGCATATCATAAGGGACAGCAAGAACTGCTTTTCGTAGTCCCCTTCGTGGCGAAGATCCTTGAGTCATCCGCCAAGTCGCGCATTTTCCGCTCGCCAAATCCCTGGACAATGGGCATTATGTACGTGCTGGGCGAGCTCCACCAGGAGCCAGACCTCAAGCTGAACCTCAAGTTCGAGATCGAGGTGTTGTGCAAGACACTAAACCTGGAGCTGGCCAAACTGCGACCAGTAATTTACCTGAAGGATCCCAGTCGCGCTCTACTAATTGAACAACAGATGTCGCAGCCAAAGCCAAAGCAGCTGGAGCCCGTGGCACCTGCGCCCTCGCTGCCACGTGAACAACAATCCCCGGCACAGCCGCCGCCGCCACCTCAACAGCAGCAGCCACAACAACAACAACAGCAACAACAACAAGCTCCTCCACCTCCACCATCTTCGGCGGAAGTGGACGCCCAGAATGCGGCCGCTATGATGATGGGTTCGGGCGGAGCCAGCAGCACTTCCGGATCGGTCTCCTCGCCAAATCTGCCTACCGATCCTAGCCAGGTGGTGCTGCCCCCGCCGGAGCCACGCTTCTCCTACGTAGACGTGAACGTGAGCAACTTCCAGCTGATTGCCCAGCAGCTTATTCTGCCGCCCAACATACCTTTCCTTCACGCGAATCCCGGCATCAAACACATCGCTATCAACGCCGTGGAGCGCACAATCACCGACTGGCTGCAGCCGATCGTAGACCGAAGCATTCGCATCGCCTGCGCCACCACCGAGCAGATCATCCGCAAGGACTTCGCCCTAGATGCTGACGAAAATAGGATGCGCACTGCCGCCCACCAAATGGTACGCAACCTGGCCGCCGGCATGGCTATGATCACCGGCAAGGATGAGATCGCCCGTGCCATTAGCCAAAATCTGCACAAGGCCTTACTGTCGGCTCTTTCCGGAATCCCCAGTATGACGGAGATCCAGGCCGCCGCCATGCAGTTGGCCAGCGAGAATGTCGAGCTGGTGTGCGCCTTTATCCAAAAGACATCTGCTGAAAAGGCTGCCGCCGAAATCGATAGGCGTCTGAGCACCGATTTCGAGACCCGAAAGATTGCCCGTGAAGAGGGCAACCGCTTTGTGGACGCTCAGATCCTCAGCTACCAGCAGGAGCGTCTTCCAGAAGCAGTGCGCATCAAAGTGGGCCCTGCTCCAGCTACACTCTATGCTGTGTACTCGGAGTTCGCCAGGAGCATTCCTGGGTTCCAGCAGATGAGCGACCGGGACATTGCCCTGTCCGTGCCCAAGCCACAGGATTTGTCCCAGCCAAATGTGTTCGCCAACGATGAAAGCAGCTTGGTGTACGCGGAACTTGCCAGCAAGATGGAGGCCTTCATGAACACGGCCATCGGGGTGCCGTCGCTGCAGGTGCAGGCCAGCAAGATGCACATGCTCCTCAACGCCCTTATGTCCACGCGCCGCCTGCGTGACCAGGAGTCTGCCTTCAATCTGCTGACCCGTGCCGTCGAGGGTTTGACCGAGGGACTGGTGAATATGCACGAGAACATGGAGCAGATGAAGCTCTACCAAAATATCCACCTGCGTATCATCGGCCTGCTGCACAACAGCTTTGGCGCTCCAAACACGGAGCGCGCAGTAACCAAGTGCTTCTTCGATATCCGCGAGGAGGTGCGATACAATGTGGAAGCAGCTCGTGCGCTGATTACCTCGCACTTTGTCAACCTTAACCAGTTTGACGGAATGCTTCGCGACTGCATGGACAACGGCAACAACTACGTGGCCATCTCATTCGGTATCGCACTACTGGAGCGCCTCATCATGGACGATCGAGTGATAAACATTGTGTCCGACAACGAATTCATGGCCACCGTAGAGCTTCTGGGCAGACTTACCCAGCACCGTCATCGGTATCCGGAGTGCATCGTCAACGCCATTGACACGCTGTGGAGCGGAAACTTCAACTCGAGCAGCGACTACAGTCCGTTCAACGCGAGTGAGCGCTACCTGGCGGGAGCCTCCCACTACATTCACTCCGGCATGCATCACGTGAGGGTAGGGATATCAACAGCATTTCACTAAATCTCTTTGTCTAATAGCACCGCTTTTTATGTTCCCATAGTCATGCGATACGGATGATCCGCCCGGACTGCAGGAGAAGACCGAGTTCTTGCTTAAGGACTGGGTGGCCCTGTACACCCAACAGAACCAGCAGTCTACGCGCGATGCCCGCAACTTCGGTGCCTTTGTCCAGAAGATGAACACGTACGGAATCCTGAAGACCGACGATCTGATCACTCGCTTCTTCCGCCAGGCCACGCACATTTGCACAGATGTGGTCTACCGAATGTTCGCAGAGCCCAGTCTGCCAATCAACCAGGCCAAGAACAAGATATTTCAGTGGGTCGATGCGTTCGTGCACCTGATTGCGATGCTGGTGCGACACTCCGGAGAGGCAGGCAATCCGACCACCAAGATTAACCTGCTGAACAAGGTGCTCGGCATTGTGCTGGGCACACTGCTCAAGGACCACGAGATGCGCGGCGTGAGCTTCCAGCAGGTGGGCTACCATCGCTTCTTCATGATGCTCTTTATGGAGCTCTGCTCGGCCGACGTGATCCTCGAGTCGCTGATGCACAGCATTGTGTCGGCCTTCGCCTACACCTACCACCTACTGAATCCCAGCGTGGCTCCGGGCTTCTGCTTCGCTTGGCTGGAGCTCATCTCGCATCGCGTCTTCCTGGGCCGCATCCTGGTCCAGATTCCAGGCCAAAAGGGTTGGCCGCTGTACGCGCAACTGCTGCAGGATCTGTTCAAATACCTTGCGCCCTTCCTGCGCAACACGGAGCTCGGTAAGCCAGTCCAGCTCCTCTACAAAGGCACTCTGCGAGTCCTGCTCGTCCTCCTGCACGACTTCCCCGAGTTTTTGTGCGACTACCACTTTGGGTTCTGCGACACCATCCCGCCCAACTGCGTCCAGATGCGAAACATCATCCTGTCGGCGTTCCCTCGCAACATGCGCCTTCCCGATCCTTTCACGCCCAACCTGAAGGTGGACATGCTGTCGGACAGCAGCAACGCACCCAAGGTGCTCAGCAGCTACATCATGAACATCCAGCCACCGAACTTCAAGAAGGACCTGGACTCCTACCTTAAGGCTCGGGCGCCGGTAACATTCCTTTCGGAGTTGCGTGGTCACTTGCAGGTGACCAGCGAGCCAGGAACGCGTTACAACATGACGCTGATGAACGCTCTGGTCATGTATGTGGGTACTCAGGCGATTGCTTTGATAAGGTGGGTCCTAAGAAGATTCTCACTCCCGGAGAGTGGTTGATAATCTATATTAATGCTTGCAGAAACAAGAACTTTGTGCCCAACACCTCCAACATTGCACACAGCGCCCACATGGACATCTTCCAGAACCTGGCTGTCGATCTGGATACGGAGGGTCGCTATCTGTTCCTAAATGCCATCGCAAACCAGTTGCGCTACCCGAATAGCCACACGCACTACTTCAGCTGTGCTGTGCTGCACCTGTTTGCCGAGGCCAACTCGGAGGCTATTCAGGAGCAGATCACGCGTGTTCTGCTGGAGCGATTGATCGTGAACCGCCCGCATCCGTGGGGACTGCTCATCACGTTCATTGAGCTGATCAAAAACCCCATTTACAAGTTCTGGAACCACGACTTTGTGCACTGCGCGCCGGAGATTACCAAGTGAGTTGGCCTGATACATAGCCTTTAAACATATTTTTCTCCGATCGAATAGACTTACACCATATTCCTGGATCCATGATCAACAAAACACTGGCCACACAAATGTAGTTTATAGTAGCTTTGCAACGCACCCGACTCACCCACTTTCTCACCTAACTTACAATTATCATCCCTTTTGTTTTCAGATATTTCGGTGAATGTTTGATTGTAGTAAAACGTGTTGTTTAATTACAATTTAATTGGCATTTAGTGTGCGTCGTAGCAAGAGAGCAAGTTCAGGCCTCAAAGCGAACCCACCAGTCCCATCCCACTCATTTTGCATGTTAACCTTATATTCGTTTGTAACCTCCCATTTTATACATTTAGCATTAATGCATGAAAATATAACTTTTTAGTAAGCAATCGAATCTCTGGCTGGCTCTCTGGTGCCTTATCCAAAGCAAGTGTTGATATTAAACGATGTGCTCTGCTCTCTGTATTTCGTAGGCTCTTCGAATCGGTGGCCCGCTCCTGTCTGGCCAAGTCGAGCGTTACTCAGCAGCTGAACATGCCCGTCGTCGATGGCGAGGGCCAGGAGGTGGCCAACATCAACTGAGAAAACGCCACCGTCCGACGCTTCTGCCTGGAGGTCTGTGCAAGACCCAGACGCAGGCAGTAGCAGCCTGGGCAGGCACACCACTCCACCCGCCCCACGCCCCACTCACAGCACAGCATTCATTGAATTCTACTAACCATCATTGTGTTTAGTTCTTAGTAAATCGTTTTAAGGAGACAGTGAAATCCGACTTGTATTTAAACGAACGGAAACGATAACATTTTAAATGCCTCCCCTCGCAGGGGAATGTTACAAATTTTTAATTGAGTTGTATTATAAATGGTAGATGAAGGCGTTAAACTGTTGATTACAGATAATGTGTAAAGAAATCAATCAAACAGATAGAAAGAGAATAACGAAAAACGAAACACAAACAAAAAAAAAAACAAAACAAAGAAAAAAAATGAAAATCGAAAAAGGAAAAACATTTTCTACAAAAAAATTGCAATGGCATATGTAGAAAGCGCGGAGTGGATAACAGAAGAGGAAGAGAGTAGAAGAAAGCAGCAAGGGCTAGCTTTCTAGCCAAAGGCCCAACTCATTTATAGACTAATTCCGTTTGCAAAGGCTAACAAGTGATGTATATGATGTATGTACAGACATGCGTTCACCGATCGACCGACACAATATATACATTCATAACAAAAGCTGCGACACAAGAAACCACAACAAATCTACATTGATAAATAATAATCCATTACAATCGAAATAAGTAACACTATGCAGTAAGAGAACAATATATATAAAAATAATATGTATACAAAACAAATATTAAATGTATAAATGGCAAAATTTTAAAAGCCCTGCGTTTGAGATGCTTTCCAGCCTTATGGCCATCATGTGTATCTCAGTGTGTGTGCGTGTGTGAGCGCGCCTGTGTGTGTGTGTGGGCCAACACTTAAAAAAGCTTGTTTCATTGGAGCAAAGGCCCCGTTTATATACTGACAGTGCCCACCCGTACATATGTAGCCCATTTCCGCACCCAGGCTTACATAACCCACCGCCCCCTCCGCCCTCCGCTGGTGGGGCGCATTTGGGTTAAGTAAACACAAATGTCGATAAGTGCGGAGAGAGCGGTTTCAGCTCGGAAAACTGAAATGTACGGGTGTATCTATCTATTGTGCGACACGAATTCAGCATTAATTGAAATGCTGCAGTCATCGCAGTGCCCCCTTACACCCCACCGACCGCCCCGCAGTCACCCGCTTGTTTTCGTTGCCAATTCACATGAATTTGTCATAAGGCTGATAAACGACGGTTGTGGAGAGTGCACTCGTAGAAATAAAGGGGCTTTTTCAAAGGTCTTCGGAGTTTTTTGTCTCGTTTTCTAGTAGTAAATAAATCAATGCAAAATTGAATATTTATTATTTATGAAATTAAAAAATGGTACTTGGATTTGAATATATAAATTGCATTTCATTTGCTTTTGTTACTTCTTTTTAGTACAGTGTACAGTGTAGAGTAGAGCGAATGTGAGTGTGTGTGTGTGTGGCGTATCTGTGTGAGCGCTTGGAAACAGAATGTGGCACACTTAGCGCTCTGCCGACGTCGCTGCGCAACAGCAAAAAATTCCCCTGCTGGCTGGCCGCACATTATGTGGCCCCCAATCCGCGTCCCGTCGCAATGTATCCGAAAGATACAAAACGCTGCAGCTTTGTGGCTCTACATGGCCATTTGAATCGGCTTAGATGTGCGCGCGCGCGCTGCCGTGCGAGCGAGATGGCAATGGGGTTTCGTCAAAAAGCTCTCCAGTCCGCTCGCTCCAACACAGTCACGTGTTTTGTATCTGTGAGCGCGCGTATCTTTGTATCTTTGCGGCAAGCTTCTTGGCTGAGTCAGCTAAGCAGCGCCATTAGTTGCGAGCACATTTTGTGTATGCTGCCATTAGTTTTTTCTTCTGCTCCGCGAGGTTTCTTCTTCTGGCCCTGCAGATACAGATATACATAATTGGTAGCACCCCCCGTTGGTGGAGAGCCCAAGAACCAGGCCGCAGCTGCATTTCTTTGCCCTTCCCTTCCCCTGCCCCTCCCCCTTCCCCATTCCCCCTGCTGGTGACCCAGTTTCGCTTTCTCAAGGCCCGCTGCACCGCCTCTTGGCCAAAACTCTGCGACTTAGCCCGGTCCAGTCGCAACTAGGCCCTTTCGGCCGCATAAATCGAAACTCCGAGCATCTCAACTGAACTGAAATTGCAGCGGAAATTGCCCGAAAATAAAAATCTGGTCCAGACCAAGCTGAATCGGAAATGGAACCCAATCCACTGCCAAGTATTCGCTTTCGCCCCTGGAAATCGTCAATCATCGCATGTTGACACTAAATGGAAAACATAATTTAATCATCCAGCAGGGCTACAAGAATCGTTTGTGGGCACCTTCCTGTTGGCAGTGGGAGGTTTTTCGACACAAAATATAATGTTTCTAGGAGATAATAACAAAACTAAGCTGGTCAGTATTAATACTAGTCACTAGGTAGGAATTCTAAACGGATTTTTGCTTTGGGTATGAGCTCTTTGAAATTGAAAGTGGGACGCATTCGCATACAAATTCGTGGACTCCTTTAAAACCGACTCTTCCCGATGGACTCCCAAATGCCATCCCACATGCATACCTTTCCCGGCCTTCTGATGGAGCACGAGAGGAAGCTCCGTTACTTCTGGCCGCGATTTTCACTCCACTTGCCACTTGCCACTTGGCCAGCGAGCACCTGGGCAATTGGCCGGCCGAGAGTGATTGCAACTGACTGATTGGGGCTGCCTGCAGGTTGTCAGACGCCAGATGCCAGTTGCCAGTTGCCAGTTGCCAGTTGCCATTGCAATGGCCATGCATTGGTAGTTAATTGAGTTCGCCGTCAGGTGGCATTTATCGAGGAGCACGGCTCCGCAGGAAATTGCACAGCTTGCCAGTTCAATTAGAAGGAATTTGATTTGCCCCACCCCACACAAGACTCTTTTCGGCTGCGATGCACTTTATTGGCTTGCCCCGACCAGGAGGCGGTATGCATATGCTGGGGAGGGATCCCAGATCCTAGGCGTAGGGTCCGATGCCGGCTGCCCGGGCCATCAGGGCCGGGATGTTGCTCTGCTCGTAGTTGCCGCTGAAGAACTGGGCGTAGGGCCCCGAGGCGTAGACCGCCACGTCGTCGCCCCCGTGGGTCTCCGAGTCCAGGGGCGCCAGCGTGGGATACCGGTACTCCGAGTCCGTCACCAGCTTTTCCTTCAGCAGGGTGCGGCCCTCGGCGCGGTTGTAGGCGGAGTAGTAGCCAGGCCCGTTGGCGTAGGAGAGCACCGTGTAGGGCAGGTTGTCGTCCGCCAGCTGGGCCAGTCCGGTGATCTCCTGGTCGCGGAACTGCCAGAGGAGGATGTTTGTTGATTAAACAAAACCAATTTACGAGGACCTATCTATCGATCTATCGATCTTCCTTATGGCATCTATGGCATCTCTACTCACCGGATAGCCGTTTATGGACATGACGTGCGCGTGGTCGGCGGTCACCACGATCAGGGTGTCCTCCTCGGAGGTCAGCTCGCGGGCCCGCTGCACGGCGCTGGCGAACTCGGCGGTGTCCTCGAGCGACCGGCGGGCGAAGGTGTCGTGGTGGGCCATGTCGATGCGGGCGCCCTCGACGAACAGGAAGAATCCCTGCTCGCTGCGGCCGAGCACCTTGATGGCGGCCTCCGTGAGCTCGGTGAGCGAGGGGTCCGCCAGCTGGCTGCGCTGCCTCTGCCGGTCGCCGTTGTAGGGCAGGTGCGAGCTGGCGAAGAGGCCCAGCAGGTAGTCCGTGCTCTCCAGGTCCACCAATCCGAGCCCCTTGCGGCTCCACACGTAGCTGGCCGAGGCGTTGGCCGCCTGCTTCTGGTCCAGCCAGCTGCGGATCAGGTGGCGCCCGTCGGTGCGCTGGCCGGGGATTCCCTCCTCGTCGTTCACGCTGGCGTTGATGAAGTTCTGGCGACCCCCGCCGAGGATCACCTTCAGCCGCTGGCCCACCGGTTGTTCCACCAGCTGGCGCGCGATGTCGACGGTCTGCTCGGGGTCGCAGCCCCCGTTGGCCACCTCCCAGTCGTTCTCCCAGTTGCGGTCCGCCGTGTGGGCGAAGACGCCGGCCGGCGAGGCGTGGGTCACCCGGGCGGTGGTCACCAGGCCCGCGTCCTTGCCCGCCGCCTGCGCCCACTGGGCGATGCTCCACACGCGGTCCTCCTCCCGCTCCGCGCCCGAGCAGCTGTACCTGGGCACGTTGGCGTTCACGCCGATCGTCCCGTAGTTGCCCTTCACCCCGCCCAGATAGGCGGTGGCCGTGCAGGCGGAGTCGGCCACCTGCCGGTTCACGCAGTACGTCTTGGCCATTCCGGTGTGGGGGAAGCCCTCGAAGGAAAGCTGCTCCGCGCTGTCGCCCAGCAGGTTGCGCGTGGCCGTCGTCGTGTGGACGGACATCCCGTCGCCCAGGAACAGGATCACGTTCTTGGCCTTGTTCGTGTGCACCGCCTGCGCCTCCGCCAGCTTGGCCAGCAGCTTCTCCTGGGCCTTGTCCACCCAGTACTGGCTCTGCTGCTCCTCCGCGTGCTTGATCGGGTGCGACTCGGCGTCGAAGGACCTGCCACGAGGGTGGTCTGAAAGGTTCGGGAAACAAACGGGGGTTTTATCTTTTCTATTTGCTACTTTCTCTGAATTCAAGCACATCCAATGGACGGACATACGTTGGTTAAGGAGTATAAATCAATTAAGGCTTAGTGGCTTTCGAATACATAATATATCAATCGGATTAATCGACTCTTATCTCCACGCAGGGTTTAGCAGCAAACAAGAACTTGAGATAAGATGAGGTTCCAAGAATTTAATCTAAACGTTCTTCGTCCTAGAAGCTCTTATTACCAACCATAATTTAGTTTTAGTAGTTAGAAATTAATCCTTTGGTTCTTTTATTTTAAGTTTTATATATTTAAACTTTACTATCGATCATTTGGCATATGCAAATGGTTTGCCATTTATCTTTTGGATTTGAATATAAACTGCTTAGTTGGTTAATTTACCTCTCTGCCCACTGGCACTTCCGCTCAGCAAAACGGCGGCGAAGAACAGAAATATAATTGGCTTTGCCATTTTCCGGTTATCCCAGGCTAACCCAGTGACTTGTGAGGAGGTCAGACCTTGGTTGAAGACTGAACGGACTGACCGGCTGCCGAATAATTGGCTTCGGACTTATCGCGCAATATCAGAGTAAATCTAATCAGCGCAGGCCAAAGAAAACTAATCTAGACTGTTCAATCAAATCATCATTTATGGCTAACCACGAATGGGTTGACAGAAGTCGTAGAGCGGAGAAAAACCAATGCCAACAAGCTCACGTGCCTCTGGCCATAAAGTTTACACGCCTTCGAATCTCTCCCCATAATAGATTGCGTATACGCAGTGTGTGACCGAACTGAAGCTGTGCAGTTTCCTCTTGCTTTAAAGTTTTCTTACCACATCTCTTCTACTTTTGGTGACTTCAGGGGCTTTGTTCAAACGTCTTACTACTAAGGTTTCTGTGAAATGGCAATTGAATGTAACACTTGAACCCTTGACCCTTGGAAACCAATTGACTTTGAGTCTGCACGACTGATTGTCCAGATTGCATACTTTCGGGCTAGCCTAATACCACGGACTAATTAAAAGAAAACCCAAACAATTTCAATGTATATTTGTGCTTCGATTTGCCGCTTTTACAATATAGTTTTGGCCAGGGCCACGATGGAACCTGTAAACTTGATGACCTGAAAGGTGTGTTCGTTAGTTAAGTAATAAAAGAGCACAGCAAAGAACTCACCGATGTGAAAACTGGCAACGAAGGCGCGAAGAAGGGCACCCTCACCATGATGGGCCGTTGAGCTCGCAGGATGATGAGGAGCGCCCGCCGCCGGGTCTCTCGATCCCACTTGTACCAGGCGCTGCTGTAGGCAGCCTCCCCCAAGGAAAGACTCTGGAAGAAGAGCAGGAAAATCACTGATTTGGATTCGGAGGATTCGGGTACCCACCTCAGTGGACATTTCGGTGCCTCCGTAGCAGTAGAGGAATATGGCCGAGGACACAGTGAAGGTGTACACCACGTAGCGGATGATGTTGTAGCCGGAGTACTGCAGTGACAATTCGATTAGGGGAATCTGATATCTCAATAGAAAACAGATCTCACCAGCAGTATGTCAATCACACTGGTGGCTATCACCAAGCTGGCCGACACAAAGTGCACGAAAGTGGGGGCTGCCATGATGCCGGAGAACACCTGGACGATCTCCTCCACTTCGTTGTGGCGATCCACAATCTCCGCCAGGCGCTGACAACACCGCTCGCTCTCTCCGGCTGAGGGATCTGAGGGATGATTGCTGCTTTAGATGCATTGATTGTGGCCGCAACCCAGAAACTCACCCTCCACTGGCCTCAGAGCATCCTGAACGTCGAACCTCAGGGCCCGGAGCAGGAAGGCCATGTAGAGGGTGAAGCCGAAGAAGAAGCCATCGGTCCCGGCAAAGGCGTAGACGGTGACCTGGCCACTCCAGGTGGAGTAGAGGTAGAAGACCGGGAACCAGGGCATTCGGTGGGCGAAATCGGGGAAACTGTGTGCTCAAATCATATAAATCATATACTTCCGATCCGATCGGGTAATGTATTTCACCCACAGCATGCGGAAGGGCATGTCGAACTTGAACTCCTGCCGCCGGCGGGCGTACATCTCCCACAGGGATCGCAGGACGAAGGCCCCGGTGGTGATGCTGCCCAGGGTGAAGACCAGCATGCCGCACCGGGTGACCATCACGTAGTAGCTCCTCTGCGCGGAGTCCCTGCGGGGGTCGCGCCTGCCCTCCTGCTGCTCGATCAGCAGCCGGATGCGGTCCATCAGGGCGGCAACCTCCTGGCGGCGCCACCACATCCAGCCGAGCTTGAAGAGCGTGGTGAAGCTACAGGCCAGCGGGCAGAAGGCGTCCATCGCGTCCACCGGACTGCTGCGCAGGTGGCTCCAGCCGAAGACGAACTCCGCCTGGCAGCAGTGCGCCAGGTTGAGGAAGTTGAACAGCAGCCAGGAGAGATGCAGCCAGGTCATCTTGCGGCCGAACCGCAGGCCCAGCAGGCCGAAGGAGTACCTGGTCACGAAGAACAGATGCTTCGCCAGCGGATAGTTGCGGTCTAGGAATCGCGGATACATGACTTCTCCAGTCTTCCCAGGGGGACCTTTCTTTTATATTCCCCCAAAGGAGCTCCTTATTGCTTAATTACTGTTTTCAGCCCAAGGAAATGCCACCTGGCCATGGTTAATGATGGGATTGGGTAATTGGGTGGGCGACAGACCCAATACGCCCCCAAAATATGTAATGTTTGTGCTCTCAACCTAGCAATTAAACTCTTACCCCTATCAAAACATTATAAGCGGATCAGCCAAACGATTAGTTCTTATACCCTCGCAGAGGGTTTTATAATTTCAGTCAGAAGTTTGCAACGCAGTGAAGGAGTCACCTAAGACCCCATAATGTATTATATTCTTGATCATTTTTTGCAATTTTTTTCACAGTTAAAATGATTTATGTGTGTTGTATAGTTTTGTAAAACAGAGAAGCCTAATCTAATCGATTGAATGCAATTTAATTGCAATTTGACTGACCCCCTGTCCCCTGACCCCTGTCAAAAATCGGTAAATGTTTTTTTTTTTTGGAATTGTCTTAAATCTATCACCAAAAATATAGAATCTTAATAAAACAATCAACATAGCTTTTATGTTGTTTAGCCTTTACGTTGTTTGTTCGACATATTTGATGACTACAAGGGTATATAAGCTTCCTGTCTTGTTACATAAAAAATTGTTTAATTGAAGTCCAATCCCAATTCAAAGGTAATTATAACCTTGGATTCAGAGTAATACAATAGTTATACCACACAGAATAAATAAAGCCTTTTTTCTATACAATTTATATACGATATACAAAAAGTTGTTTGTTTTCAGAATTGTACTTGTGCGAGCATATCGAAGTGGAAAACAGTTTGGTGATGGCAGGGGCTCCCCATCTTCTGTATACCCAATTTAGAGCGCTCCTCGGCTTGCGCCAAACCAAAAGGCATCCATAAATATGAGCTCCGCTTGCTGTGGGCTGCGAGCATAAATTTGTGTTTGCCCTTTTCGCTGTGTTTCGGCTTGTTGTGGGAAGTTTGCCGGGATGCCGATGAACCCGCGCCAGATTCGAATTTCAAATCAGCCGGAGATGTGGGTCAGGCGAAGGGATTTGCATGGCATTCGCCGCACGGAGAGTGATGGTGATGCATGCACCGCCCGCTGGCCTCCTCTCCTTGGGTGAATCACTTTTAATTAAGTTCTTTGTCCGGCTCACGTTGCGTATGAGCGATATCGATTTGCAGTGGGGCCCTCTCGATTACGACTTCTTTGGCAGGGGTGGGTTGGGCCGTGGAGCAGCCAGCTCCTTGCGGAAAATCATCCACCCCGGGCTGATATCATCACTCCGCTCCACGAACTGAACTCCCACAATTGAGCGCCTCGTTTTACGGTTAACCACCCCCGAAAAACGGCAACAAAGGTGACCCCGACACACCCTGTTGAGCCACCCAGCCACCCAACCACCCCGGGAAAATCTCGCCTGGAAGGCCCCCTCATTACGCTTTCCCGATCCCGCTGCGGGAAATGGGGAAAATCAGCACAGCGCACAGCAGAGCCAGCACAGCAGAGCAAGTGGAAGGCTAGGAGTGCCAGAGCTGGAACGGCGAAAAGGAGGCCAGCGTGTCAGCGAGTCGCCAAAAAACAGTTGCAGAACCCGAACGAAAAACCCGTTTTCCCACCAGCACAAAAGACACGCCGTTGGTTGGTTGGTTGGCCCACATTCGGCGAGTCGCTGTGGAAATTGGAAGCGAGTTTTCCCTGTTCCGCGCGGGGAGGCGCCTCGGAACAGGTTGATTTTCCTGCAGCCGCCGCTGGCCATTAGCCAAATGGGATTTCACACGCTTCCTTTGGGCTCCACTTGGCACTCCGCACTCCGCACTCCGCAATCCGATGCGTTCGCCGCACGTCATGGCCCAGTTGGAGTTGCCCCCGCCGGAGTCGCTGGCATCGGTGCCTGTCAGCACCACCATTCAGTGCTCCATGTCATACACGGAAAACATAAAGGCTCGACAGTGGGTCACCCATCACCACTCCTATATTCCTGCAATATAATCTTTTCAATGGGTAGAAATTGGGGGTTTTTTCTCGCTGTGCAGAGCACCTCCATCCACCGTCGTCGTCGTCCAGCTGCAGGCGGGATCAATTATTAAGGCGCCGCTCGGGATGTGTGCGACAACCTGATTGACAACCTGCTCAGAGGCTTTCAGCACGTCATCCGAGTGGCATAAACTCATCCACAGTTGACAATCAGTTTGGCTGAAATAAAAGCCCGAAATGGGTCCAAAGTTAATACACCCGTGAGTGTGCGTTGCAAATGGTGTGGAGGTGGCAGAGACTCATATTGATTTGAACCCTTGGTGACATAAGAGCGATTTTACGGATTGGATGTACACCTTTGACAGTACTATAAAGTTATGATGGTTCTACAGATTGAGAATGGAAGTTCTTTCATTTGATTTTGAAGAAAATAGCCCCTTTTTACTCACCATTACTTCAATTGTTCTCAGAGCCATTGCCATGCAATCAAGATAGAGATACGAAGCCTTAGCTTTCGCCTTGGGTTTATGCGTTTCTGACATGACATTCCGGTTGGGAGTGCGTGATTATGGAGACAGTTAACCCAGTTGATTGTTATCAGGCCGAAGGCATTACTTACTAATAATTTCCGATGCCCAGCGCTAATCCGGAGCAACTATTTCGGATGGGGGTAACCAGAACCCCGCGGACACTTCGCTCTTCGCTGGTTAATTTACAGAGCTGCGTTAATTATAATTAAAACAGGCGAACTAAATGAATAAACGTATAAATAGCATGTACGTGACTGTGTGCCAGAGCCATATCTATATAGCGATGAGTGGCTATATATATATATACACACACATATCTAGCGGACTAGTGGGGCTATATCCCCGTTCGCATGGCCGCAGATCGAGCGTGACACAATACAATTTGAGGCGCTTTGTTCTAAGCGCTCGAAGCCCCTCGCTTTGCCCCGATTTTCCCCGCTTTTCCCCGCTTTGGCAGCTCGGCACTGAGCGAGCAGACGTGACATAAGCTAAATTGTTTTAAATTTTGTTGAATCGCTTTTCCAATGACTGGCGACTGGCAAGCGTTCTCAGTGCGATAAATTGGAACCGCCTCGCATGTCATGTGGTCGAGTGGATGTTGCTGGTTCTGGATGGTCTGAGGTCTGCGGCTTGCGGCCAACTTGGCCGGAGGAGATCTTAGGGCCTACACCCACACTCACACACATGTGAGTATCCCAGTCAATGGGGCAGCGGATAATTGCGGACCGAAGGGAGCTGTCAGCTGACCGCCAGTGGGCCAAACGGACAACCACTTACCCCTGTTCGCCGAGCGCCAGCAAACGCCCCTGATTAATGACAATTAGCGCGGATCGATGTTGGATCGGCGGCGGCCTCCAGCTTGGCCACATTTACAGACCGAAACATGAGCACTCGCTTCCTCCGGTTCGAAGCGACAAATGTGCTGACATCAACATGTCCAGCATAACAAGGCCGCAAAGCGGGAGGGGAGTGTCAGGGGGAGGGGGGCCCAGTTGACATTAATTAGTGCCATTTTAATGGATAATTGTAATTTATTCAGCAGCATACTTGCTTAGTGTGGGACTGTGAGTGTCAGCAACACTCTAAATTCGTATTCTGGAATTCTGGAAAAACCACATCAGCTCATGACGTTTTTCAGAGAGAGATCTCAGGCGGTACGAGCTGACTCTTTAATCTCCGTGGCACCGGGATTATTCTTAGGTAACCAGTGCATCTAAGGCGAAAAGCTCAAAGCTCCAGGGAAGCCGAGTAGAAGTCCGACCGAAGAAACCCCATTAATCACACAACTCGGCACAAAGTGCTGTGTTCTGGTGTTCTGGTTCTGGGGCTGAAGTGCGGCTCAAAAGCCAAATCCACAAATTTCAAACTCGTTGCCTTCAAGGCCAACTTCTTATTAAATGCCAACTTGTGAGCCGCCGAATGGAGCCGCTTCGAGAAGTTGCAAGGGGCAGGCAGCCAAGCAGAAGGACTATGATTTCGCACCGACCAAAGATCAAACGAGGGAAGAGTCGCGACTAGTTCCATTTACTGTAGGATAAGCTTTCAAAGATCAACAAATGCACGATGGCGTCACTTCACTTGACATCCGATGTGGGGATTTGGAGCCTACAAAGCAGCAACAGGATCCCGCCATTAAATAATGCTTTTCATTTTTGCTGCGTCAGGATGAATTCTGGCTGTCACTGCACATTGTGAAATATGTATTAGAGGCTTTCACTGTTGAATATTTTTTTAATTGCCCGAAATGACTATATTAAGGTAAAGGGTTAAGGTATTCGAATCGGGGAGTGTCCGCTAAAAGGCGACACTTAGAACAAACTTACTTCTATAACGATAACATACCCATATTTACTTAAAACTGCAGGCTTTTGAACAGAAAACAGGTTAGTGATTAATAAAGACTTTAAGCAGTAGCTTTGTTCCTTACATTTTCCTATTATCAAACTTCTATTTTACTTTTCTTTTATTTATAATATTTTTTGAAAACCCCATTTTGTATAAGACTGCACATATGTAAATTGCTTTGTGTACATCGAGTATTAGTTCGAGTTATGGAAGTCGGAATGTACATATTATAGACAGATCTGTATTTACTGTTTCCCGTCTCTTTCCAACCGCTTTGTTTACCCGTTGGCTTTGTCTCGCTCTCAAGGTCAGCTGCTGCAGGCGTTAGAAAGAGATAGAAAACCGAGCCGCGACTCCGGACTACAAAGTCAAAGTTTCGAATGCAAAAAATAAATTATACATTGCGAATAGTAATAGTTATTGTTTGAATTTCCAAGGTCCACAAATCGTTCTGCGAACGCAATTACCTCCGACATTGTATATTGTATACTAATAAAAATCTCTAATCGAGTTGCTGGCATGACATTCCGTATATCTATTTTTTCCAAGCGAATGATTCGTGTAATGAGCACCTGAACAACCAATTTATATAATTTTCGAAAAATAATTTCAGCGGGAATTGCATCACCAGCAATTGCAGTTCTTAGTCATATCCCCTTAATTAATGGGAAAAATAAGTGTCAGCAAAAGTCCCATGACAAATGAAGATTGTTTATTAGTCTGAGATACTTGTTCTGCGAAATATGATTCATTCCTCAGATAGAAACTTGATTTTCTACTTCTCCTTTTCGAAAAAAAACTAGAAACATAATTCTCTCACACACACACGGATACACTGGCGCGTAGACATGCGTGTTTACGTAAGTTTCGCTTTTGTTGTAGTTCGTAGCTCCCCTCTCTCTGCCGCTCTCCCCCCGCTGCCCATCGCCGTTCATTGTACAGTTTCATTTGCTTCCATACAACACACACACATCATTCACTCTTGGCAACAGCAAAAAGACCAACAACAAGCACGCGCTGTCGTAACGGTTCTCGGCGCGCCCTCTCCCTCCCACCCGTTAGCTTTGCCGCACACACATCCGAAACTTGGGTCAAAGTGTGCAAGTGTGCGTGTGCGTGGAATGATAAAACATAAAACGTGTAATGAAGTCATTGAAGAGGAGAGCAGAGCGAAGAGCACTCACTGGAAAGAGGCAAACGGTTGCGGCTGAATAACTGCTGCTGGAAATATAGAGGGCATTTATTTATTTCGACTACAAATGTGTGGCTGCTTAGAACTATGATTAATTTGTGGCACTCTGCCCATGTTGATACGCCCGCAATTTGTATAGGAGAGAGAAAAAGACTGACTATTTAATAAGCACAGTGAGTCCCCGTCTCGCTCCCACATAGGTTGCAGTACGTTGCTGATAGGCTGATAAACAGCAAAAACTAGTCCACTGCTGGCTGGAGAAAACACTCGCGGGCGCAAAAAATTCCATTAGATTACCGCGAAGCGAAGGAGAAGCGAAACGCGCGGAAAAAACGCGGCCAGCTTTGGTCGCTGTGCAGCTGCAAATGACGCGAGTTGACGAAGCGAAACCAAGGCAACAGACTCGACGAAGCCGAACTGAACGAAGCGAAAGCGCTTTGTTAGAATTCACGCGCTCGGACGTGTGTTCCATAAAATATGACGTCGCCGGAGCTTTTCGCTCTCTCCGAATTTGGGTGAAAAATATGTATGTGTGGATTTTTTTTTTTTCCGACTTGCCGTCTGTCTTCCGATAATGAAAAGCACACATTCACGGGCCTTAGAAACACGCGAGCGAGCGGGACGGCAACGGCGGCAGCGCCATTTGCAAGTTGCGTAATTGATTCAGAAAAAGAAATGTGTCATCCAGTTCCTGCTGCCATCTCCCTCTTTTGACTTGGCTCCCTCGATATTCCTGTTCTTTACGTAATCCGCGGTTCGCCTCTGTGATTTTAATTGTCCGCTTTCTTGCTTGTTTGGCTGTTCCCGGTCTGCGGCTATGCAGGCAAAGTTCACTAGGAAAACCACCACCAACTCAACCGCCGCGACTATTTTCGACGTTAGCAACAGCGTAGGACGCGCTCTCTCAGCCAGTTCTCCTTGGGTTTTCCCACTGAGGGTTCTCCGTTACTTTGTGTTTTGCTTATTTCCAAGTGAAGAGCTAAACCGACCGCACTGGTCGACGTTCGACGGCGAATGAAACGCAGAACGGAAAAACGCGAGCCAAAGTCGCTTCCCAGCGCGCGAGTGGAGAGTTGGCGTCGACGTCGCCGCTTGGAGAGTTGCGCGCAAGTACAGTACAGCGCTATCTGCTCCGCGCGGGAGCGAACGGGATGGGAGGCAGAGCTTTCGGCGCTGTACATAGGCGGCATGTTTGTGTGCGTGCGCTTTGTCGCTGACACACATTCAAGTCGCTGCTCACTTTTGTTGCTGCTGGTTTTCCATTGAAGTGTAGCTTTGTCGCCGTGTAGCGCACTTTGATGAAATTTTCCGCGTCTCGATGTTTTTCCATTGAAAGGCAAACGTAACCATGTAAATTACGAAAGATAAACCTGCAATCTAATTAGAAATCTGCATGTTGGCCAAAGAAAGTGGGTTAGTTTGATTAGTTGTAAGGCACAAACACATTCTCAGCGCCCCAACATGTGTGCAAAAGTGTGTCATCACATGTTATGTATCTGAGTATGTATGTATGTATGTATGTATTTTATATACGAGTTTTTCCGCACACACACAGACAGTTCTTTGTGTGCAGTAAGTGCCAACTAGAAACGGAAAACTGAAAACTAGGTTATTGGCGCGCGAATCTCCAACTTGCCACTGCCCCCCTCATTTTCTTCCTTCTTCACCGATTTTCCACTTGGCACGCAAAGCTGCAGCTGCACCATTGTTTTTGTTTCTGTTTCCAATCTTTTTTCGGTTGCCAGGCAACGGGATCCGAGGGGCTGGCTTGGAAGTGGGCGGAAATTGATGCAATTTTTGGGGTCTTCGCGATGACGACATCAGAAAATAAATTAAAACCAGTTCGAAAGCGAAACAAATTTTCGGCGATGACGCCACAACTGCTGCTGCCTTTTGCGTTTTATGTTTTTATGCTCAAAAATTAAAAGCCACACGGGAAAAAACCATAAGCCCAAAGCAAAGCAGAAGAAAGCTGTCAAGAGAGCTATCGCCATCCCACTCGCTCTGCAGACGTGAGTTGCATGTGATTTCTTTTAATTTTCGTCTCTGTTTACGTTTTCTTAACCGCAAAACAGAAACCGAAAAGACCAGAAAATTTGTTCGTCTTTTTTTGGGTTAAAAGTTAATGCGCTCCAGGCACGAACTTCTGTGTTCCCCCGATTTTTCGGATTTTTTGGAGAGTGTCTTTCAATTACTCCGAACACGCACAAATTCTGGTTAAAATGACTTCGGATCAGGGGCATCTAAGGCTTTCTGGGGTAAGGGGAATTTCGAGAGCATTTAAGCTTGAAATCATCTAAGGAATGAAAGTATAAACATTCAAGGAATGTACTACGCATACATACATACATACATATGTACATACAAATGTACATACATACATATATTGTTATTACTACCCCACACCACACTTTTTGTTAACTCTCTTCAAAATCATTTCAAATGGTTTTCAGTGTATTCTACTAAGAAGAATCTTGTCAGAAACCGCTCTTTCCGAGCATTACAGTGGTTCTACTGGGCAGCTTCGGGAAAACAGGTTTCTCTAATCCCACAACATAACCACTTTTAATTGGAGGCGAGCTGCAGCCTTGTGGACTGAGCTTTTGAACTTTAAGTTCTAATCCATCAGCTGGGGCTGGGAACAAAAAGCCGTACACCTTGAACAACCCACACGTATGTATTAGTGACTAATTAGAGAGTCCGACGCCGAGAATAACTCGAAAAATCGATGGCGAATGATACAGCCGAGAAGCGTTCGCTTGGCTCTGTAATTTTATGCAATTATTGTGCTGCAGGTCGGCTGCTTGCCAATAGCTATTAATATTTAATGGCTTCTGCCCCGACATCTGGCATCTGGTCCACAGTTGGACTTTAAGCCTATGCGATTTGGTTCTAGTGTGGGGCGATGTCGATGGAAGTAGTGTTATCAGCGAGCCGACACTATGGGGTCAAAATTCCACAACTATGAAAAAGGTTCTGAATTGAATTTTTTTGTTAGCATCTTACACTTTTAACATTATACAAAATTAAGAAAAACATTTGTATCACCATTGGTTCTTGAAAATGGTTTGTTCCTTTTAAAATGTTTGTTCAATCACACAAGTATGTACATAGTTGGTTAGGCTGGTAATATAAAAAGTCCATTGAAGTTACCGTTATTTTGTCTACAAGATTGTGTATTACAAAGCTTCACACTAGCACGAATCGTTTTTGTTATAAAAACTTTGAGAAAGCACCCATAAAACCCATTTGAAAGAGAGTTCCGCAACGGAAAGTCCCCATAACTCGTCTTTCTATTTGTCAGATGGCTCGACTCAGAGCTCCCCGGCGGCCGTCCGCTACTTACTTGGTCCAGATTGTCCAGAACTGGTTTATCAGCCAACTGATAAGCGAATTCGCGCGCTGCACACCATGGAACGCGTCTAATGCCAGCGGATCAGGATTGGCGAATGGCCCATCAGACTCCAACTCGCTTTCTGCTCGGCCGAAAATCGTTTCTGTACTTCTACGCTTCTATATGCGTGGCGTGGAGCCCACGAAAGCCGAGGCCCCAGCACATGGCCATAAAAGTGTACATAAAGTGGGGTCTGTACAAGCTTTTCCATGTACTCGCTGGGGTGGGGGGCTTTGGGGGTGTGCCAGTGTGTAGGTCACCGAGGCACGGCGTCGACGTCGCCGTCGCTGCTCGCCGCTCGCGAGGCCCCCAAGAAGTCTGCGGCAGAAGCTCAGACCCCGAAAACCCCATTTAACGCTCTTGAAGGGAAAATATCTGAAAAGCCGCGACTGGGAATTGCGCACAAAGGCGGAAAAACTTGGCCAGCTGCTGCGCAGTTGATAAGCAAAATGAAAACTTAGTCACTTCCAGGCGATAGACGCACTGCTGTTTCCGCCTTGGGATTGATTAGGAGCAGTGGTAAAGCCGATCTCAAAAAACCAAGAAACACAAAACTCGCATTTTTGGAATGTATGTATCTTCCGTTTGGGAGAAGGGAGTTGCTTTGATATTCCTCGCAAACAAATTCCGATGCAACTTCCTTACTGGGACCTTCACTTCCCGAAAAACCCAGTCACCCCCGGGCTTTTTCCCGCCTCGAAACCTCAACCCACCCTGGAAAGTCGGCCAGTACTGCGCATGTTTCCACATTCTTTTGCAGTTTCCTTTGTGAAACAATTCATCCGACGCACGGAACATTCATACAACATATAGGGGCAGAAAATGTCTCTTTGTTTCTCATTTTTACCTGGCGGCCAAGGCACTTTTCATTAGAATGATAACTTGGCAAGAAATTGCGCCTTATCAAGGGGCTTCCACTTCCTTTGTTTATTTTCTTTTTAGTTTTTCCCGAATGCAATTGCAATGTTTGGGGAGGGTATTTTGAAATAGAACCAGTTTGCTGACATTTGCATATATGTATGTACATATATCTATGTATTTTCATATGAGTGCACGTACATATTTACAATTCCTTGGCAATTGGATCTTCTAGTTAATGGTCTGATCGCCAAATTCAGGAAGTTAAGTTTGAAGAGAATGTAATCAGCTCGTTTCGTTTATTGCTGGATTTTTATGTGTGAAATTATCCATAGGATTTCCGTTCGAAATTATTATCCGAATGTTCGCTACTGCCCACAATATTAGCAAATATGTACATACTTTCGGATGTTTGTACATATGTATTACATTTTGAAATATTTAAAAAAGAATTCCTTGTCTGATGACTTAAAGATTAAATTCATATTTTATGTTGTCTATTATTCGGGTCAGACAAAGTACATGCTAATGACTAATTTAGGGATACTTTGTTGGCAGTTTCTGTTTTTCCTGGCCGCAATCTTGGCCAAAGGCAGACAATCTGCGCCTAATTGGTAACCAAAGAGCGCGCTGGCTCTGAATAAATATAATTAGAAGGTCTTCAGAGTTTGAATTACGATTTTGGGTCTGAGTTTTTTCCGTATCAGTGAGCTCGTTTGGCTTGGGACTGGGGGAAATTCTGTCAGGTCAGGTAGAGGTTGCGAAAATGTAAACCGAAACGGTTTCGGGGATGAGAAGGTCGTTTGCCCGGCACTGGGCACTTTTCCCCCGGAACGAGTCCGGGAATCCGTGACACGGAATTTCCATTTGGCTCCCCACATTCCCCGGGAGTGTGCGGCGTTAATGAAGGCATTTGAGCCAAACAAGTTGCAGTCCCCCCTCCCCGAAAGAGGAAACCCAAAAGACAGGAGAAACTCCGAGTGCAACTCCGGAAAGTCGCCGTCCAAAAATGAGTGAGAGAAGAAAAGGCAGCCGACACACAGCGACAATGCAGCTAAGTAAACAAAAAGAGGGAGCCAAAAGAAAAGAGGGAGGGACGCAGAGAGAGAGCGAAGAAAGGAAAACATTTACAAAAGAAAGTTCATTGAACCGCTGTGGCAGCGTTGTTGGCTACTTCATTTTTGAGCCATGGATGTTGATGACGTCTTGAGGTTGAATTTCAAACCAATACTTCAAATAGCCGAGCAACGCAGAAATTTAATCGTCAGCGTCAGTGACCCCCGCTACTTCCCCAACCATATGCTTTTCAGAATCGGAAACCAAGTCCCCAAATGGGGATCGTTTACTCGTTTACCCAAGGGTGCAGAAACAAAGTTGTGATTTTAAGGAGTTAAATCGCACTAAAGTAATAGCCGATTTGGAAATGGAACAGCAACTCGATCACAAGATCTTCGACGAAGAACATACATATATGTATATGTATGTATGTAAGTATGTAAGTACATATGTACATATGCCTAGAATAGTCGACGGTTAAATTCCCAGGAAAAAAATAATACTTTTTATGAGGAAAAATAATTGAAGCTCTGACACACATACATATGTATGTACATATGTAAGAAATTCAGAGTCAGAGAATTTTCGTTATTTACAGCTATTTTTCAATGCAATATGGGAAAAAGGTAGGGGAGTGAGCGATCGGTCTTATCTGCTAGCTGTTTGAAGCGCTGCTAGTGCGAATTTATCAATAAACAATCAAACAAACTTACGTGCAGCGACACGAAAACAGTAACCGCTGCATTTACATACATACGAATGTACACACAGCCAGCACAGGTAAGTAGGTTGTACATACCAAGGGTGTGGTTGAGATTGCTTTTTGAGGGGGTTTCAAACAAGAAAACTTCCATCAATGAAAGATAACAGAACGGTGCAAATATTTGAAATTTTTAAAATTAATTTTGAATAAAGTTAATAAGTTACGCTTGACCCCTTTTCTACGGCTGCCTACTCCCTTGGTTCATACGCCGTTCGTTGAGTTTTGCGAAGCCGACTACGAATGAACGAAACAAAAACGATGAAGAACAAAACGCGATGAAACCCAAACGAAAACCGTATGTATGCGTGGCGTTCGTGCGAGTGTGTGTGAGCGTGAGGGACGGGAGAGAACGCGCCTGTTGCAAAAATTCAGTGTTGCACTCTTATTCGTGACGAAAGGATGTACGCCCGGTTGTAGTCGAATGAATCCGTGTACATCATCGCCCCCGCACATGCCACGTGGCTCTGGATCGGTGGAAAACTCCACGCTGGAATCTCACGGCTTGCAGCTGCTGGAGATGCCTGGAAAAGAAGATTACGAGGAGTTGCGCGAGCTTCTGCAGTCATGGGACGTCGCTGATCTGCTGCCCCACCTGCAAGGTATGTACATATGTATATATGAACGCCTGTACATACATATGTAAACAAACCAAAACACAAGCGCCGATAAAGAGCGGGAGCAAAGAGAACGCGACTTTAACCCTGAGTGTGTCGCCGGGGTTCAGACTTGGCTGTCGAGTCAAGGTCTTTCTATTATGGGGTTGAAAATAGTTATTAATTATTAAAAGAAATATATGTATACATATATACAAAATATTATTAATGAAAAAAAACATAAATATTTATTATGCTTTAGCTTAAAAAGCAGATTACCCAATTTGTCCTTACTCTTCTCCAGATGAGGCCATCAACGTGGACGAGCTGCAGATGATAAAGCGCCACCACGTCTCCGAGTTGCTGCGGAACTTCCGCTTCGGAACGCGCATCCGCTTCGAGCACCACTTGGAGCGCTGGCGGCGCTGGCTGAACGTGCCCCTGCAGGGCGGCCAGGGGCAGGGATCGACGCACTGCTCCGGGTGCCGCTGCTCGGAGGTGCAGGCCCAGGCCGTCTGCCAGGGACAGACGCCCCTGGGCATGGGCCACGCGGCGGAGGGGTTGGAGGAAATGGAGAAGACCGTGGACCTGGCCAAGGCGGTGCCGGCGCAGTCGCTGTTGGCCAGCAGCGAGCCCGGGGAGATGCCCGTGCCCTTCCAGATGCCCATGGAGCAGACTGTCCCGCAGATGGCCAACGAGATGGCGCTGGTCAAGCAGGAGCTGCTTCCGGCGCAGCCACAGCGGGCAGCGGAACCGGAACCGGGAGCCGGTTCCTCCGGAGGAACCTCCGCCTGCAAGGAGGAGCCAGGAGCGGTGGCTGACCAGGAGGTCAGCATCGTGGGCATCCTTCGGGCCTCCGGAGCGAAGTCCCAGTCGCTGCTAGAGCGCATTGGCCTGAACGAGCCCCTGGACGCTGTGCAGCGGCTCCTGCTCATCCAGCTGGTGTGCAGCTACTACGAGGAGAACCACTTGCACCTGACCCTGCAGCGGAGCCACCTGCTGGAGCGCGAGATCCTGCAGCTCTTCCCGCAGGAGCAGCTCCACTACTACCGCACCGAGAGGCGCGGCAAGATCTACGTGCGGTTCACCAACATGAAGCGGAGCAAGCGGCTCAGCTCCTCGCGCCAGGAGCTGAAGCGCCGCCGGACCGAGCTCATCAGGCCGCTGCCCGCAGGACCGGCGCCGAGTGCCAACGCGACCTTCGGCCCGGACCAGATCTCCAGTCCGGACCGCTCCGATTGAGCCGGTTGAACAGCTAAGCCCAAAACCCTAACGTAGTGATAATCTTAGGCTAAGCTATTCTCTCGGTGTGTAATTTCTGTGTGTTATATCTGTGAACCGACCATTTATAGGGTACTTTGCGGGTCGACCCGATCCGGCGACTGACGAAACTAAATCGAAACTGATTTTGGTTACATGGCTGTTTTTCTGTTTCTTTTTTTTCAAAGGGGGTTCTGTTCTTGCTGAAAAAGTGATTACATCAGCGGCGAAAATAGCCGGTCGACGGCGTGTTAACAATCGGCAAACACGGCAAGCGCGGCCAGCGACTTGCTGACTAACTGCTAAGTGCGGCCAGAAAGTATCTGCACTGCGGGAAAACAGCGCTTTGATTTGCGAGCAAGATTTCAGCTTTCGGTTGTTTCTAATGCTTACTAATGACGGCATTTTGTTTTTTGTTTTGCTAACAATACTTTTCGTTTGGACTTATACGTTTTTAGATACTTCTTTGATCAATGAGAAATTGAATAACTTTTCAAGTATAAATAGTTTTTGCTTCCCAAAGCATGCTTATTGATGCATTTAATTTCTCAGTTCGAGAAAAGGGAGTCTTCGATACGAGCTGTTTTTTATCTGCGCGAGATACACGACGAATTGCAAGGGGCGTTTCGCTCGAAACTAATTAATTAAGTTGCCGCTTAGAGCTGCTTTTCCAGTACTTTGTCAGCCGTGCTGGGCGCCTCGCTTCGACTTCAGCTCGGCCCCACATGTTCGTTGCTAATTGCCTTTATCAGTGTCGCGCCGGAGAGCAAACAGAACTATCTGAGGCCCCAACAGATAGCGGGTAATTGCCCGGCGGGCTCCATTTTAGCCACCTTTGGGGGCGGTGATGTTCGCATTTGTGCATTTTCAGCGCTCTTCGATTTTCGGCCAGCGCATTCCGACAGATCTCTCGGAAACCCCTTTTGGTGTTCTCGAGCAATTGTTCTGTGCATGTATCTAATGGATACGCCGCAGTAAATAGGTCGGCGCCGCAAAGCGACAAAAGTCGCGCGCGACAAACTATTTGATTCGAGGCGAAAGCGTATCTGCGAGCTTTGCCAGCCGCAAAAGCTCCTATGTACTTCGTATCTGCGAGATACTTCTTACATTGTTCCTGCCTTAATTACACCAATTCTGGGTTATTACACACGATCGCCGTTCCCGCAGCCTACATACATACATACATACATACGTATGTACATCAAAGCGACTTTGTGAGCAACGCCGTACTTGTTTCGTTTATCTTATCTAGGCTCTGTGCTTTTTCAGCCGCCTCTTCTGCGCGTTCCACTCGCTCTTTCCTCTTTCCTCTTTGCACTTTCCTCCTTCCCTTGTTTCGTTTTTCTATGGCATCCGAATAGCTGGACGGGCCACTCACACAGAAACACTTTTTCGAGTGGGGAAAGTAGGTCAATTACACGTGTCAGTGTGTATGTACATACGTACATCTGTGTTTTGTATTTTGTGTTTGGTATCTGCGGCATACAAGGTACATGGGTTTTATGCTTGGCCAGCATAATCAAACAAGCGCTTTGTTGTCGCTTCTTCGTGGCCCGATCAAAAGTCTACTATTTGCCCAGTTCTCCATTCTCCATTCTCCGCGTTCCGTACTCCGTTCTTTGTTTTCTCTTTTTCCACTGGTTTCTAGGCCAAAACGCTGCAATGGGCGTACTTCTTGTTTATCTTGTGTGGAGTTTTATGGACGGAACTCGGACTGAAGATAACCTGCTAGAAGATAAATGGGTGGCTCTGTTTTGGGTAGAGATTGGGAAATCCCAAAAGTATTTGAGAACAGCTTAAAAATCATTGAAAACTGAAGAGATAATTCATCGTTAAGAACTCTCCAATCAATGGCAATCTTCAAATCTCTCCAAAATACAGAAAAAGTTCTAGGAACCTTGAACTAAAGTTTTGCGGCAATTCGAACGTTTTATTCTTAGGTCTCTCCCCGTAAAAATAGTCCTCTCCGAAGGCGAATTTTTCCCGTGTGGAAAGGACGTTGAAAGGACAAGAAAACCGTTGGAATGTGCGGGGGTGGATACAAATTATATACATACTGCGAATGGCGCAACTTAGTCGGGGGGGAGATAAAAAAACGCCCGACTATATATGCCCGCAAATTGGGTCAATCGATAAAAGAGGCAGCGACGGAGGCGTCGAAAGCGGCACATGCGCCAAAAGGGGGCGAAGGTGGGGTGGGTGTGGCGCCCAAGGAGCTTTTCCGACGTTTTTCCTTTTTCCGAGAGCCTGTTGTTGGTAATCCAATTGTAGGTGGGCCAGCAGCGTTCTAAATATATGGGGCCATGTAATGTGCGCATTACACATAGGAGTCATGTGCTCTGTTCAAATATATACGAGTGTAGTGTGTGTATGTATGTATATAGTACCCTTCCTGCGTTACATGGCTCCAGCAATATGGATTACATCACACGAGGTTCTGCAGCCCGAATCTCTGTGTGTGTTTGTGTGTGTGTGTGCGACTTTTAATATTTTATAGGGCAGCTGTCACTGCTCCACTTCCACCCCCCGGAAACCCTCTGAAGGGCCCCCGGAAACCTTCCGAAGAACCCCCAAAAGCACCCACTAACTGCGGGCCCGTAAAGCGGAGTTTGGGACACATTTTCGTTCCAAGCTGATAAAATAAATAAAGGACCCGTAATGAATGTTTTTCTTCCAGGGCTGATTAAATTTTTGCAGGCTGTTCTGAATATTTCTTCCCACAAGAATGTTAAACATTGCGGGGAGGCAAAAGTTTTACTGGAACTTGCTACTTTATTCTCGGCGGTCTAAAATTGATTTTCTAAGTGCTTTAGGCCAAAAGTGGCTACAGGAAATGTTGTACTTCTTTGTAGTTCTCTTTGTTTTATGTTTTCCGAAAAGCGCTGGCCATGTTTTATTTGCATATACTTAGATGACTCAACAAAAATTCATTAAAATAGTTTAACACTTTGATGTTTTAACTATGTTCCAAGAAAAAAAGACAAGCGGTTACTCTTGACTAAAAAAATAAAAGAAACCGAAATTATACTATGAATTGCTCGAAATGATACAACATATCATTCAGAACTGAAAAATATAAAAATTTAGGTATTTTAATCGATCTTAAATGTAAAATAGAGAAATCTTAAATAGAATTGATTTAAAAAATAATATTATTGTCACGGACCCAAACCATCTTACATTACTTTACATACATTCACTGCTTACCTTCTTTACAGATATAATTTACAGAGCCTGTGTAGAATGAATAGCACTGCTTGGATTTCGTGAGGCAACCCTCGAAAAAGGCGGGTAATTTAAAAACCTAGAAAGAAAATATTCTTTAGCTGTAACTTGTCTCGATCAGAAAAACTCCCACAAACTCAGTTCAACACGACACTGGCTGATATTATTTGAAATATATTTTATTGGTAGGCAGTTTTGAAGAACATTTGTAATGACATTTATATATAATGAACATGTTTCAAATAATCATTTTCATCTCGCTTTCATTGCGCTCGACTTTCTCCATTTGTAATATTCTTCTATGTATGTATGTATATAATAAATTTATTTACTTTGTTATTATTATATTTTTCCCACCTCACCTCTAATCGTTTACTTTGTTTAGTTGCTGCGGTTGCGTTTTTGTTGTTTACCTTTAATGTTGCTCTTTGTTGTTGTGGTTGATTCTTAATTTGGTTTGTCGTTTGTTTTCTCATATACCTTGTAAACTTATGTAGTTTCATATATGTATAATTTATATATATGTGTGTATATATACTGGCTTACTATAAGTTACTTAAAAAACATTATATAATAAATATTTACTCGTACTTTATGTATGCCTCCCCTTGTTCCGTTCAATTGCCTACTCCTGCTAAAGTCCAGTGCTCAGATCGACAAGGTTTGTTCGGATCACAAGTTTCAGTAGAAATCGGGTGGCAGAGCTTAGAGCAGGATTCGAGCACAGTGTGGCCAAAGCTATTGGTGACTTTATCTAATGACCGGTCACACTGCGCCAAAGCGGCTATTCACCTTCCGAAAAAGTTGCTGTTCTGAGTACTGGGCTTTACTTCATATATTTGTATAATATATGTATGTGTATATATATATATATCCTTTTATTTTATTATATTATCAATAATTATTACCAATATCGTAGATCACCAAACTTGTTAAAAAAATGTTTACACGAAATTGTTGTTCTTCCTTTGGATTTTATCGTTCTCTGTGGATATTTCGGTATCGGTATCGCTATCGGTATCGGATTCGGCTTTGGGACTTGGTTTCTGGGCTACTCTCCTGCTCCGCCCCCTCCTCTCCGTCCGACAATCCGGCTATCTGCCTATCGGCCTATCTGGCTATCTGGCTCTCTGGCTATCTGACTACGATCTCGGCTCTGATCCTCGATGGATGATGCTGTGGTATCTATATAATTTGCGCTCTCTTTCCATATCTGCTATGTATATGTTTTGTATCCGTATATTCCTATATTCATCTATCGTATGCTTGCTCTAGTCGTAAGTATTATATATATATATATATATATAGGTCTATGTACAGAGAAGTACACACTGGGTTAATCTTCGCTTGCATTATCGGTAATATAAATTCATTAATCTGCCGCCGATTCTCGCCTGATCTTCGGGTCTGTGTGAGAGCAAGAGTGCCTATATTGAGTTACAATTTGCTAAATTACATTATTCGAGACTTGGGCTTGCTGTGGATTCAGATTTTGGTTTACGTTTACGTTTGTTATTTTCGCTAGACTGGTATAGAAAAAGTTATCGAAGCTTCCTCGCTATCCTTTAGTTTCGTAATCGTATTTGTATTTGTATTTGTATTTGTATTTGTATTTGCATTTGTATTCGTACTTGTATCTGTATTTGTATTCGTATTTGTATCTATAAGTAGGGTACACGACGGCGGGGATAATATGATTAAAGTGTACGGCAAGTTCTATAAGTAGATAGACCGTTAGTTCATGTTCTTATTCTCAGCTGGTTGCCACTTCTGCTGCTGCCGCTGCTGCTGCGTTAATTGAGACTATCTAGGCTAACAATACGATACGTGGTAAGTTAAGTTAAGTAGTAAAGGCAAACGTTCCGTCCTCTATAACTGGAAATCGAAGTCGAGATCAAGATCGAAGGTGACTGAGTGACGAGTGACTGAGTTGGTGACCTGTCATCAGGTTGTCCCCGGTTGACATGAGATTAGCGCTATCTTGACTCAGATATGTTGGCTTTCATTAGCTTAATGGTCTTGTTCAAAGGTGATTCCGGTTCTTAGTGTTCAGTGTTAACGTGTCTTGTGGGTGGTTGTATTGTCAACGTGGTGTGTCCTTTGTGGAGTGTCCTACCGCGAAGTTCGCTCGCTTGATTTGTCGATAGTTAATTGTTCTCGTGTTCTCAGTGGTCTGCGTGTTAATCTGGCTGATGGTTAATCATATCGTATATAGTAGACTTTCATATATTATACAGCTTCTGTCATGCTTACATAACTAGACACCTATGTACACCTGCGTCGAACGTGAAGATGCCACCGATAATTACTTGACTCGCGAGCTCTGGTTTGTCTGGTTTTCTGCCCTTCAGCTGCACCGAAAAACCCGGGGTTCCTGCAACTTAGGAACTTGAGGGGGAACTTCCTGGCGAGAGAGGACCTAACTTATGTACACAAATCGAACGATCGCTGAACGGAACGCAAAGCGAGAGTGCAGCTCTATCGTAGTTACTTGGTCGTTAATCGATTACCTAAGAGGTGGAGGGCCTCCTCTGTCAATCCCACAATCGATCCCTTCTCATTACAAATGGAAATACATAGTTGGTAGGGGGTGGGGACCTACTGTCCTTCGTTCTGGGGTTATGATATAGGCTTGTATGATATGATTGTGTTGTGTCTTCGCTGAATGTCTTCGTGGCTGGTTTCACACAGTAACCGAAACTCAAGTGGTAATCTAATGACAGGCCCTAGGATTAAAGACCTCCCTCTATCAATATTCTTGCTTACACTGGCAGTGATAACTCCGTACTTCCTCCCTCCATATGCTTCCTTCTAGGTAAACCATACTGAACGGAAATACACTCAATGGACCAACTAATTCCTGCTAGTCAATGCGGTACTCTACAGTTTGTACACTCTACTCCTCCGAGGCTATATAATATGCGTTACTGGGGTGCGTCCCTAAGTCCGATAACAATAACACTTCCGCCTGCATCCGAACCAAAAGCAACTAGAGGAATATCGATCTTCTACGAGACTCTATAAGCACTAATGCGCATTCACAGCTGACTTGGTAAAGCTTGCGTAAGGGACTCGTCTATTTAGTCGGGGGAACGGGGATCGGGGGCTAGGGGCATATCGTGTAGATTTGACTAATTAAAATAGAGATTGCACTTGTGTAGTTGACGTTTATCGATAATATCCGTGCTAGCTGATACGAATGGTAGTAGGTAGGTAGTCCTCCTGGGTCTATATTGATAGTTCTTTGGTACACGGCTAAAGGCTAGGCAATATGTATAACTTCATCGCAATGCATGTAACTATGATTTACATATATACTCGTAACTACGCTGCTATTATCTGTGTTTATCCTTTATTGCTCTACGTATTGTGTCCTTTCCCTTCTGATTCTGAGTCTGATGCCAATGCCTATGTACAGTGTGCTAGTGAGGCGAGTGATGTTCCGATCTTCCTGTCTGACTAACTATAACCATATATCGACGATAATTGATGGTGCCCGCTGCACCTGTTCGGGTCCAAAGCAGCTCTAACGGGATGGTGGTCCTACGGGAAGGATTATGGGGGCCGAGGACGTAGTCTACGTTCTTCAGCTCCGACCGACAGAGAGAAAGTGGGGGACAGAAAGCTCGCGGGGGAATTCGGGCAACAGGGGGTCCTGGCTAACGATAAACTTTAAGTTGAGTTCGAGTTGAGTTCGAAAAAGGATCGAGTTAGTGAGTTAGAGAGAGTTAAGAAAGTTTACAAAGTACGCTATACGAGCTGACTTTTAAATGCATCCACAATTTGAGTATAGCGGCAACCTAATTACACAATACACATAAATATCAAATAATTGCAGTTTGCATTTACATGGTGTCATTTACAAGTGTGTGTCAGTGTGTGTGTGTGTAGTTTGTATAGTGTGTGTGAGAGTCGTAGAAATACTGCATAGTTGGTAGTGGTAGTGGTATCGGTATCGTTATCGGTATCAGTATTGGTATCGGTATCGGTATCGGCATCGGTAGTATACAAAATAGTAGACAGTGCTTTTGGTAATTTGTTGCTCTTTTGGTTTTCCATTATCGCTGTTGGGTAAATAGTACGGGTGTATTCCTGCCGCCTCATCTGCATATTTGTTTTCCTGCTTTTCGGGGGCACTCTTTAGAAAAAGCTCTTCAAGAAGCCAGCTGGCCCAGCCTGAAAAAGATTCCCAGTTCAGATACCGAAGTATAAGCTAACAAGTTGAGGTGGACTTACATCCTGCTGCTGCTGTTGCTGCGTTTGTGCTTGTTTGACTTTGGCTTGAGCGATCTTTAAGGCTCTAAGAGAGGGAAACGGAAAAAGAAAGGACATAAGAAGGACTCCGCATTAAGGAACACTCTATGCACTCACTGTTGCAAATCCATGATGGTCTTCTCCTTGGCGTTCTGCTCCTCCTGCGACATTTGTACCAGTTGCAGCAGGCGCTCCGTCTCGGTTGCCGCCTTCTTGTGCTCCTCCTTTGTGTTCTGCAGCTCCTTGACGCATCTAGAAATGGATTTGGGTTATGAGGGATCAGTTGGGTAAAAACAAAAGATCTTCTAAGGATCCCAATCATTGATATTGGAACTTTAAGCGAAAAGAAAAGGATTCAGATTGTTCTTTGGAGTCTTATTTTGCACTAGTAAATATAATTCCCAACCGATTTTGGGCAGACTTACGCCTCCAGCTGGCGCTGCGTGTCCATGAGCTTCTTGTTGAGCTCGCCGGCGGCCGCCGCGCCGCCTCCCTGCGTCTGGAGAGACTTCTCCAGCTGGTCCATCTGCTCCTTGCGCTTGCGCAGCTGCACGTCGAACTCGGCCATCTTCTTCTCCTTGTCCTCGATGTCCTTGCGCTTGGCGTCGATCTGCTTGCGCTGCTCGTCGATGATCTTGCGCTCGCCCTCGGTGGCCTTGGCCTGGTTGTCGATCTGCTTGCGCACCTCCTCCAGCTGCTGCTGCTGCTGCTGCAGCTGCTGGCGCTGCACGTCGGTGGCGCCCGCGCCCGCGCTGGCCGCCTGCTGCAGCTGCTGCATCTGCTGCTGCAGTTGCTGTACTTGCTGCTGCAACTGCTGCACCTGCTGCTGCGACGCCTGCAGCTGCTTGGTCTGCTCCTGGTTGGACAACTAAGAGATGTTCCTGGTTAGCCAAATTCAACTGGAAGCCTTTCGCGAGAGGACCCACCTTGCTCTTCTCCAGCTCCGTGACCAGCAGCTCCAGCTGCTGCTGGAAGCGGTCCCGCTCGGTGCAGGCCGCCTGCAGCTCGCCGCGCACCTTCTCCAGCTCCTTGGGGTCCGCTCCGCCGGCTCCTGCCGCGCCCTGCTGCTGCGCCGCTTGCTGCGCCGCCTGCTGTGCCGCCTGCTGCGCCGCCTGCTGCTGCTGCTGCATCTGCTGCTGCATCTTCTGCATCTGGGCGTGCTGGTCCTTGATGTGTTGGTCCATGAGCTGGGATACGAGTTCGGGGGATTGGGTTTACTCATCGTTTACTCAGGGCTGTTAGCCATTCAACAACTGAATAATTCGTAACTCAGAACCCAAATGATAAAGTTAAGTACTTACTTATCGACTTAAAATGTGTGGAAACAAGTGATTACTGTATCGAAAGTGTTCTCGGTAATGTGAAACGTTGACAACTCATGGTAAAGATTTAACAAAATAAACCAAACAACTCGAAGTACTTACATATCGAGCGAAAAATGTGTGGAAACAAGTGACTTAACTTAGGAAACTTCAGAGTGTTAATTCGTGTTGGGAAAAGAATCCTCGGAGACCCGCCCGCGATCCTCACCTGGATGCGCTTGTGCATCTCCTGGGCGGCCTTGTCGGCCATGTCGGCCCGCCCCTTCTCCTGCTCGATGACCTTGCGCCACTGCTCGATCTCCTCGCGACTCGCTCCCTGCGCCGCCGCGGCTGCCTGCGCCTGCTGGGGTCCTGCGGCGGCCAGGGCGCGCTCCGACTCCTGCAACTTCTGCTGCAGCGCCTGGATCTCCTTCTGCATGGCCTGGATCTCGGCCGGCGAGGCTCCGGGGGCGGGGGCGGGTGCCTGGGCGGTCGGCGGGGCCTGGTGGCCGTTGCGCAGCTTGCGGTTCTCCTCGCGCGTCTTCTGCAGCTCCGCCTCGGCGCTCTGCAGCTCCTTCTGGAAGTTCATGAGGATCTCCTGGCTCTTCTCCAGCTGCAGCACCAGCTGCTCCCGCTCCACGGCCAGCTGCTTGACGTCCGCCTCGAGCTTCTGCACGTGCTTCTCCAGCTGCGGATGGGGGGCAGCGGCGCCTCCGCCTCCGCCGCGTGCCGACTGCCGCAGCGCCTCCCGCTCGGCCTCCGTCTTCTCGAGGCGGTCGTGCAGGCGGCCCAGCTCGGCGCCCATCCGCTCGAACTCGATGCGCGCCGACTCGGAGTTCTCCTGCTGCTTGGCCAGATGCATTTGCGCCTTCTCCAGTTCCTTGGCCAAGCGACCGGCCTCCAGCTCGGTGGCGTCGCGCGACTGGAGCGCCTTCTCCAGGCGGTCCCGCAGCCGGTCGATCTCCTGCCGCTCGCCGGCGGTGAGGGCGGAGAGGGCGGACGAGGAGCCGCGCACCGGATCGCCGGGGCTCACCGAGGACTGTTGCAGGCGCAAACGATCGACCTCCTTGAGCAGCTTCTCGTGCTTGTCGCGCGCCTTCTCCCGCTCGATGTGTGCCCGCTCCAGCTCGGAGCGCTGCTTGTCCTGGCTGGCCAGCATCTTGGCCACCTCGCCCTTCGACAGCTCCAGCTGCAGGCTGGTCTCGTGCAGCTTCGACTCCAGGTTCTGCACCTCCAGCTCGATCTTCTCGTACTTGTCCTTGTACTTCTCGAACGACTCCGACTCGTACTGCGACTTCCCGCGGATCGTCTCCAGCTCCATGAGCGTCTTGTCCAGCTTCTCGCGCAGCCGCTCGTTCTCCTCCTTGAGGCGGCGCGTCTCCCGTCCGAAGGTGTCCGTGTCCTGCAGCTTGCGCAGCTCCGCCTGCGCCTTCTCGTAGCGGTCGCGCATCTTCTCCAGCTCCACAGCGTAGTGGGCCGCCTCCTCCTTGGCCGCCTCCGCACTGGCGCCGGCCTTCGTCTGGGCGGCGTGGGCGCGCTCCAGCTCGTAGGTGACCCGCTCCAGCTCCGACTGGAAGTGCTCCTTCTCGCCCTGCGCCCGCCGCACGTCCGTCTGCAGCTTGTCGAAGCGGTCGCGGCTGTGCTCCAGTTCGCTGCGCGCGTTGTCCTCGCACTCCTTGGCGCGGCTCAGCTGGAGGGCGGCGCGGTCGCAGGCCTCCTGGAGGCGCGTGCTCTCGTCCTGCAGCTTGCGCAGGTCCTCGCGCGCCTTGCCCGCCGCCAGCCCCGATCGCTCGGCCTCCACCTCGAGGCGGGCGCGGTCCGCTTCCGCGGTGTCGCAGCGCGACTGCAGGCGGTAGATCTCGTTCTGGGCGCGGTCGTACTTCTCGAGCATCTTCTCGAACTCCTTGTTCGAGGTGTCCTTCTCGTCGATCAGCTTCTGGCTGGCGTAGAGCGCCTTGTCGAGCTTCTCCTTGAGTATCTCCACCTCGGTCACCGCGTCGTCGCGCTCCATCTGCAAGAGCGAAAGAGGAGCAGGGTTTGGGGGGTTAGGTGTGCGGGGTCTACCTATCGGGTTTCGGGATGCGGAAAGCTACAGACTACACAAACAGCCAATTTCTCTGCGTTTCAGATTAGATTAGATCAGATAGTTCTTAGTTCTTAGTTATTAGTTCTTAGTTCTCATGCGCTTTTTCAATCAGATGCAGTACAGACAACGAGCTTTGGTTAGAGTTTAGTGGGTTCGGTGGCCAATTGTTTCACGGGTTTCGATTGCGATTGCGATTGCGATTGAGGTTGAGGTTTCTGCCGGGGTCTCAATTACCTGCAGTTTCTGCTGTATGGCGTGCGACTTCTCGTAGCGCTCCTTGAGGACCTCCAGGTCCGTCTGCATCGCCTCCCGGTCGCGGGCGGCCTTCATGAGCAGCGTCTGCGCCGACTCCGAGCGCTCCTTGAGCGTCTCCAGCTCGTCGGAGAACTGGTCGCGCTCCTTCTGGATGCGGCCCAGTTGCACCTGGCGGAGCGCATGTGAGTGTTCGAGTGGTTTATGTGGGTGTAATCAGTGGTCGGTGGTCGGTAATCAGTGTGGTTGGGTGGTTGAAAGATAGTTATAGAAAGTTATGTACACAGGGGTTAGGGGGTTAGGTTAAGCTAGGCAGTCACATCGAGCTAGGCGGATTAGGGATTGTTAGTGGGTTTGGTGTGTTGGTGTGTTTCAGGGGTTGGCACAACACAGATACGTCACAGACAGATTCTCGGCTAGCTACCTCTCAAGGATGCGGAGTGTGGTGGTGGAGAGACGGGGGTTCTTGGAAAGGGGACTTAGGTTCGGGTTGGGGGACTGGCAGTGGGCATACCTGCGTCTTCTCCAGCTTCTCGCGGATGCGGTCCGTATCCAGGGAGAGCGTTTCGCGCTCCTTCTGCATCCTGGCCGCCTGGCCGAGGGCCTTGTCCAGCTGGGACTGCAGGTTGTCGTAGTCGTAGGTGAGCTTCTCCTTCTCGAGCACCAGCCGCCGGTTCTCGGCGCCCAGCTTGTCCAGCTTGTCCTGCAGGTGGTCCACCTCGTTCTGGGCCTTGTCCAGCGAGTTCTGCAGCTTCTCGTGCTGCAGCTGCGACTTGCCCAGCGTGGCCTGGGTGCGCTCCATCTCCTCCTTGATCTTCTCCACCTCCGAGAAGGCCTGCTCGGCAGTCGGCGATTGGCGATTGGGGGAAAGGGTCTGTGAGGTCGGTACTGGTTGGGATTGCTGAGAGGTTTGCCTACCCGGTCGCGATCCGCGTGGATGCGCGAGACGCCGCTCTGCGCCTTCTCCAGCTCCTGGCGCAGGCTCTCCTGCTCGCCCTGGGCGTTCTCCAGCTTCGCCTTGAGTCGGTACACCTCGCCCTGGCTCTTCTCCAGCTTCTCCTGCAGGGCGGCCGCCTCCTCGCGGGCCCGCTCCGCATCCGACTGTTTTCGGAGTTGGTATCGGTATCGGTATCGATATCGGTGAAGGTATCGGTTTCGGTCGGTTTTCGTTATCGATCAATCGAGGGGTTTCATGTTGGCGGGGGCAGAGTGGATGAGGATAACGGATATTATTTACAGGCCATTATGGGGGACAAGGCTCTTAATGACTGATTCGACTGACTGACTGACTGGCTGAATGTCTGGCTGATTAGTAGACACGAAACGAGGGTTGAGGTGACAAACAGAACATCAAGTGTTACGACAAATAGTACTTAAATTACGATAACGATTACGAACACGATCACAACGTCTAGCGAGCGATAGAGAGCGATTAATGCTGCGGCGAGCGGCTGACTTTGAGGGGGGTATAAAGCTTGGGAGCAGGGGAAATCAGAAGGAATGGGTAAAGTCTTAAGGAACATAACAGTATTGCGATTAAAGGGTTCAACATATTAATAAACAAGAACAAATATGAATAATTAGATAACTTTACAAATAAATAAAAATAATAAAATTAATAAAGCCAAAAATCAAAGGATTCAAGGATTGAATTTAATGAAATAAAAAAAAAACATATAAACAAGTGCAAGTCCAAGTAATCGTTTTGTTGGTAACAAGTTGACCCTACCAAAATAAAGGATTTTCTGGGACTTAAGTTTAATAAAACTAAGCAAAACATAGATAAGATGGACTGGCTAATGGCTTGAAACAAGGAGACGCAAAAACTGGACCGACTTCTTGATGGACACATGGCGGGCATTGGCGAACGAGTTCGCGATGAATGGACGACCACAGATGGCTCATTAGTGCGGGAGAAAGTGGGGGAAAGTTGAGAAAGTGCGAGAGCAAAGTAGGCAAAGAGTGCGTAGAAAGCTAGCGGATGTGTGGGTGTCAGTGTGAGTGTGTGTGTGAGAGCGAGTGATGGTTAAGTCAATTAGCCAGGTCGAGAGCGCCTTTCCGCTTCCGTCTCTCCTCGCTGCGTTCTATGTGTGGGTGGGCGAAAGTGAAAGCGAAAGTCCGGGGAAAGCGCTCCGGGAGCTGAGCTGCTCGAGGTCACTTTGTCATACTTTGCTCGCATCCGGCTTTGGGGAAGGTTTTCGGAATATACACCGGAAGTGGGGAGATGATGAGCTCGAGGCAATATACAATATCGTACAAGGTCAATCGATGTGTGTGCGTATGCTATATTTATAGGCGACTGTTTGAAGGTGTGAGTGTGTGTGTAGATGTGTATGCTGGTATGGCAATGGTAGTACATCAGGCAATGCAAGTTACATTAAATTGAACAAGTGACAGATTGCAACTATCTTTGATTATCTTTTGGTTCTTTGGATCTCTTTGGTCAGATGCAGTTCGAGTTGGCAATCGAATTCAATTAGGGTTAGTTGCGTTACTAAAAACTTGTTTGATTGATTGATTGTTGGAAGCGGTTACTCACAAAACGTTTTTCAGTTTCGCCCTATATTTAGAGAATGAATGTAAGCACAACGGTTTGGATAGAGTTTGGTTTTAGTATACATGTCTCAACGGTGATATTCGCAGAAAGATCTTTACAATTACAGTTTACAGCTTGCCAATACGATTACGTTACAGTTAAGGTTAGAGTTAAAGTTAAAGTTAAGTTAGGAAAGAAGCGAAATTAAAAGGAGTAAGTCCCTAGCTTTGGTGCTCGGGTTGTGTGTGTTTTTTTGGGATGGCGTTGCAGCTGAGAAAGAATGTCGGTCGGTGTGGACAGGTGGACAGTGTGGGTCCCTCGACAGTGTTGGTGGTGTGGGTGTGGAGGGGCTCCTCATTGCCAGGCGGAAGTTGTCCATCAACAAAGCACACGCACACCGAGACAAATCTTTGTACAGAGTCTTTGTACGCCAAGAATACGATACGATACGGTAAGTAAATCATAAGGTAAGGCCAACTGAAGAGCATTCGGAATGCATATCGATATGTATATATGGCTGTCGCGGTTCGCAGGCAAGGGCGGTGGGCGGTGGGTGTGGTTTGGGCCATACCTGCGTGACTCTCAGCTCCGCCTGGGTGCGTCGCAGCTCGGCGGAGGCCTTGTCCGCCCGCTCCTGGGCGCGGTCCAGCTCCTGGGAGGTGGTCATCGTGGTCCGGCCAAACGTGGTCTTTCGGCGAAACGGAAACGGGATAATTAGTTCGGTGGCCAGGAGGAAGGGGGTTAAGGTAACGAGTGCAACACAACGATCAAGCGGTTCAAGGCAAGCAAATGTGTGTTCTCAGATATCATGTGGACTCGATGGCGGATAATGCATAATGGATATGGGATGATGGATAATGCACGATGACTGACTGATGTTGAATGAGTCCAGCAGGCAAGCGGATTACATGGACCCCGTCCACGAAGCAGTGAGTGATTCAATGGGAGTTTCGCGTGTTCGGATTCGCTGGCTTTCGGTGCAGTTGGCGCTTGCTTCTCTAGATTTCGCTATGGAGCTGCTATTGCGGTTGGTGGACTATTCTGGGTCAGCGGACGGGCCGACTTACCGATATCTTGCCCGTTTCGAACATTAACTTTTGCACGTTCTGCAAGTACGATACGATACGATACGAACAGGTTATATCTTAGTCTCGGGACTCGCTTCTGCGGATGTGCGGACGTGCATGCTCGGCGGCAATTCAACTTGTTCACACCTCCGCTTCCTGCAGAGCGATTAAATCAAAACCCAACTAGGCGAGTGCTGCTAATCCCGTCTAAGTATCTAAGTGATATGTCGGGCTCTATCGGATCGGAAATCTGGGTGGTTTTGGTGGTGGTGGTTCTTTAGGTATTGGTGGTGCCAGCCTGCTGGCTCTAATACATGTATATGGTGGTTCTAAGCGGAAGTTCGGTGGGGCAGGCAAACAAAGTGGTACGTGTTCTGGGTGAAGAGTGCAGGTTGGTGGTTGGTGGATGTTAGGAGGTACGATTTACGACAAATGGGATTGCGATTTACAAATGGTGCGAATTTGCATAACAGCGATGATCGAAACGCTTTCGACGGGCTCTAATTACGTATCCAAAGTGAATCCAAAGTGATTATATTCAATGCTACGTTACTCGAAAACTACGATGCTCGATATTATGCAATCTAGTGGCAATTGGAAGTCGGAACTCGGATTTTCGGGCTTACTTTGTGTAGTGTGGTCTGTTCTTCTAGCTGCAGCTATTTGGTTTATGTTGGGTGGTGAGTTATTAATAAGTAGTTATTATTATTGATGTTGTTGTTGGGTAGTTGGTTGTTGGTAGTTGGTTGTTGGTTGTTGGGATGCGTAACGTGTACATGTAAATACATAGTCAGATACAGATATATAGATATATAGATATGTTGTATAGATATAGATGAATAGATAGCACATAGATATGGCCGCAGATCGATAGCATCGACAGCAGTATGTAAGTGTGTGCAGGTCCCCGACTAAACATGTATGTACACGGCGCCACATACTCGTACATACATACGGTTATGGGACCGCCCATGGCTAGTGACTCTGCTAATTACTCTGGTAATGACTCTGGGGAACTGGCAATAATGCACGAGTACCTGCGAACGCTCCAGGTCGTGCTTCAGCCGCTCGTTCTCGAGCTCGAGGCGCGCGATCCGCTGCTTCGTGGACTCCCAGTCGGCGCTGCTCCGGCCCATCTCGCAGGTGGCCTTCTCCAGCTCGGCCTTCGACTTGCCCAGCTCGCTCTGCGAGGCCTCCAGCTTGATCTCCAGCCGCTCCCGCTCGGTGACCGCCCGCTCGAGCCGCGTCTGCAGCTTCTCCACCTCGCTCTCGGCGGCCCGCAGCTTGATCTTGTAGTCGGCCACCTCGCGCTCGTGCAGGTCGCGCTCCTCCTGCTTCTCGTGCTCCGCCCGGTCGCGCTGGTCCCGCAGCTGGGCCATCTGCTTCTCCTTGTCGCCGATGGCCTCCTCCAGGCTGGTCAGCGCCCCCTCGGAGCTGCTGTGGTGCGCCTGCATGGCGGACAGCCGGGCCCGCGCCATGTCCACCTGGTTGTCCTTCTCCTTGAGCAGGTCCTCCAGGTTCTCGATCTGGCGGAGAGAGGGGTGGGGTTGAAATTGGGAGGGATTTCTTGTTATATTCTCTAATGAATTACAGAAGTCTTTACAGATATGAAGCTCTCTAAAAGGTTTCCAAAACTGTACTACAAAGTGTTTCCAGTTAATAAGTATTAGCATGTATTTTTAAAGCATACTTTTACGCGCCTTTTTCAGTGGTTTTAATTAATAGGAGTTTTTAAAGGAAAATCAAATAACTTTAACTTCCCTAAGATGAACATTTAAATAAACTAGTATAAGTAACTAGTAGCTCAAGCTAATTGATGTTTTGGGTGAAGTCTAACCTTGCGCTGGAGCACGCTGATCTTGCGGTCCTTGATGTCCATGTGGTCCTTGAGCTCGGTGAGCTCGCTGGTGAGCCGGTTGCGCTCCTGGACCGTCTGCAGGGTGCCCTGGGTCTTCTTCTCGATGAGGCGGTTCTTCTCCTCGAGCCGGGCGCGCATCTCCTCGACGTCCGTCTGCAGCATGTTGTAGTGCTCCTCCTTGGCGCAGAGCGACTCCTTGAGCACCGCTATGTGCCGCTGGTAGTCCTGACGGGAATTACGTTACTGGGCAAACGAAAATGAGTGCGCCGGCGGGAATTTACCTGGTGCTGCTCCTCGAGCGTCTTCATTTTGGCCGCCATCGCCAGGATCTCTTGATCCCTTCTCTGTATTTCAAGACGGAATTCGTCCAGCTGGGTTCGGATCAGTTCGGTTCGGATGGGAGTGGGTGGTGGTGTGGATTCGAGTGTAGAAGGGGGTGGAAAGGAACAACAGAGATATCATTAGATCAGAAGGTGCTGCCTCACGCGCGGTTGCCTGATCCTTAGCCAGGACTACGAGTACTTGGTGGTGGTGGTGGTGTTGGCTGTCTGCTGTCTCAGGGATTCTTTGCTGGTGCCTGTTGGCTATTGGCTGTTGGCTGTTTGCTATTTGCTGTTTGCTGTTGCAACTGAGTGTGGAATGAGCGATTGGGTGCGACAGCGAGCTTACGCCGGGTGGAGAATGAAGTTTGTTGGGATGAAGGGATGGAGGGTGTCTGGGCCCCCAGCCCCGAGTATCGCCCTCTTTGGGTGGTGTCTTCTTCGTGGTGGGTGGTCGTGTTGTTGGTGTTCGTTGTGTCCCTGTATCTGTATCTGTGTTTTATTCTGTATCTGTGTCTTTGGTTTTACTGGGGGTCGAGTGGGTGGTGGGTGGCGGGTGTTCTGAACTAGTTATCGGGCGGGTTTCCCTGCTTTCGGGAACGACGTTCGGTTTTCGTATGTAATTTTATTGTTGCTTTCGAAAAGTTCCATTTATAATGCTTACAGCTTAAGTTAAGTTAACAGAGTCGAGAATATTCTTGCTTGTCGGAATTAAGTCTGAATGCAATCTTAATTAGGTTTACAGTTAAATCATTGTATAAATAGTACGTCCCGTGGGACCGTAAATGTATATGCGTATAATCAGAATATTAACCATAATTATTCAAATACAATACAAGTATATAGAGAGTTATGTATAATGTGTATATCTTATATCAATATTCAAATGCCTCGTTTCTTGTTCTGTCGTCGTCTTGTAGAAAAGGTTACAAATCAACTGAGTCGCAGAGGAGAATCAAGTTTGGCTTTTGGATTGAACAAGAACAAAGAAGGGATAGTGGAAATTGGAAAGTGGAAAGTGGGATATAGGACTCTACTTATCTATTCACACGATCGCACCGGAATGCTGTCTTTCGAGTTGGCTAGTGATAAGCTTTATCTTTCGGTACACTCACTTTCGCTGATTACATACGTACGAGTATATATGTATATAATATAAACAATTGAAAAAGAGTTATCTATGAACACAATTTCTGTTTTGTTCTGCGATTGCTGCATATTTCGGGGTCTCGATCTACGAACTACGACTAGGCAATTAGGGTAACTCCAATCCGTTCTCGTTCCGATTCATCATCTAGTATATATTTAACCACTACTTTAACAAGAGTTTTTACTTTCTTTTAGAAATATCTATGCGTAAATTTCGATTTCGATTTCGAGTTCAAAGCACAAAAAGAAGTTAGGTAGTAAGCATGCGTTCACCGTGAATTTTGAATTTGGTTTCTTGGGACACAAACGAGTAAAATGTCTGCCAGAGGATTGCTATAGGTCTTGTATACTTGTAAGCGCTCTTCGAATACGAATACAAACACTAGTTGAGATACATAATAATACAGTATACGAGTATTCGCATAGACACATTTTGAATGCTTCTTCGTTTCACTTTGTCGGTGTCTCAGACACACAAAACTAACCTCATCCCCATTTCGATTCGATTCGATTCGATCCGATCCTATTCGATTCGATTCGACTCGATCCCCGCCTCTTGGGCTCTAGATTGCACATATAAATTTCCACGATTTCGTTCATAATTGACCTTCATTGCTAATCACACGCTAGTTTGTTTATAACGCTTGCTTTTGCTTTGCTTTTGCTTTTGCTTTTGCGGGGGAAGGTTGGAACTGAGTTTAGTTGCAACGGGGAGGCGGAAGATGATGGATGCCACTTGTGGCCACTAATGCGAGAGAGAAAGTCGTAATTGGGTCACTAGGAGTAGTTAGTGGCTGGGACAGGAGGTCCTTGCTGGCGAGGAGCTACTGGTACGCTTACTTTTAGATAGAGAGTGTGTCTGTGCTGCACTAACAATTGGCTAAGTTTCGAATGTTCATACTAAGTACGAGTTACGCTATAGGTTTTGATTTAATAAATTTTAAGCTTCGTTTTCGTTTTTCGGTTTTTCGTTTTCATTTTTCGTTTTCTTTCGATTTGTCAGATAGACAAGTTTAAAGTAAATGTTATTTCGTTCGCACACACATCCCCTTGTGTTGTGTATATATAAATTGTTGTTATTCGTGAGTAAATCTCGTTAGTTTTATATACAGTCTTTTACTTTGAGAGTCAAGAGCAAGGTTCTACGGTTTCCAAAAAACATCCACAACAATTCGAATGCCCTGAGTGCTCTATGCAAAGAACAGAGTAACGTAAATCAGTTAACTGAAATCGAGAACATGGTTGGTTGCTCCTTCGCTTCCTGTCGCTACTTTAAAATGGCACATGAAACAATAGTTCTCCCCACAACATCCGCCGCGAACTTCTTAGCCTAGTCTACTGAGTATCCACGTTATTATCGTATATGTTGTATATTGTATGTATAATACTTGGTGTCTTGTCTTCTCCCTACGCGAGAACTGCCGATGCGGAGGAAAGCGTTAAATGCAGATCGGCCAGATCGGCCAGATAGGCCAGATAGTCTATATCGCGGCTATCTGACCTCCAATTGGATTCTTTCGTTCGTTCTCTGATTGTAATTATAGGATGTTGCGATGCTCATTCTGATTCTGATTCAGATGCTGATGCCGATGCAGATGCAGATGCGAATGCAGATGCAGATGCAGATGCGGATGCGGATGATGAGCTTTTCGATGTTATGGGTGGTCAGGAGTGGGTTCTTTCGCTTATTCGATTTTTTGGTTTTCTTTTTAGGAGTCTAGGGATAGCGTGTCTACGTCAAATTTAAAACTTACTTGTCGCTTATGCTCTTGCGGCAGTTTCGGGTAATCTAAGTCTAGTTTCGAGTATGGCAGATGGTGGTGATGGTGCTGCGGCTGCTGCTGATGGTGCGGATGCGTATGCGGATGCGGATGCGTATGCGTATGCGAGTGCGGATAGGCCGCATGATGCGAGGATGCGTGGTGCGAATGCGGATGCGTATGCGAATGCGGATGCTGGTGCGGATGCGGATGCGAGTGGGCCGCATGGTGCAGCCCGTCCACGTAGTCCCTGGCGCTGCTGGCCAGCGTCCCGCCGAAGGGGCCGCTCGTATTGGCCAGTGCCGCCAGTGGGTGCGTCTGCAGGTGGTTCTGGTGCTGGTGCACGTGGTACTGGTACTGCGGGTGCATCTGCTGCTGCACGGACGCCTGGATGTGCGAGTGGCCCAGCGGCGGGCCCTGCGCTCCTCCCCCGTAGTGGTGCGTCCCGGCGAACTGCTGCTGCAGGTTGTAGGCCAGCGCCGCCGCCCCCGCTCCCCCTCCCCCTCCCGCTCCGGCTCCTAATCCCGCTCCCAATCCCTGGTTCTGGTAGTACTGCGAGATGGCGGGGTTGGAGGCGTGCAGCGACTGCTGGGCCATCAGCTGGCGCTGCTGGAAGCTCGCTAGCGGGTTGCCGTATCCCAGGTCGCTCTGGTACGGATAGCCACCGCCGTACTTGCAGCCGTACAGCGACCCCGTCCCCACTCCCACTCCCGCCGCCGAGGGGTAGCTGGACACGAGGTTCGTCACCGAGTAGGCGGGCCGGAGGCGGGCGGCCGCCGCAGCCGCACTCTGGGCCGCCGACAGCTGCGTGGGCAGGAGCTGGGCGGGCGGCATCTGCGCCTGCGCCGCCGGCTGGAAGTACATGTTGGGCTGCGAGGAGAAGCTCGTCGACATCTGCATCAGGTTGTCGTTGAGGTACGGCGGCGAGGTGTCGCCCGGATGGAGCGTGGGGTAGCTGGACACGACGCGGCCCAGTCCCGCGCCCACGCCCACGCCGGTGCCGAGGGGCGTGGTCACCAGCTGGCCCAGCTGGCGCGCCTGGTTGGTGAGGTTGAGGATCTGCGAGCTGCGCGATATCGACTTGTGCGCCTCGTTGAGCAGGTTCACGATGTTCGAGGAGCTGGTCTGCTGCAGCGGGGGGCGGGGTAGCCGTACACGTCGTTGTACATGGTCGCCGAGGGCAGCCCGGCGATGCTGTAGCGCCTGCGCCGGATCGGCGAGGTCTGGCAGGGGCCGTAGGGCGCCGGGTCGTACAGTCCGTAGCCCGCTGAGCCCGCGGAGGTCGAGGGGCCGTAGAGGTCGTAGGTGGTGGCCGGGCCGTAGCCATTGCCCGCTCCGTAGGAGAGGGGCCCGCTCCCGGACCCGGGCCGTAGTACTGCCCGATTATGTCCGGCAGGGGGGGCTGCTTCCGCTGGCGCCCGCGAAGTTATTGTACATCTGAAACGGCGATTGCAATGGTGGTTGCTGTAACTGCTGGCTGACTGACTGACTGACTGGAGTTGGGTTATTCGGGTTAGTCGGCTCTGATCTGAATTAGATTTCTTATTTCTGGTAACTGTTTAACTGGTTACTGGTTACTGGTATCTGGTATCTGGTATCTGTGGTTAGTGGTCTATTGTCTGGTGTTATCTGTTATCTGTTTCGGCTCTCCGGCTTCGATGCGTTTTGGCTCACACAGCTCTCGGCAGCTTTTGCCCGTGACCTCGTGATCATGATCGTGGCTTAACAAACATTAGCTACACATATACGTATACATATACACATACATATATTTTTAGTGGACATTCTCGGTTTGGCTTACAGTTAACATTGCGATTGCGATTGCGATTTTCACCCGAACACTTACGGACTATTCTGGCCCCATGTATTATACTTGAAACTTGGTTAATTTGCTTAGTTCTGGTTATCATTATTTTTGTTGTTTTTCTACAAGTTATTCAGCCTCGGCTCGATTACACTTTTGCGCTTAATTTACAATAGGGTTTTGTAATAGAATGAGATTGTTGATTGTGAGTTATGACTTTTCGGTTCTCTTCGTTTCGTTTTCCATCGGTTAGCTTTCGTTTGGCTTTATATGGTTGGTTATACAGTTAGTTCTGGGGCGCTTTCAACGGCTCTTGTTGGCACCCAAAAAAAGTTCAACAAGGGCGGGGAGTTGGGCGTGTTGTGTGTGTGTGTGTATGTTATGCGTGTGTTTGTGTGTGTGTGTGTGTGTGCGAGAAAGGGGGTGTGGCGTCGGGTTTGGGGACAGAGGGCGTGGGGCGGCGGGGAGGCGCAACATGAAATGTGTGTCACTTGGTTGACAGCCACGAGGATGTCGCTGCTTTTGTATCTATTTATGTGTGGATGGCTGTATCTTTGTAGCTGAGAGGGTGTGGGTGTGGGTGTCCCTGTGGTAGTGTGTGTGAGCTTTCATGTAAGTGTGTCTGTGTGTCGATGCTTCTCTTTTGTTGTTGGTTTGGTTCGTGTGATCAACGTGGCATACAAATGCAACTCGGATTCTGATTTCGTATTTCTCGGGTATATTTTTCGGGTATTTCGGTTTTTGTTTGTACAATTTGCTTTCGGTATTTGTTGTACGCAGAAAAGAAACATAAATATTCGTATAACAATATATAGTTCAGATGCATTATAGAAATAACGTGCAAAAGTATATTTGTTAAATAATTTGGTTCGGTGTGTTGGAGAAAACAAACAAAATATATATTCATATAGTTGTTTAGACAGACAGTGAGAGAAAGAGAGAGTGTGTGTGAAGGAGACAGTCAGCGATTGAGTTGAGAGTTAGAGAGAGACGGTACAAAGAGACTTAGAGAGATGGAAAGAACTCAAGTTGTGTGTGTCAGACAGAGCAGAGTATCTTTTCGTATCATTATCCTTTCTTCACAGATAGTGTTTCTTTCAGTGTACGTGTGTTGGTGAGAGAGGGTCGGAACTGTGTGTGTGTGTGTGTGTGTTTGTGGGAGTGTGCGAGTGGAACCCATCATGAAGAGAGTGTTCTTGTTGTTGCATTGCGTGTTGTGTGAGAGTTGAAGTTCGGTTTTGATTTCGATTTCAATTTCAATTCAGAGTGGATTCGGTCAACGTTCGTAGGATTAGTTAGCAAGTTCGATATTTACAAAAACCAAAAAGTAATATATCATACACAAACACGAGCACACATCCAGATGTGCACACAGACACATGAGATTGTGTGTGGGTCGGGTGCAACGACACGGCAACAATTGTTGCCTATTTTCCGGCCTTGAGGTGGGCTTGGAATCTCAGGTTTTCGGTGGGCGGTGGGTGGTGGTAGGTGGGTCGGAAGATCGGGGCTTTGGGCTTAAGGGTCTCGGGTCTCGGTCTGTCGTAAGCGAAATAACGCAATCAATATCAAAAACAACATACTGCAGAGTAACATATTTATATATATAGTTGTAGTTGCTGATATTCGTATATATAAAGAGCGACAGAGACAGAGAGAGAGAGAGGGAGGAAGAGAGAAAGTAGTGGGAGAAACAGAGACAGAAACAGACAGGTAGGAGTATATATTCATATGTTTGTTAGCCATATTGTGGATATATATACACGTCGTAATTGTTTTATCATTTTATCGTCAAAGAGTTGTCAGTAAATGAAAGATTTGCTTTCTTCTTCTTTTCTTTCCTTTCTTCCGTCTACTCGAAGTATTAATCAATTTGTTATTGCTTTCCCTTTGGTCTTTTTTTGTTTGTTATATTTATTTTGATATTATTTTTTTTTGGTATCGTGCGAAAATATTACAAAAGCATATTGTAAATAGTTGCATACGTTTTTCGATTCTTTGTAATCAAATTCGTTTTATATTCGTCATTGCATTTCATCAATTGTTTTTTTTTTTTTGGTGATTGCTTTTAGAACAACAACAAAATATATGTTTTAGATGTAATTAAAAAAGATCAATTCTGGAAACAAATATATATTTTGAATTCATTAATTGTCGCTTGATTTGGTTATTTATTAGTCAAGACTGATTGCCTACGTTTTAGACGATTTTGTGTGGATTTGATTTTGGTTCATAAAGCCAATTATTGGAGCCATTACAATCGATAAGTTTCGTGAAAAAATCATCTGCATCTTTTGGCAATAAAATGACAAAAGAATTATTCTTGTATGCTAAACAGATCACAGTTCACTAATGGTTTGTTAATTCGTATCTGATCATTTCAGTTGGGATTTTGCTTTCTGATTTTCAATATTTTTAATCTTGATTTCTAAGGTTTGCTCTTTGGTGTGTTGGTTAAATGTTATATATTACTTTTTGATTATGTAAGAACAGTAAGAAAAAGGAGTTCAAAAATCAGCGTTCCGTTCAAAATGCTAAGTTTAAAGTTTAACAAACATTGTGTGAGTGTGTGGGCGTGTGTGGGTCATTAAATGAAATCAAAGTACAAAGCGAGTGTAGGAAACTATATTAAATACTATAATAAAACGATTACACAAACAACATTAAGACACAAAACGCACATTTATATAGTTTATGGCTCGAAGTAAAACAAAGATTATTATAAAGATTGGATAAAGATGCCAAGTGAGAGAGAGGCAAGGAGAGAAAAAGAGAGAGAGAGCGCAGGTGAGCAGAACACTTAAAATAATGCCAAGAACTTTTGCTCACCCACGCACACACACAAACACATGGAAATGGCGGACCGAAATAACAACATTTTGGTTACAAGGTTACGTATACGTCACGTGTGTTTGTGTGGGACTACAATAGAAAGAGAGAAGGGGCATAAGAGAGAGAGAGAGAGAAAGAGAGAGAGAAAGAGAAGGGACAAAGGCAAAGTAAGAGGTGAAATCAAAAGCCGAGTGGGTGGTTGTGTGTGTGTTTGTGTGGGGTAGAAGTGTGTTAAGTGCCAAATACATGTAGCAGAGTGTATTTTCTGGCTTTTCAACCATTCTGTTGCTATTTTCGTTTGTTGCGTGCCCAGCGAAAATCATAAAATTAAAAAACAAACTCATAAAACGGAGTATTGCAAACTGAAAAGAAAGCTGGGGCAAAACAATTTCAACTTTTATGACTCCTTGAAGAGGGGAGAGAGCGTGAGGAGGAGGAAGACAGAGAGAGAGAGAGAGGGAGAGGGAGTACGAGAGAGGGGGGAGACTGTACCCCACGACATTGACATGTGAGCACATCACGCAGAACAAAGAGAATGCAAAACATTAAAGTGGTCGAGGGGAAGTCCCGCTTTTCAATGGGGATCCCCCTTTTTCCTCGCGTTAATCATGACAAATCATCACGTTCACGTTTCGTTTCGTTTCGTTTCGTTGTTGCCTGTGTTCTGTGGGCAAGGCCAGACAGAGTCCTTTTCCCTATTGTGTCCTGTCTGCCATCCACTACCCATCATATCCACCCAACCCACCTCTTAACTCATTGTCGCTGTTCCATCTTTTTCCCCACGCACGTGCCTGATGGAAATGTATTTCAAGTGACATCTATGAAGTGCATCCCTGTCGGTTGTCGCTTTTTAGAATTTCGGTGGGCCTTTCTGCTAATGAGCACGGACGCCAAAGGGTTAAGGCGAAAGGGTGTTAAGGTTACATGCGCCTGTGCTGTCTATGCTTCTTGCACTTTTCTGCAAGTTCGCCCTGTTGCCGAATTTCACTAATTACGCAGAAAAGCAGGCAATGCGCTTTTCCCTTTTTAGCCAGCATTGGCGCGTGAGTGTGTGTGTGTGTGCTAGCCTGAATGCCTGTAGGTGTGTGCTGATATGTGCCGCTGTATGTGAGAAATTTAATTTGCAACTCGAGGCCACAAAAGGACAGGCTAAACAGAAGAAGTTTAACCAGTTTTGTTTGTTTTGCGTGTTAGTTGCTGCACAGCGAAAAAATTTGGTGACATGACTGCACATTTTAGTAAAGAAAGTAGATACTTATTATCTGAAATAATTCTCAAACATTCTTTTGACTATGTCTCTTCTAATAGCAAGCTTCTTCTCTGTTTTGCGTAGTTAATATACTAAATTCCCTTGATTACTATTCTGCTTTAAAACGAAACTCTTTCAACTTCAATAAGCGTTTTTCTCAGTACTCAGCGTTTTTATAGCCTTTCCCTCTCTCTCTTTGTGTTTTCTTGGTTTCCCCCATCAACCATCCCTCCCCGCCCCCTCGGAGTTGCTCATGTTACGCCTTGACAGGACATTTAAATGGCTTTTGGTGTCTGGGTGCCTGCAGCGCCTATTGGAAGGGGCCATTGATGGGGCTACTTTGATTCACACTACTGATTTACACTACTCCCAGGGCGCGACTGCCCCCTTGGAACTCCACCCACAGACATTTCGGTTAGATGCATTTCGTCGGTTTGGTTTGGTTTGGTTAGTTTGTTATGCGAGTTGCCTTTCGGCTGATTGACTTTTGAATGGAGTTGAAGGTTGTAAGTTCTGTGTGCTGGTGATGAGTAATGACATTTCGAGCTGGCT